AATCCCAATTGCCTAGCTTGACGCTATAAGATGGTAATTTCGTATGACCACCATCAGTAAGTATAAGATTGTGCAGTTCTGGACAACCGAGCTGATCCTCGATGTCTGTCGACTTGGGCAAAGCATCCTTGAACAGCGGAGCATTCTCAAAGGCATGTAGATCTTGGCATGGACGAGAGCGCGAAGGTTGTAGCTGTCGAGGCTTTCTTGATAAGCAACAATTGCGAGCAAAGTGACCAAATCCATTGCAGTTGAAACAACATACCCGGGAATCGGTTCTGGCCTCGCTACTGTTCCTCAACATAGGCTGCATCACATCAAGATCCATCGGCACTGGCCTAATGCTTGCTGTGGGTGATGTCGATATCGAGACCGGTGGTGTGAATGATTCAGGGATGGCAGGAGAATGCTGCGAGTTTTTGTGAAAGAAATTCTTGGCCTTCTTCGTTAGTGAGGAGCCATGATTCTGCGTGCCACGATATAGATTCGAAAGTCGGTCGAGCTCGCGGGCAGCATGATACATCTCCTCCGGCTTGGTTGGCTTCTCGCGATGGAGATCCCTAGTGATATCGGGAGGGAGATGGCTAAGGAAATGGGAAAGTCGATCACCAAAAGTCATTTCCTGAGCAGGAATCTGGGACTCATATGTTCTAAAGTTCTCACTGTAACATGCAAGGTTTCCTTTATACGTTATCGTGTGAAGCTCATTACGGAGGCTTTCAATTCGGAGCGGTGAATCATACTTGCCTTTGAGCCATCGCTTCATTCCATCTAGTGTTGTTGGTGGCTTGGCTTTTAAGCCCAAGCCAGGCCAAGCTGAGCCGTAGAAAGTCCGGCCAAGCCCGGCCAAAGCCATCCAGAAGCCTTGCTGCTGGGCCTGGCTTAAGAATGCTCAAGCCCGAGCCGAGCCCGTGAGCCCAGGGCTTTCAGCGCTATGTGCAGCAAAAATACAGGACTGCCTAACCCAATATCTGGCCTCATTCACACCTCACTGCTACCTTTGCTGGCACTCCTGAGCATACCAGAAAATTCCTCACTTTCACTATGACAACCCCTTCTGTGATATGCTCTTTTTTCCCCCAAAGGTGAGTATCTTCATGAAGGTATGATGATATTGAAACCCTTATGAACATTCATAGACTGGCACAACTCACCTATAATGCTATCCTAGAGGCTGCCAGTCAAGTTGAGCTGTCAATTTCTTATTGATCAACTATCTGAGTAGGTCACCTAGTAGCTACATACAAAATATTTTTTTTCTTCGGCAGGCCCTGGCTTGAGCCCAAGCCAAGCCTGAGCCAAGCCCAAGCCCTACCATCAGGCCTAGTTTGGAGTTTGATGAAGCCCAAGCCTGCTAAAGCCAAGCCAAAGCCAGGGCTTTCAGGCCAAGCCAGGCCCTCAACAACACTAATTTCATCCCAGTCCAACACTTTCCCTTGCTCCTTCATCTCCTTTTTTTGTGTGATGTAGCTGTGCATTGCATCATTGCGAAGTAAGATAAAAATTTGTGTGACCCAGTCAACTGCTGAAATGTGCTGGGCTGTAAGGTAATCTTCGATAATCGAGATCCAGGTATTCACGTCGTCTGAATTGCATCCTCGGAAAAGTGGGAGGTCAGCCTTGATACTCACCGGTCATGTAGCAGTCATTGTAGAGGGTGAAGCCGAGCTCTGTGAAGGTGCCTGCACAGTTATCTGCACTGTAGACAGAGCGTTGTGTAAAATATACTGCATCTGAGCAGCACTCACGGTACTTGCCTGTGCCGCAGCTGCTTCTGCAGATACCTGTGAAATCCTTTGGTCGAGCATGTCCAAAATTGGCTGCAAGGCTTAAAAACTCTCAGGCGAAACTGCGGCAGCAAGCGCTGCGAGCAACGGATGAAGGTCGGCCATAGCACTAAATAGTCAATGAAGGGATGAGGACGTACGTTGATTAAAAATCCAGATAGAACAAAGACTAGAGAATGACGTAGAATAGAGGCAAGACCAATAAACAGCTGTTAAAGTCAGCAACAGGGTAAGCATGTCGGAATGAAGGAATCAATGACCCTTCATTTGCGCAAATGAAGATTTCGCTTACTATCGGAGTCTCGGAAAGCGGCGAGACCTAATAATATTTTTGGGGGGAAAGTATCCACTGCCCTCTTCGGCGCATTCCTCGTGCTCTTTTATGTACATCGGTGGAGCCTGGTGGAGCCTCACATTAAGTGCTTGGCTATCGTCACTATGAATTCATAACTACATATGTGGACGAACCGCTGTGGAGTAATGACATCGAGACTCGTATCGTACAAATACAGAAGATTAACATACATATCAAGTCGGAGTAAATACTGGCAAATATCCAAGTCCAACAAATCGGTCAAAGCGCGTGCGGCGGTGGGAGCCGAAGTTGCAGGGGGTGGTGTAAAACTGTGATGGAGCCCTCGTGTAAGCAACTGCGCCTCGGGCTACGAGTAGAAGAGGATAGAAATTAGTTAGCTACCTAGGAGCCTGTTCAGCTCCTTATATACTGTAAACTAAAAGACTAGAAACTACCAGACCATTCTCGAGACATTGTCCTTACTAATCCTAACCCTACGGACCTTTCCCGGACCTTTCCGTAGATGCCGGATTGCTAATCCGCACACCTTCAACACCTCGTCCACCACAGGACTCTCTATCTGTTCGGACGTTCACGTATTAATATTCAGACCTGCTCAGTTAGAAGTACACCGTAGGTCGCCGAACGAGCGCGCGAGCAAAATGAGTCCGCGCATTTGCACGATCTCCGGAGGGGCCAGTAGGGAACGGGCGAATTGTAGGTGCACCATTTCAGTACATGTTGGTGCTATAGGTCCATGTTCCATCGCTTGATATGGCGCTTCAAATGTTGTACTTGTGCCACTGACGTCCTTATCTGAGGACGCTTGGTTGTGATCGATGCGCAGTTGCCAGAAGCGAAGACACTGCAAGCTCCGAATGGACAGCTCATTTCGCGCGGGGTGATGGGGCTTAAGCTTGTTGGAATTCTGACGAATTTTTTCTTTGATAACAGTCCGAGTTTGCTGTCGACGCTGAGAGTACGGACTCCGAGTGGTACGCACAGATAAGAATCAGGCGGCATATTAGCACCTGACTTGTAATGGCGCGTACAACGTGCAGCCCCTTACGGTGGATGCAGGTTCTGGTACGTATACCACAGCGGGGCGTACATGCACCTCCCCAAGATATTTCGCGCAGATAGCGGCGCCGCACCCCCAGGTGGCCAGGGCCTACCTGGGATGCGATGATACCGCCTATAAGTGGCTCGGAATAGAATTTTAAATCCAGTGTTTCCGACGGTGCGGCCGGTAGTACCTCGGAAGTTGGAACGATGGACGATAGCTCAGGGAAGACAGAACTGAGAGGACCCTGGGCCCAGTGACACCAGGGTGCGCGGCCCTGAGGCGGGCCAGAATATCGAGCGATGGAACATGGACCTGTAGATCTTTGCAGGACTTGGAGAGGAACGACGCACCTACAATTTTCCAGATCCCTATTGGCCCTTGGTGAGATCGTGTGGGTCATGCTGGACCGCGGCACGATCACGATCGTGCAAATGCGCGGGACTCGATTTGCTCGCCCGCTCCGCGACCTACGGTGCCCTAACCCGGTAGGTCTGAGTACCTCTCGACTCTGAACGTCCGTATAAAAGACCTACAGTCGTCGAGGGCTCCATCACCAGCCCACCCACTCACCAAACCACCACAGTTTTAAAACACCCCCCCACAGCTTCAGCCAAACTTACTATGGTACGGCTTCCACCGCTCTCAGAGTCAGAGCACTTTTTCTGATGCTTCGTTGGTGCAGCCCGAGCTGCCCCCTTCGAACGTCAAGTGTGCGTCTGCCGCTTCTGGCGTCGGGGCGTGTTCGTACCCGAACTGCGCGTGTGGCGAGGCTCCGAAAGCTTAGGTGAACCCACCTCATTGATCTACATGTCGCTCGAGAGTATCGACGTTAGAGCAGGGAGTGTTTGCAAGGAGAGAGTCGGATGGCAGTTGACAGGATGCAAGTTGTTTGTATGAAACGAGAAGTGAGATAATGCGCTTGACCCGAAATTGTCGTTGCGTATGCTAAGATGTCGGTGTCGTGGTGAGGTCAGAGGCCGGTGCCGTGTTGATTGGATGGATGCAGGGCTCCTTCTCCCCCGCGTGTGCTGCGACTATTCAATACATCGGGCCTCAGGAAGGGTCGAAGACTTGGAACGAGAGCTTGCGCGCTATGCGACCATACGACTGACCGAATCCAGGTCGTACCGACTTCAAGTTCTTCCACTCTTTTCACTTCTATTTCTTTTCTTCGTTTCTTCGTTTCTTCTCCAGGGTGTGTGACATGCCCCTTCTGTCCCGCGCTCAGTGGCATACCTGCGAGTGACATATCAGCATTTAACGACGATATTATCGTGCTTGTGTAGAGGACACTCGTGCCACTGCTGGCCGATGGGGCTGCCCCCGAAGCTCTCTCTTGCAGACATTGCTGTTCCTAGTCGTCTGGATGATCGCGTGTCGACGGCTAGAGCGGTTATGTCTGATGGGCATGAGCTAGTGGTAGCTCACAACTGTGGAAGACAGTGTGGATGAGAAGACAGAATCAAGCCCAGGTAATGAGATGGCAGGGCTTAGCGGCAGTCCACTTGGCAAGAACAGCGCCGGACTGAAGCCTGCGATAGTGAGTTGGGACAGAGGATCGGGACGTACATTAATACGGACCCTGTAAAGTGTGTCTATCAGCAGGAACCGTGCGTACCGACACATTATATATACATCATTTACTCTCGTTGTCGTGGCGAGGCGTCAAAGGCTTCGATGCATCCACCTTACGTGCGATGGGCAGGCACTAAATTCATAACAAAGTGCATTGAGAGACCCGAAGGCTAAAGGAAAGTCGGATGAGGTAGTTGCGCAGATATACAAGAATTTGAACCGCTGCTCCAGGCATATGCTGGGCCGAACTGTCCGACAGTAGTGAAGTAATACGATTCTACACGGTGTCGTGCGAACGTAGTGCCATGCCATAGTTTGATTGTGTGCGAGTCGCTTCAGTGGAATATGATGCTGCCCTATCGCTGGAGAATAGTGGTCCACGGAACTTAGAAGGGTGAGTCGATGTGACTGGAGTAAAGGTACACGATAATGAAACGCACGTTGCATAGCGAGATCCCTCATAATACTCCTCTTCCACGAAATCCGCCGCGAGAGGATTATGCGCGACCCGCGGAACCTCCAGAATCTCGTCATCGCTCAGCTCATCTGCGTCTCTATCCTCCAACCCGTCGCCCGGCAAATTGCGCTCCGCGACATTACCGCCATCAACGGGTGATGCCCGACGTGTTTTTCTGCACCGTACAGGAAGCTCAGTCGCCTTCGCACCGCAGATGCAACATAACACCCCAGGGTCTTTCGCGATGATCTGATGCTATCTTCAAACACATTCTCCGCGCCAACACCGACCCCGTTCGCAAGGGCGACTACCACATCGGCCTGACGCGCAGACGAGAAGACATGCGTGCGCAAGGTACGTCTGGGCGATCTCGACATTTACAGCCCGAAGCGCGCTACAGACTGGCGGATCAAGGTGAACGCTGAGTTTCGTCCGTTTCGATGCATCCATTGTTCGGCGGGTGTATGTACATTGCACACTCTGAGTAGTACCATTTCTGAGCTGGGTCGATCCAGGGTAATGCTTCGTTCTGAAAGAAACTGTAAATCATTATTCTTTCCTGCGTCGCACGTTGAGAACGATCGTCAGTGCGCACGACTGAGGTACAGAATCCGATCCTAGGAACGTGTCGGCGTCGCACCTTTCACTTCTAGTCAAATCAAGGCCTTGGGATATGTCTGCTCAGCCAGGCCATAACGGCAGCGAAGCTGGTCCATCTGAAGCTATAGCGCAGGGTAGAAGTACTGGGTGGAAAACGCAGCGTGCTCACCATTAGCCGACTTCCTATTGGGTCCCGACAGCAGCGCTCTGCCGGGACCGTCCTCGATCGTGTGCACAGCGTGACGCACCCCGATAGCCCATGCAAATGCGCTGGACTCGATTTGCTCTCTCGTCCGGGGCCCTGGCATCCCAACATGGTTGATCGCCTTATCGTAGCAGGTCCTGCAGCACCAGAGGAGGTATAAAAGACCTTCAGTTTCGACGGAGGGTCTCCACCACCCACTCACCCAACCGAGCCACACACCTAGTCTTCTACCACCACCACCAGCTTCAAAGTTTACAATGGTGAGCAATCCACTGCACGTGCCCCGTGCCTTACTGACTCTTCCGATGCAGCCCGAGCAGCCCCCGTCCAACGTCAAGTGCGCGTCCGCCGCTTCCGGTGTCGGAGCGTGTTCCTACCCCAGCTGCGCGTGCGGCGAGGCTCCGAAGGCTTAGTGTCCCATCATCCCTCTTCGCGTGCGTTGGAGAGGGCGTTCATTGAATGTGCGAGGCGATGCAGAGATGTGTATGAGGTCGGAAGCAGCAGCAGCCGAAGTTGTTGGCCGAAGGGCCGCGGAGGTCGATGTTTGTGTAAAGGAGAATCCAAGTTCGTCGATTCAATTTGCGAGACGAGGGAGAGTACAATACGCGGTTCGGATGCAGCAGCAGCAGCAGGAGTCATCTGTCAACGGGACGCGGAGTTTTGACGTTTGTGTACCAAGAGGGCTCGTGATCCTGCCCACTTAGTCTCGATTCCAGACGTTGACGCACGGAAGCAGTCGAAAAAACCATTCGCTGAGACCATGGCGCGTTGGCCTTCGCTGAGGAGATGTTCTTCTGGACTGCTGCTCGGGGCAGTCGCCCCATCGAATGTAGGTGACATTTCACATCCAGGATCTGAATACTGGCGGGCGCCTGACGAGCAGTGTTCCACGACGAGCCACCGAGCGCACAGCGAAAGTCGTACCTGGCATATCTGCCCAACGTTAACGAACCCACACTGATTGGACGCGGTCCTCCAATCGCCGCTCTTCTCTGCATAGCGTCTTCCTCCTGTCTGCGCTATGATACATTCAGGAAGTCAGGTACACCGAAGACGTGGACTGCGCGCTAGGCAACCGCACCACGATTGCCCCTTTTCTCTCGACTTTCAATTCTTCTTTGGTGTGTGGCACTCTCTCTTCCGCACTTGTTCTGGCGGCCTATTTATATATAATATGACGACGTTGGATAGGTGTGCAGGGGTGGCGTACCTTTATCGAGGACGTTGGGGGTGGGGTCAGGCACCGTTGGACCATGCATTTGCGGAGACCAGGCGGCTGTTCTGCGGTGGTGGTGTTGCTTTGAACCGCTGCTCGAGGCAGTCGTCGCATAAGAGGTGGACCATTAAACACTGTGCGTACGCGATGGAGATTTGAGGGTGGTGGCTCGCGCGTTCGTCCCCGGTTTGCGATAGGTTTCAATTTGAACAGCCAGCAGCGTACGTAGATGTCCATACGTCAGACTACTACTGCGTGCTGTCTCGAGACTGCATGAATTCTAAAGTTATGCCGGCCTGCTCTTCACATGCTGCCATTGTTCGTCAGGCGTATGTACATTGCCCACTCCGAGTGGTATCATTTCTAAGCAGCGTCGATTCAGGGTAACGTTTCGTTCTCGAACAAAATGGAACATATTTCCTGCATCGCACGTTGAGAACGATCGTCAGTGCGAGTGAGGACGCACCACGGTCAGGTGTAGAATCCAATCCTAGGAACGTGTCAGTGTCGCATCTTTCACTTCTGGTCGAATCAAGGCCTTGGGATATGTCTGCTCAGCCAGGCCATAACGACAGCGAAGCTGGTCCATCTGAAGTCATAGTGCAGCGTAGAAGTACTGAGCGGAAAACGCAGCGTGCTCACCATTAGCCGACTTCCTATTGGGTCCCGACAGCAGCGCTCTGCCGGGACCGTACTCGATCGCGTGCACAGCATGACGCACCCCGATAGCCCATGCAAATGCGCTGGACTCGATTTGCTCTCTCGTCCGCGGCCCTGGCGTCCTAACATGGTCGATCGCCTTATCGTAGCGGGTCCTGCAGCATCCAGTGAGGTATTAAAGACCTTCAATATCGACGGAGGGTCTCCATCACCCACTCACCCAACCGAGCCACACACCTAGTCTTCTACCACCACCACCAGCTTCAAAGTTTACAATGGTGAGCAATCCACTGCACGTGCCCCGTGCCTTACTGTTCCGATGCAGCCCGAGCAGCCCCCGTCCAACGTCAAGTGCGCGTCCGCCGCTTCCGGTGTCGGAGCGTGTTCCTACCCCAGCTGCGCGTGCGGCGAGGCCCCGAAGGCTTAGTGCCCCACCCATCACCCTTCTTCGCGTGTCGTTGGAGCTGGCGTCGACAGAATGTGCGAGGCGAGACGAGGTGTGCAGAGTACGCGGATCGGAAGCAGCTGAAGTCGTTGATTGAAAGGATGCGGAGGTAGATGTTTGTGTAAAGGAGAATCCAAGTTCGTGGATTGAATTTGCGAGACGAGACAGAGTACAGGACGAGATTCGGATGCAGCAGCTGCTGGAGTCCTCGGTCACAGGGACGCGGAATTTTGAAGTTTGTGTGCAAGAGAATTCAGGAGGCCTCGTGAGGCTGTATGCCTGGATATCTTCGATCTCGCGGAGAGCTGGGATCTTCATGTTTTGAACAAGTACTAGCAGGGCAGCTCGCGAGCTCCGCCCTGTTCTCCCTCCGCACCGCAAAGGAAAAAGTTATGTCCACGCGAAGAAGACGAAAGAGACGCGCACCGGCTGTACACCTGTGTAATCGAGCCAGGGAATTCGTTTATATCGGCCAGCACACCGCCAGAAAGAGGACCTTCATACCGCGTCGAACGCGGCGAACTCACTGAACCGTTGATCGGGAAGGAGATCTCAGTGCACGTGCCTTGATGCGACACCGAATGAGGTATGTTGCGTGAAACATAGAACTGCATGTTCAAGTTCGGAACGAGTCCTCACAACTTGAACCGAGATTCTCTTCGTTTTTCGTACTTACCATGGTGACTCACCTATACGACTCCAGCACCGACTCTCCTGAGGTCCAAGACGCGCGTCTGCAGCCAGCTCGTGCGGTTACAGACGCACATATCCCTTGTTTGGTCTGGGCGGAGGATGCGCTCTCCTTTGTGCATTGTGTTCCAACAGTTCTATTTGCTCTTCAAATCCTAGTGCCTGACGAGTATGTAGAGGCCGCGGCAACGGCGATCGTGTCCCATCTGCCGTACAAGCAGATGACGGAGCCTGACTCCAGTTGGCTCGACTACAGGTTTGTAGATGCCAGCGAGCCAAGCTGCTTCCCATGGTCTGTTTTCCTGCAGCACATATCCCCTCACGAACGAGCGGAGGACGACCCGGAAAAAATTTTCGTACACCCGCAGTCCTACTTCTCAGTCGACGTCCGCGATCCTAGTCTGTCCGTGTCCCTGGTTCCCCCGCTACCGGCACACAACACATCCATTCGATTCCCCATTCTTGCTGCCTTCTTAGACTCCATGATCGCTACGCAGCTTGAACCGCCGATTGGATACCGACACTGGAGGTTCACCCAAAGACTGAAGGTGTACATCGGCTATCTCATGACATACAGCCCTGCCTTGCGTGCGGACCCTCGCGTACTTCCTAATGGTGAGCTCGAGCCTGGACACGCGAAGGTCATGAATAGTCTTAAAGCGGAAAATCGGCACTACCTTGACATGGCTTTGAGGGGGACGTCGAAGGGATGGCTTCCTGAGGTGCAAGAGCGCAGAGCGATATTAGAGAAGATAGGGTGTGTTTATTTTCAGTTAACATTATGTTTGTCTCATCGCTCTTCAGGCGATTTGCCGAGGCACCCAAGCCGCTACCGAAAGTCAAGCGCCATCCATCTGTGAGGTAAGCACATAAAGCCGTTCACAAGCATATCTGATTCGCATATCTGATTCGCTGTAGGCACTTTAGGACGCTCCACACCTCAGCGCGCACTCAACTAGGATCCTCCGACGAGATTGGTCTGCGAAGGTTAGTTCCCGTAACTTCCTCGCGACCGTCTCTTACTTGGATAATGTGAGGGTGACTGACAATGATCTCGGCCAGGCGTTGCCATATGTCTACAAGCTTTGCGATCGGTCCGTACGCCAGGGAGATGATGCGATTCCGACGGCGGGTACCATCCGTGATATCATTAGGAATTCGTTAGCTCCGCTGACGGAGAAAGTTGATATGCTGATGGAGAAAGTTGGTACACTGTTCGAAATTTCTCAGGTAAATTATTGTCAACTGTTCCAGTATCGCATGACGGTTATGGCTGGTTATAGGCCTACAACGCCGGTTGTGGATCGGGCGAATATCGCAACTACAAAGCCATTCCTTTCAGGAACATCGACGGACAGGTGGAACCGCCTGAAGGTGTTTGTGCGACTTTCTCAGCGACAAATCGGTGCAGGTGCGGCTGCTCGAGCTCCGAGGGCAGCCAATCTTGAGGTGAGTCGCTCGGCATCGTGTACATGTATTTCGCAGTATGTGCGCTGCGAACCTTGTCACCGTTTACCAACTGCCCGTCTCATACCGCTTGGTTGGGAGTTATGGGGTGACGCGTCTTCCCGAACTTGGAGGAAGATCATGGAATAAACATTGGCAAGGCACCGTGGAGGACGGCGCAGGGGATGCACACGATGACGATGGGACACCCGAAGTGGGATCTGCGAAGGTCGAGCTGGAACGGATCAAAGAGGACGAGTGCCCATAAATGAACCGTAGCAATATTATGGCCAATATATAGGAATGCAATATGCACTCACCCGTATTCTAGCACGCAGGGGAGGGTGGCTCGGCACGGGTGCAAAATACGCGTGACATCTCGCGTCGGTCACGATCGAAGTCACCAAGCTCCGAGTCACGCTGCTCTGTGTCAACGTCGGATTATGATACCTGCATGCCGAAATGCATCATACACCAATGAAAGTATGTCTTTCAGTTCCTTTCTCCACCATCAATTGATCGTCTACCACGCACAAATTGAAGGCCAACCAGATATCTGAGGGGTCTCCAACCACTGCAGATACCGCTGCACCGCAGGAGGAAAGAGGAAGACTGAGAAATGATGTAGGTGCGCCCGCTGACGATCTCTACTCAAAATGTTATCTAACTACAACGGACTTAGCTCCTGTCGAGGAGCCCGAAAATACGCGTTCCACCTGTCGCCTCGACTCACCAGGTCATGCATGGCGTTCACCAGCACGACGCAATCTTGACGCCTCCGATGACACCATTTTCGAATCGCACCCGACGCCATTCGCTTTTCTTTTGCTTTTCGGCCCCTTGGACATCGTAGACACTCTGCCTCTCTCACGTTCGACATATAACCCATCCTCGCCTTTCCTCGTGTCGCCCATCTCGGTTCCTCCCTCTTCCGCTGTCTCTAGCTTCCAGGGTGCTTGCACACATGAAGCCACATCGTCTGTTTGCGCAATCCCCCATCAGCGTTCGTGCCCTTCCTCCACTTTCCCACCTCAAATTTCAACTGACCCGCGAGCACGAAGCCGGAATTTGTCTTTTGTCTAAACTAAACCCAAGATGGGTCTGAGTTCGCCACGCAGCATTAATGACAAATCTGGTCCTTGGGTCTCCTCTTTGCTTCTTACTCCCATCTTAAGGCAACTTTCCCACGGTTCCAGCCAATAGGAGTAGGCTGCGACACCGTGGATCCTAGCATCTTAAGAAACTTTCCACCTGCGAAACAAAGTAGTACATAACCAGATAGCACTAGACAGTCTCGACGATGTCGCCGCAGCCGCCTGGCACGGCAGACACAACCACCAGTAAACGCAGTCTGAGGTCAACAACCCCAGCACCATCGACATCTAAGCCCGAGTCTCAGAACAAGCTTGAGCTTCCAACGATGGCAAAGGTACCGTCGACGGAAGCAGCTATACAGCTGTTACTCAAAAACAAGCTCATTGAAGACAAGCACCCGAACGTGAAGAGCCTGGTTCAGGGTCTTTCGTTAATCGCTAAGTCGGCCTCCAAGGCCTCAGCTATGGTTGACATCATCACCGCTTTCGCTCACTATGCTAGTAGACTAACGGTGGAAGAAGCAGCTGGAAAGCTTATAGAACACGTTGTCCACAAGACGAACAACTCGTGGGGCTACCTTGACGACACGGCTACAGACTTCACGCAACTGGAGTCCAAGTTCGAGCTCCACGTCAATCGAACGGAAGTACTACTCCAGAAGCTCGAGGTCGAGCACAAAAACTCGGCGGAAAGAGCCTCCAGACTCGAACAAGCTGTCACGAAGATGATACAAACATCCGAAGAGATAGCAAAAGAACATACCAATCCGGTAGGTGCCGTGCCGCAACCTTCTGGACTGACATATGCTGCAGCCGTAACCCAAGTACTCCCGACCTCCCATGCATCCACCCTCGCCCGCGAAGACATCCTAGCCAGCCAGGTCCTCGTTGACGGAGCCCCGGCCAAGAACGCCTCCGGAGCTATGCTCACAGAAGAGGAGCTCCTAGCGAAAGCAGAAATGGCATACAGCTTGATGGGTATCAAGGCGTCAGACGCTCCCCCCTCCTTCGCTTTCCGCTCGTGCAAGAAACTCCGAAATGGCGGGGTAGTATACAACATGAACAGCCCGACGTCGGCCAAGTGGCTACGTTCTACTGATGTCATGAAGACCTTTCTTGACCACTTCGGTGGTGGTAACTGCCAACTGAAGACACATACGTATGCCGTTATTGCTGAATTTGTCCCGATAGCCTGTCGCCCCGACGAACCCCACTACCTTCGAATTATTGAATCACGCAACAACTACGACCCAGGTGACATCGAAAGTGCGCAATGGATTAAGCCTCCGGAATGCCGATCCGAAGGCCAACGTAAAGCCCACCTCATTATCCGTTTCACTAACCCAAAATCAGCAAACTCTGCACTCAGACAGGGCCTGATTATTGCAGGAACTGACATTTCAGCACGGAGACTCATTCCAGAGCCCCGCAGATGCCTCAAATGTCAAAAGATAGGAGTCCCACACTTTAGTGCAGACTGCAAATCCATCCATGACACGTGCGGTAAGTGTGCCTCTGTCGGGCACAGAACAGCTGACTGCCAGGAACTTGACCCAACCAACTACGGCTGTGCTAATTGCCAAGCCACGCATCGCCCAGACTGGAAGGGGCATGCCGCTTGGGACCGTTTATGTCCCATCTTCCTAGAAGAGCGGAAGAAGATGATGGACCGCCTCCCAGAGAGCAAGTACCGTTTCTTCCCAACTGCTGACCCCACTTCATGGGAACAGATACATGAGGTTACGCCAGCTCATCCAATGGCCCACACAACTGCATTCCCAGCTCGTACAATGACTAGCACCCAACCTTCGCAGTCCCGAGCTAAGCAGAAGTATCCACAAAGCTGGGCAGATGATGAGCCCCCAGTTACCTTTCACTTTCAGAATGGCAACAAACGACCCTCGCAAGCTCAGCGGAAGCAAGCGTACCAAGCATCCCAGGGTCATCACGATACTAACCAAACACTAATCTATGACCATCTCAACCAAGCTGGCTCCTCCGAAGCAGCACATGACGGCCGCTCCCAACAATCTCTAGACTATGCCTGAGTCCCATACTAACCCATCTAACTTACGTATTTGCCAACTGAATCTTAATAAGTCTTTAGATGCGCAATCCGCATTTTTAAACACGGTATCAGTCTGCGACTTCGACATTCTCCTCCTCCAAGAACCCTACCTAGATCATGCTAGTATGAGTCATGCCACTCCTCACTGGCGAGTTGTATACCCCCCACGACACCCACGTCCAGACACACGCACTCGCTCTATCATCCTCGTCAGCTCCCGACTCCCGACTAGCACATGGCGGGACCTACAGGTTGACTCCCCTGACATCACTGCTATTACAGTCAACTCGGATATAGGCCCTCTGCACATATTTAATGTTTACAATGACCAAGGGCATCAACAGACTCTACACCTGCTAAGTCAAAGCACTCGCAGTCTTAGCTTAGACCACACTAACAACGATCAGCAGGGACATATCATCTGGGCGAGAGACTTCAACCGACACCATTCTATGTGGGACGAGGAGCACAACCACCATCTTTTCACAGACCAAGCACTAACCCTTGCACAGCCGCTTTTAGATGCAATAGCATCATTTGGCCTGGAGATGCTGCTTCCTGCAGCCACCCCCACGCTTCAAGCTTCAGGAACGAAGAATTTTACCCGCCCAGATAATGTCTTTGGATCAGATTCACTTGAGTGCAGGCTGACTTCCTGCGATGTAACTCCAGAGCTCCGTCCCCCCAAAACGGACCACTTTCCCATTTCCACATCCATCGATGTCTCTGTACATCATGAGGAGTCTGAGAGACGTCGCAACTTTCGTAATGTCGACTGGCCGGAATTTCGTCACACTTTGCAAGAACAGCTTGCCAGTGCCCATGCACTGACCAGAGAAATCCAGTCTGTGGAGGACTTCAACTCCATCCTGACTTCGGTAATGCAAGCAGTGGAATACACCATTGACGTTCATGTCCCCGTGTCTACTCCTACTCCCTACACGAAATGATGGTGGTCCAGAGAGCTCAGCTCAATGCGGAAACAAGTAAGACACCTCACTAAATGTTCTTACAAAGCCAGGTCCAACCCTCATCACCTGATACACATGGAGTACCGTTCAGCTCGAAACCATTACATGGACCGGATCAGGACCGCAAAGCGCGACCACTGAGAGGCCTGGCTGGAGTCGGCTGATAGCGACTCAGTCTGGACAATCAACAAGTTCACCCAAGCTGGCCCTACAGATGGGGGCAGGACCCGGATCCCACCACTCATGCCGACAAATGGTGTTGGAGAGCTGATATCAGACAACCAAGGTAAAAGCGAAATTCTTTATGACGCTTTCTTTCCCCCTCCAGGCATGACCGCGACTCCACCAATCGATGTCACCTACCCACCTCCTGCATTCCTCTTCACTCCACCAACAGATGCCCAAATAGAAGCTGTAGTTAAACGGCTCAAAGACTTCAGGGCGCTGAGTCCGGACAAGACCCCGAATGAGGTATACAAGCGGTGCATCGACATCTTACTCCCTTACTTAGGACCACTATTCCGAGCGACCTTCTCTTTGAAGATATACCCCAGCAGTTGGAAGATCTCTGACACAGTCGTGCTCCGCAAGCCAGGTCGGCCTGACTACATGGCAGCAAAAGCATACAGACCCATCGCTCTCCTAAACTGTGTTGGCAAGATTCTTTCCGCCTGTGTCACAGAGACACTGGTACACGAAGCAGAGTTGAATGACTTACTAGCAAACGGACACATTGGAGGCAGACCAGGCCATACCACTACGGATTCCCTACACCTTCTGGTAAAGACAGTGAAAGATGCATGGCGCCATCATAAAGTTGCATCTATCCTTTTCCTGGACATTAAAGCAGCTTTTCTGAGTGCTCTCCCAGAACGTCTTCTCCACAATATGCGCATGCAAGGGGTCCCAGTGGAGATTGTAGACTGGATCCGGCATCGCCTAGAAGGATGCCACACCCACTTAATTTTTGATGACTTCACCTCAGCTATCTTCGAGATTCTCAGTGGCATAGATCAAGGCTGCCCCCTCTCCGTCATCCTGTACCAGTTCTACAATTCGGACCTACTGGACTCAGCCAAGCTCACACTCGCACTGGGACACATTGATGATGTGGCCCTCATAGCGACAGGTTCGAATTTCGAAGAAACACATGACAACCTACGGCATTGTATGGATCACTCGGACGGAGCCATGATGTGGTCAGCAGACCACCAATCTGAATTCTCGCTAGACAAATTCGGCCTGCTGAACCTCTCAGCGAGGCTTCCATCACTAGGCCCAGCCCTCCAGTTACGTTCCTGCACAGTACAGCCCACATCAACATACAAGTTTCTCGGTGTTCTTCTCGATCACCACCTTTACTTCCGCAAACACACAGCATACGCGCTCACTAAAGGTATGACGTGGGTACAGCAGTTCCGCCGCCTCGCCAAGGCAAAGTCAGGCATCCCCTACTCATACATGCGATGCCTGTTCATCAGTGTCACTGTACCCCGCATGCTGTATGCAGCGGATGTCTTTCTAACACCCATGCGCACCCTTCCCAGACAGTTGAAGACACACAGATCTGTATTAGCGATCAAGTCTCTCGCTCGCGTTCAGCGACAAGCAGCTCTGCTCATCACGGGAGCACTTTCATCCACAGCCACAGACACTCTCAATGCACATGCCTCCCTTCTTCTGTTCCACCTTCTCGTTGACAAGGTCTGCCACAGAGCGGCTGCCCGACTCTGCACTCTTCCCCCGTCACACCCCCTACACGACCAAGTCGCACGAGCTAGCACCCACTATGTCAAGAGCCACTGCTCCCCCCTACATGAGCTCCTCCATGCATACCAGATCTTCCCAGGGAACATGGAGAAGATACAGCCAGTACGCTTACACCCTACTTGGACACTGAGATTTTAAGTCGAGGTTGCTCCCAGCAAAGCAGAGGCATTAGACAGCGAGTTGAAATGGGCTGATGCAGGAGGGATCCGAGTATACACCGACGGATCAGACATTGATGCGGGAGTTGGAGCCTCTGCGGTCCTATACTGTCCTGGGTCCAGCACTGTCAAGGTACTTAGATACCATCTGGGCCCATCGTCAGAGCACTCGGTCTACAAGGCCGAAGTAGTCGGCCTTGTCCTGGCCATCCACTTATTGAAACGGGAAATCAGTGTACAGTCGGCCTCCTGTGCTGCCAACAACAAAGCATCCATCCTCGCTACGAAGCTGCAAAAACCAGCACCAGGCCACTACCTGATCGACATGCTCCATCATGACGTTAACGCACTCTACCGCACGCATGCCATCGATCACTGCAACCTAACCTTCCATTGGGTACCAGGTCACAAGGACGTCGAAGGAAATGAACGAGCAGACAAGGAAGCCAAAGTGGCCACGCGAGGCAACTCCAGTCCATGAAATTGCCTCCCGCAGTCCCTGCACAGCCATCTCCCAACCAGTGTTTCAAAAGTATGCCAATATCACATGACACGGCTGAAAGAGACTGCACAGATGCACTGGAGGGAATCCGAATGGGGACAGAAGTTTGCATGCATCGATGCCTCTCTCCCATCCAAGAACTACAGGAAGCTCGTAGTGAATCTCCCCCGATGACATGCCAGCCTCCTCATGCAACTCCGAACAGGTCACATTGGCCTGAACCAACACCTACATCGCATCCGCAAGACTCCGAGTCTGATATGCCCACCCTGTCATCTCGCCTCCGAGACCGTTCAGCACTTCCTTCTCACTTGCACAGCATACACCGGCCAATGACATGCACTCCACCTGGCGCTCAGCCGCGCTGCGGGATCCTTGTTGCGACTACTCACCAATCCGAAGGCTATGAAACCGCTTTTTCGCTACATCCACGCCACCGGTAGATTCCTAGGCATATTTGGCCCTCTCGACAGTTCAGACAAACGGTCCAACGACCTACCAGAGAAGTGACCCTGTTCCTCCGCCATCTACTCCTGACAAGCCTCTTTGACAGACCCACCAGACGAACGACTCATGCTGTACATGCATTACTTACTACTTACATCATTTTTCCCCTTTATGCCCCAGAGGTCGGAGGAGTTTCGACGGCCAGTGATCAGCAAACTCGCACAAGTCTAGCACATCTGGCACCAGATCAACCATACACTGCCAGATGCCACCACGCTGCCATAAATTTGTCTGGCATTATATTTGACCTACGTATTACCATAAACCAATCTGTGGCACCATACGCCAGCCACAACTAAACCAGAACTGCCATACAAGTGCTCTGGCTCCATGCTCATCATTGTAGCTCACACCAAATTCTAGGTAGTTCAAACAATTAGATATATTGGGCCAATGCTAACTACAGTACAACACTATCCAGCACAGCACACTGCGAGTGATGATAATCCGACAGCACCCAGATCACAGTCCCCCACTGAACTAACGGCGAGGCCCATCAGCGAAGGCAAACCCTTCAGCTACAACAGCAGAACAGTGCCGGTGTGCACAGGGTAGGAGATAGTAATGGCTCTGTAGAATGTGACATCAGATATCGAGACTAAAGGAAACAAGAAGACCAATAACTTACTGCCTTAAAGGGATGTAAAGGGAGAACTGGGCTCCAGGCGAGCAGCACCGCACCCCAGCATCGCCAATAAATCACTCACACAAGCAAGCCCAGGATCTCAGCTGCAGCACGTGATGCGAAGCCACCCCGGCCGGCAATGGGCCAGCGGCGCCTGTCTCAAGAAGACGAGCGTGCGCACTATCGCAGAGAAGTCCTCAGCATGCCAGGGCCTGTCGACACATGGATCCTGGTGAACACAACAGGTGGCTGCACATGCCCATGTTCAAGCTCGGGTCTGTGCTGCCCGTTTATGGCCTATGAGGTCTGATGCATGCTGCAGATGCAGCGCACGAGGGTGTGTGAACGCGACTCACCGTCCTATGCATGGCGTGTATTAGGGGCCAAGAATCATCTAGCAAAATACATTAGGAAATATATCTGTTCATACCACATAGGACTTACTTGTTTCGCGATGTTGTCGTAGTATATTGAAAGGGCGGGTATTCGTAGCACTTGCACGCACTCACAGCGTACCCGAGTTCCACCGCTAGGGCCAGTGACTCCACTGCATGATCTTGGTCAATGAAGAAGATGGCATTGAGAATGTCCTCATTGTCCATCATGATGTTATGCTCATGGAACAGGGTGAGCTCATGCAGGGCAAATCAAGAGACATACGATTTGTCAGGCTTTTGCGTCACTTCAAATACATCTCTTTTTAAGCCCTACCGGATGTTACAATCTACAAATGCTCACCAATGGAAATGTCTGCATAGATCTGCAGAAAAGGCGATGTGTTGGTGGGCGCATACAGGAAGTTGTCCGGGCCAATATTTAGCACAATCATTCATAAAATGCTGGAGATGCTCACCCACAGTCATTATGGAATCTCGCCTCCCTCATAGAGATCGTAAGTATGCAAGGGTTGAAGAGACCGGAGGAGAAACCAGAGATCTTCGATGGGAGCATACTGATGTGCCATGTTTGGTCAATTCAACGGAGTCACGTGCCATGGAACTTCGCATTTCTTCCGAATCTTTGCCTTTGGAGAATCTCTGTGCCTCGTATAATCTGTGTCACCTTATTCTTATGTACCTGATTGGGCTCACACACAGAAACTATCCACTGTGTAGTACCACTGAAATATATTTTCCATTGTGGCACTGTATGGCTGAGTGTCTGGATTTATGGCGGAGTATGGCTTGGTATGGTGCCACGAGAACCACGGCCACCATACACACCAGAGCCCACCAGACTTGTGCTAGTTTGCTGATGTGGGGGACCACTGGACGGATCCCTGTACGCAGCAAGAGACACTGTCCGGGACAGTAAGCTGTCACCCAAAAGTGCGACAGGTTTAGATCCCGGTCTCTAGTGTTCAATCGCCAAGGGCGGCCCATCAGCCTTTATCTTCCTCCTCTCTTACTTCTAACTATACTCACCCACTCTATACCATCTTACAGCGCCTCTCAAGCTTTGCGGAGCACTATGTTTACACTGAATTCCCTTTAGGTATTCTCGTCTCTACATACACTACTGTACTATTTCGACCAACTGTTCAGGCATTGTGATGCGTGACGCTCAGTTCGGCCAGTTCAATAGTTCAGAGGTCGCTGTGACTTGTGACAAATGGTTCAGTCCAGGTCGTAGTGGGTGCTTACTAGCTTCATAAGGCATGAGAAAGCAGTGAACTGACCTTAGGTTGAGTTCGGAGATGTGTGTGATGCGTGACTTCTGAACTCAGAGCCCAGTTCAGAGGGTTGCATGATGCGTGACTGAACAGTTGGTCGAAATAGTACAGTAGTACTATGTCTCACCAGTGGTGGCCAGTATTGTATAACAATACTGCAGGTAGCTGGGCAAGGTGTTGTTCACTACTCACCAGTTCTTGTCAATTGTCAAAGTTATTGTTAATAACAGTCTGAGAGGATTGTAATACAATAACAACTTGTACAAAACAACTTGCACTCAGCCAGACTTAAACCCTGATCTTTCAGTCATCTGATTACATAAGCACATGCACACACAATCTACCAACTGCTCCATTGGGCCATACATTTCTTTCAGCCTCAATTCTATATAAGGCTACTGCCTTCTCTAATATACATATTAGAATCTCTTGTAATAACTACTATATCCTGTTGTTACTGTGGCTTCTAATAGTTATTTGCCTACATTTTTCTATTTATTTCACTCTAATAGCTTTATTACATCTATAAATTTTGATATTACAGTTTTAATCTTATTTGAATATTTACTGAACTAAAAAGGAAATGCTTAATATTAGGCACTCAAAGACTTATTAACAGGGACATCAATCACTGTTAGAAGCTACAGTAACAACAGGATATAGTAGTTATTACAAGAGATTCTAATATGTATATTAGAGAAGGCAGTAGCCTTATATAGAATTGAGGCTGAGAGAAATGTATGGCCCAATGGAGCAGTTGGTAGATTGTGTGTGCATGTGCTTATGTAATCAGGTGACTGAAAGACCAGGGTTCAAGTCTGGCTGAGTGCAAGTTGTTTTGTACAAGTTGTTATTGTATTACAATCCTCTCAGACTGTTATTAACAATAACTTTGATAATTGACAAGAACTGGTGAGTAGTGAACAACACCTTGCCCAGCTACCTGGGCCATTGTTATACAAAAGTGGGAACCACAGCTGTATGTCTACTATAGGGCTTCGCCCTCGCGGACAATAAACACATGAGGCCAAAAAAAGAAAAAAAAAATCTGGTCCTTTCGTAGATGTTGAGCGGGTAACGGGTGTCTCCAGCCGATATGACATTACTGGAATTTGCACGTCTCTAGATGGTGGATATTCTTATGTCCTAAAACATGATATGCTTAAGCCGGGGCAAGATCATCTCCAGACTTGTTTGTTGGATATGATCTCAGCCACGCTCCTGAACTTGCCGATGCGATCCTCGGGAACGGGATGTCCACCCGCTACAACAATCCCAAAGATACCAACATTTGCAAAAGGGCCGAGCTACTGCAACGGTGCGTGGTTTTCGCTGTCATTGGTGGTCTTCGTTCATGTAATTCTCTGCAGATTATCAAGCATCACGAAGACGTGGCGGCTATTAAACAGGTGATTGTGCATGCCAGCGCATTCCACGTTGACTTAAGTGTATGCCGTGTCTCTTAGAACTGTGTTGCTGAGTTGCGTTACTCAGCGGTCGCCCGACTGCTGAACATGTATGAAAGAAATGCTTCATATTATCTTGACAAAGTTGTCGTTCAGATAGCTTAGAAGTCTGGCATCCTTGGCCAGATCAAGCTTGATAAGACGCTCTAAAATTTTAAGTTATTCCAAGGGATGCTTTTTGGAACGATTCTTGCGGACACTATCCTCGACAGGAGTTTGTTACTACCTCGGTTCCATCGTCGACGTGAACAGGATCCAGAGGTCCATTTCAAGTATATCCCGGTGGCAACCCGTATCAGTCAGATTTGCGAGGCCGAGAGTATTTGTCGTAAGAGCAACCACTATAATCTGGGTCAAAGAATAACATGGTCACTTCGGTCGTGTTGTGAGAGGCAGCAGCGACTTGTTGGGCCGTGATAATACCGCATGTGAGCCGTATATAGAAGGAGATAAGTATACGCTATGCGCACTTTGCACACCACCATTCAAACATCAGATGACAGGCGGTCTGATGCAAGAGTTTGAATGAATCATCATTTCGTTGCTGTCTCTGGTTAACCCAGTCAATGACAGGTTCTCTGCTGCTACAAAACCCAGAAAGATCATGTCTTGAGTGGAGAGACGCTGCAGCCCATTCGAATTTCCGACGCCGGTATCTGGCGTGTGACCGGGAGCAGCCCAAGGAGCGCTTATGCTAACAGCTTCCAGGCTCACCCCCAAGCACTCACTAAGAAAAGATCTATCATGCTGATGCATATTCAGTGTCGACAGGTCTGTGAAAACATTCTGCAGTTCAGACATCAGCTTGGAGGTTTCGTTTCCGAAATTTGTTTGCAGTTGTTTGATTCGGAGGGCAATAGCTTTGATGCCCATCTCCTTTCGCTGGTCGCTGGTCTCGTACCCAGACGGTTGTCAAATCGCACCCTACCACCGCTGACAACACGTCTGGGGCATTTTGATAGAGGCCTCCTACATTACAGTTAGCGCCCATTAGCCGCCCGAGAAGCCTCGCTTACCGGCTTCTTTAATTACGGACTTGCCTATTTTGTAGTGCTCACTTCGCGGACTCCTGCACGAGTTTTGCACTTTCTGCCCAATGACAATGTTCTGCGTACAGTGGTTATCTTGTCATGGACTTTTTGGGATAGTGGAAACCTTGTAAAACATTTATAGATGACTTCCAACTCACTCTGACCTTGGAACAACCCCGGGAGCACTCACAGTCAGCCAACTTGAGTGAAAATATCCAGAAATCTGGTAACTGATGCACTCAGGCTGATTCATTTCTTACTGTAATATTTATATTGACTACTCTAACGCAACTCCCTGCTGTTCACACTTATTTCGGAGCCAAGGTGCTCGCAGCAACTCAATCTTCGACAGAGGAAGATATTAGAGCGTCACAGCAGCTGCCTATTCCGGAAGAGACCTGGTCCACGGTCTGTCGCTTATCCAGCGCTTAATGGGCGCTAACTGTAATGTAGGAGGCCTCTATCAAAATGCCCCAGACGTGTTGTCAGCGGTGGTAGGGTGCGATTTGACAACCGTCTGGGTACGAGACCACTGGTCGCAAACGTGTGCAAGTCGACCACAGTCTTCTTATTTTGCTTCAACAGACGAAGGCTTGGCCGTCCGATCTGCGTGAGTGGTTTATCTTCTACTATACGTATATAGTTAAGCACTATCGCACGACTAGCACCGTGGGCTTAGCGCTGATACTGCCAGCAGAAGTGCCCGCTGAGTCGGCAGAAAAGTCGCAGACTCCAAAAGCCAGATATGTGAAGAGATAGCATGGCCTTGTTTCACCTCAAACTAGATATACCCAGTGCTCTCCTTGGTGCACATTCGCAGCGACTACGGTTATCTGTTCACTCCTTTACCGCAACACTGAGGAAATTCACATACTGTATTCCGATATTGCTTCCCGCGCACTCAACTTTCGATTCCAGGTCCTTCCTTCGAATGGGTGGGGAACGTAATTCTGCTGTGTGTATCTATCATCTGAGTGAGACAAAGTTTGAACAGGTCCCCGGAGATGTGGATCACGAGTAAGTTTTCTCTACACATCTCTACTTTCAGGCTATTGTACTGTACGTTGCTCAGATGAGAAATCTTATGGATTGCATGCGCCGGTATTTCGTCTTGTTATCTCACCGTGCTGATATGAGCATTCTTTTCAGTTGTTGCGTGATACGCAAAGAGACAATGCAGTTGTGGCTCATAGAGTCACTGCCATGTGACCGAGCTCGTTCATCTCCACTCACTTGGCCACTGCTGGTTCACTAGTCACTCCTTTACGTCCATCATCTCGCGGGTCAACCAACGCCAAGCAATCAAGAGATGGCGACTCCCTCCCCACCCAGTTCCAAGGAATTTCTCCCCGAACCCGTTACGCCTCATCGTCCGTCGCGGAAGGTAGTCGTGGCGGCCACACCGACCACTCGGAACGAGAATGGCGTTCAGCAATGGGGTTTCGGGTCAAAACTCGCCAATGACCGATACGAACGATATTCCCAGGAAGCAGAGCGTTATATTTTAGGCCCCATGCCTGTAGAGGACTTTTTGGATTTCTTGCCAGAGGCACCCACAAAACGGCCGAATGCTAGGAACGCATTCATTGATGTTCCAGAACGGGCAGAAAAGGAGAAGGATATCTATACACCTCTGGTATGTTTACTTGACTCCGATAGAATGGCACCGCTGAGTGAAGCTCCAGATTGCGGCGCTCAACGCCGAATTGAATGGCCGGAAACGCTGTCCTGGGTTTGTTTTCCTGGATACCTCGTCACGAGGCACCAATCATGGAAAACCTGGGTCGGTGAAGCCTGATGTGGTTTGTTATTCCACGGAGATTGTCGACTCGGTTGACACTAACAAGACGACGGACGAGCCCATCGGCGATCTTAGTTTCGCAGACTTGTATATTGAGGTAAAGGGACGACCTGAACAGGATTGTTTTACAGATCCATCACCCAACAGCGATCGCGCTGCACACAAGTTCGTCCTGAACATTACTGGTGAAAGAAAGCTCGAGCAGGCCAGGCACGATCTCGGACAGAATATCGCATACGCAGTTGATGCGTTTGCACGCCAGTACCGCACGCGGTACTTTTCGGTGTCATTATCCGGGACATTAGCTCGTCTCATCCGGTGGGACCGTGGGGGCGTGATGGTATCGGAATCGTTTGATTTGCGCAAACGACCAGAGGCACTCTGCGAGTTCTTGTGGCGATATGCGCATGCGTCGGGAGCGAAGCGCGGGTACGACTGTACCGTCGAATGTGCGACAAAAGAGGAGGAAGCGTTGTTTGAGGAGTCCATCACGCGCCACGTCAAATTACAGCTGGACCTCGAAGATATGGCGCAACTAGTTGGGAAGCAAAAGAAAGCTGCTGAAAAGGAACTGGCCGCCGGAGTGGATGAGCATTTTGAGCGAGGCACTGTGGCTGCGATCACCGTCGTTGACCAGAATTCGAGAAGGCGCCGACTGCTGGTATCTCGGCCAGTAGTCTCACCTCTTACATTGGCCAGTCGTGCCACTCGCGGGTACTGGGCGGTGGCGGCCGACGAAGAACGAGGAAGGGTTGTCTTCCTGAAGGACACATGGAGGTACACTGCGGACGGCATACGAAAAGAGGGTGATATATTGGCAGAGCTACAGGATGCTGAGGTACCGCAAACCCCGCAATTGGTCCATCATGGAGACGTCCCAGAGCAATGCCCCATCTCGGATGGCACAGATATAGAAGGAAAGCTACGTGAACAGACAGGTATGTTTTCAGAATTGCCATCTTGAATCTCCATCTAATCTACGTACAGCTTTTCAGTGCACCTTTACTCCGAGATACCAAGATGCAAAGTGGGTGTGCAAGAATGGGAAAGCTAAGATTCCAGTATTTGCTCAGGTACATTACAGGCTAGTATTAGGCACTGTGGGTTATGGTCTGCAGAGATTCAAGGGGACAAGAGAACTTCTTAGCGGTACCTACGATGCGTATCAAGGTATGTGGCCTCATTCCTATGTGTCACTGCTATTCTCTCATTTCCTTCTGCATTATTATTCAAGCTATGCTGGGCGCGTTCTACATGGACGACCAAACAAAGAGTAGGCTTCATCGCGATATCAGCCTAAGTAATATTATCCTCGTTATGGATCCGATGACGCGGATAAGGCGCGGCTACTTGATTGATTGGGAACTGTCCTGTCTTATTAACAACACAGGAGGGACTCGGGATTACAGAAGGACGGTGAGCTAACACAGTGTGTTCTAATCATGCAAGTACTCATCGACGGATCTCTGCAGGGAACATTTCAGTTCATATCACAACGCATGCTGCGCTACGAGAATGTTGCTCACACGATCCAGGACGACATGGAGTCAATCCTCTGGGTCGTACTCTATTGCAGCTTGCTGTGGTTGGATCACGATCTGCCAGTGAAAAAACTGGTCACAACGATGTCCACTATTTTCGACCAATGCAATTCATTCGAGGACGGTGAAACTACGGCTGGTGATGGCAAGGTCAGCAATCAAGTCTCCCGATTGTACACAAGCAAGATCCATTTCTCGAACCCGAAGATTCAAGAGTGGTTGAATGCAGTCATGAATTTCAACTCATCCTATGTGTTTAATTGGCCGCTGAACGCGACATTTTTCAAAGCCTGGGAGGATCCTCGAACACTCGATAGATACTGGAAGGCTTTCCTGGGCGACAACGAACTGCTTACTGCGGACAGGATATCTCGTGTATTGCCTCTGAAGCAAGCACCTCGGAACGACCCAGGCAGAGCGACGCCGCACCCCGCGACTAGGACAATGTCTACCCTTCCTATCCATGACTTTACCATGCCCCGGATGTCAGCATTGCAATTGGGATCAATTCGATCTGGGGTGAAGCGAAAGGCAGAAGGCATACCCTCCGATGCTGGCCTCCCAGAGCTGAAGCGCAGCTTTGTGTCAGGATTTAGCGGCTTCAACGCTGGCCCTGTGACCCGAGGAGCCGCGGCAAGGGCCCAAGCACAGTCATTCGCACCTAACGGACTTGTGGCACGAGCGAGGGCAAGACGAATGCTCAGCAACGTAGAGTCAAGCAGCTCTAGTATGCAGAGACAGCATGCTGGCGCTGCCTCTTCGAGCCGGCGTGCAGGCTCTACGCAAACACTGGAGAGGGGCGCTCATTTCAAGCAAAGTTTCGGAGCAGGTGGCGCGAGAACAAGGAAGTGACTTATGTCTTGGTAATGCATGTTCTACGGAGTCGCACCTTCCAAACTGTATGCATAATCCGTATGTATGATTGTAGCGTGAATCAGAATTTATATTATTGCTATATGCACAAGGCGCGATTTGTCGCATTACTTGAAGCTTGAAGCCTGAGCGCTGAGCTAATGCGTTACAAGTATGAAGTTCGCTCAACTGTCAGAGGATTTGCGCTATGTAGGACCGAACTAACCCAAACGCCTGAACAATACGTAATCCGGTGGCGACTCATCTATCGTGTGTGGGCCTGAAGTCGGCGAGGAACCGCGAATTATGCGAAGGTGACGGTGGGCAGCTGGAGCCTGTAATACCAGATTTCACGCAGCGATCAACAGGTGAGCATACTACTAGTAATAAGCCGTGGTTGTCCCGCTCCGAGAGCATTGTATAGTAGGTCGCCACAAGAAATCAAATGTTATGGGGGTGATGTTCTTGCAACGAATATAAATACGGGTGGCCAAAAGCTAGTTGACAGGACAGAGCTTCGATGATACATTACCGAAACACAACTTTTCCGAGAATTTCGGTCACGCACGGTGGGCACGTGACCGTGGCGCGGTGACAGTGGCACAGTGACCATGGCGCGGTGACAACGGTGGCGGCGGTTGAAAGACCACAACAACATCGCTTCTCCTTCAACCGACTACTTCATCCTCGCTGGCTCTTCAAATCTAACCCTTCTCGGTTATACTACCTGCCGTTTCGCGAATATTTCCATTATGGCCACACCGCTCGCCAGGAACGACCCGGAATACGAAGTGTGGCAACAGCAGCATGAGGACTTCGACTCCAAGGATGCCAAAAGGCGCTACCACCAGTATGCAAATTCCGCCAAGACACACATTCTTGGCCCAATGCCTGTCGACGAATTTCTGGAGTTCTTACCTGAGACAGATACCTCCATGATGCCGCGTACCACCGATGCTTTCAAAAGGGTCCCGACAGAGGCGAGAACAGAACAACAAATCTATAAACCACTGGTCAGTTGACTGTTCTGCTAAGTACAACTTGGTTTTCTGATAGACCAGCAGATTAATGCATTGAATGGCACGAAAGCGGGCGCTAGGAAATCTCGGCCTCGGTGTCCTGGATTCACGTTCAAGGAGACTTCTATGTCTAGCGTTGATCGCGGGGAGATTGGGTCAACGAACGCCCATGTCTGCTGTTATTCCGAAGACGTTAACGATGCTCACTTGGCGTTGGTAGCCTCTCTTGGTTGCGCTGATTTGCACATCGAAGTACAGCGACATCCCACTTTCGACCCCTTCACGGATCCAGCTCCCGATGCTGATCGCTCCTCACACAACTTCACTCTCAACACTGTTGACGACCGTACTCACAAGCACGCCGAAGAAGCACTGGGTAGGAACGTTGTATGCGTAATCGAAGCGTGTGCTCGTCAACACCGCGCTTTCTACTTCTCGATTTCGTTGGCCGGGTCTCGTGCTCGCCTCATACGGTGGGACCGCTGCGGAGCCATCGTTTCAGAATCATTCGACATTCGTGCTCAGCCCGAACCGCTTTGCGAGTTCTTGTGGCGATATGCCCACGCTTCAAAATCGCAGCGCGGCTACGATGTGTCCGTCGAACCTGCGACTCGAGACGAGGAGGAACTCTTCAGAGAGTCCATCAAATGCCACGTCAAACTCCAGCTGGATCTCGACGGGGAAGACTTGGTCGCTGCGATGGAGGAGCACTACCAGCCTGGCGTCGTTGTTGCGGTCAACATGGTCGACGAGGGCTCTCCGGGGCATGTGGCGCGCCGACTACTCATCTCTCGGCCGGTGGTGTCACCCCTCTCACTGACAGGCCGAGGAACGAGGGGTTACTGGGCGGTCACCGCCGATGGCCCAAGAGGTGAGATGGTGTTCTTGAAGGATACGTGGCGATACAACGGCGGTGGACAACAAAAGGAGGGTGATATCTTGGCGGATTTGCAGGGTGCTAGGGTGCCGAATATTCCGCGGTTAATCTCTCACGGAGATGTCCTAGAGCGGTTGCCCATCGTGAATGGGATGGACGAAGACATGGAGGACGGCGACGTCGAAGAGCTATGTGAGTTTTCACATATTGTTGACCTCTATTCGTGTGTGATACGCTGACGACCAACATACAGCTCTGCAGCGCACGCTGACCGATCGCTTTCAGCAAGCGCACTGGGTTTGCAAGCGTGAACAAATTCCGCAGCTTCCGCTCGTACATTACCGATTAGTGTTGGGCACCGTTGGTTATGGGCTGCAGCGCTTCCAAGGCACGCAAGAGCTTCTTCGGGGGACGTTCGACGCGTACCAAGGTGTGCATAATAATCACCTTGACTGCTATGCAACTCCTCACTTTCTTCTCCATGTCCGAAGCTATTTTGGGAGCTTTCAACCTGGAGGATGTCACGAAACGTAGGTTGCACCGTGACGTCAGTCTAGGCAACATCATCCTCTTCAGGGATCCGAAAGCAACGGATACGAAGAGGTATGGCTATCTGATTGATTGGGAGCTGTCGTGTTTGGTGACAGATGAGGGTGAGGCTTGCGAACACACAAAAGCGGTGAGATTTATGCTGATCTGAATCACCATATGAACGCCTGCTAACGAGCATTGGTAGGGCACCTTGCAATTTATGTCGCAACGCATACTGAGCCATGATAATGTGGCTCACACGATCCAGGACGACATGGAGTCTATCCTCTGGGTCGTACTGTACTGCAGTTTGCGATGGTTGGATCACGATTTGCCTTTGGAAAAGTTGGCCAAGAAGATGGTCTACATTTTTGACCAATGCGTTGTCTACGACCATGGCAATTTCGTGGGTGGCGATGCCAAGCTCCGCAATCAGTTGGATCGGGGTTACACGAGCAACATTCATTTTTCAAATCCGGCGATTCAGCAATGGCTCGACGAAGTCATGAAATTTAACTCGTCCGCCGCGTTTCCTCACCTTTGGGACGAAGCGTGTGCGGAGGTCTGGAAGGATCCCACGAAGTTTAACGCATTTTGGCGGGACTTCCTCAGAGATCATGCGATTTCCGACAGCGATAGAGTCTCGCGAAAGTTAACTCGACCTGACGACAAAAGGTACCATTGGTCATCATCAACCATTTCGTCTACCTCTGCAACCGAGCATCCCGCACCTGCGGCATTGCCTTCACGGAAGAGAAAGGCGGTCGACGAGCCCCTTGGTGCGGAACCAGAGAAGACGGCCAGCTCCCGAGTACCCACAGTGCCTCGTGGAGCTTACACAGGACCTATCACGCGCTCGATGGCGAAGCGGAGACAGATCGAAGGCCAAGGACAGGGCGTCGCAGTGGGTGGCTCGGATCTGCCGATACAGCCTCAGTGGAGCCCTCGACGTTTGAGGCCTCGTCCAGCGAAGGTCGACAATACGAGCCTTGCGCGACATGGTCGCAAGGTTCGCCGGTCGAAATGAGCATTTGTGTCCTTGCAGGTCATTCCATTATTTTCCGCACTACTGTGTCGCGTTACTTTCTCGTACTCTCCATGCTGCATCAGAGGACTGCTCCACTATCTACGAGTCCCCAGCAATCTCTACATTATATATATTCAATAACTTATATTGTCGTTCCTGATCGCCTTGTCTTCTTTTCTTTTCAATTTCAACGAGTAATATCCTACGCGTATATAGTCAATTCTCCATAAAATGTGCATTTTGTGACTACTACTAGCATTCATGCATACGAGGGCAGTACGCCTTGAGACTAACGGCCTCCTACCGAACGCGGTGTTTTACTCGAGCGACGAGCAGCCCTTTTGAGTCGGATCAAGTGCAGAGGAAGGTGGAAAGTCGGACCCAGTGTACGTACATATCTGTGCGCCTCGGCTGGCCAATGAACCCACACAGATTGGACTCGCAGTGCTTCGTCCTAACGTCATCAACCCGAAGTCAGGTACGCCGAAGACGGGGACCGAGACAGCTTGCGCAACCATAAGTACCACGACCACTTCCATTTATTCTCCGGCATGTGACGCTTCCTCTTCGGCTCTCGCCGTGGCATATCAGATATTGTACGACGTTCGATGCGCCCGGGGCACGCGTGCCTCTATCGAGGACATTGGGGTGGTCTGTCGAGTACCATTCGACCACCGTTCACGGAGACCATGCCGCTTTCACTGCGAAGCTTTTGAAGAGGTGATGTTTCTCTGGACCGCTGCGCTTGAGGCAATCACCACACCAAAGGTAGGTGACATTTCAACATCCAGAATCAGAATACTGGCGAGCACCATCATGGCCTGAAGTGGATACGAGGGCAGTGTTTTACGACGATCCACCGAAAGCGGAAGTCGTATTGGTATATCTGCCCAACGTTAATGAACCCACGCTTATTGGACACGGTCCTCCAATCGCAGCTCTTCTCTCTCTGCATAGCGTCTTCCTCCATTCTGCTTGGGCTATAATACATTCAAGAAGTCAGGTACACCGAAGACGTAGAATGCGCGCTAGGTAAACATACCACGACCGACTCCCTCTCTGTTGGCTTATCTCTAGGACTGCCCCTTTTCTCTCAACTTTCAATTCTTCCATGCTCGTCGATGTGGTCTATCTATATCTATAATATAACAACGTCGGATAGACGCGCAGGGGCGACGCACCTTTATTGAAGACGTTGGGGGTGGGTTCAGGCACCGTTAGACACGCATTCGCAGAGACAAAGCAGCTATTATGCAGTGGTAGTGTTCCTCCAGGCTGCTGCTCGAGGCAGTTATCGCTCCAGAGGGGTCATGAAGCACTGGCAGTCGAGCGTGCGGGATGGAGATTCGAGGCCGGTGGTTCATGGTAGGTTTGAATTTGAACAACCAGCAGCATATGTAGATGTCCACATTTCGAACTGCTGCTGCGTGCCGCCTCGAGACCTCATGAATTGTGAATTGTGCCAGTCCGTTCTTGACATGCAACCATTGTTCGTCGGGCGTATGTACATCGCCCACGCCGAGCAGTACCATTTCTGAGGAGAGTCAATTCAGGGTAACGTTTCGTTCTGGAATAAACTGGAAATTATTTCCTGCGTCGCACGTTGAGAACGATCGTCAGTGCGAGTTCGGACGCGCCACAGTCAGGTACAGAATCCAATCTTAGGAACGCGTCGGCGTCGCATCTTTCACTTCTGGTCAAATCAAGGCCTTGGGATATGTCTGCTCAGCCAGGCCATTACGGCAGCAAAGCTGGTCCAGTCTAAAGCTAGTACAGGGGAGGCTGGGTAGAAAACGCAGCGGGCTCACCATTAGCCAACTTCCCATTGGATCCCGACAGCAGCGCTCTGGCGGAACCGTCTTCGATCGTGCCCGCGCAAACGCGCTGGACTCAATTTTTCTCATCCGTGGCCCTGGGGTACTAACATGGTCGATCGCCCTATCGTAGCGGGTCCTGCAGCATCCAGTGAGATATAAAACACCTCCAGCATCGTCGGAGGCTCTCCACCACCCACTCACCCAACCGAGCCACACACCTAGTCTTCTACTACCACCACCAGCTTCAAGTTTACCATGGTGAGCAAGCCACTGCACGCGCCCCGTACCTTACTGACTATTCCGATGCAGCCCGAGCAGCCCCCTTCCAACGTCAAGTGTGCGTCCGCCGCCTCTGGCGTCGGAGCATGTTCCTACCCGAGCTGCGCGTGCGGCGAGGCCCCGAAGGCTTAGTGCCCCATCACCCTTCTTCGCGTGTCGCTGGAGTGGGCATTCATTAAATGTGCGAAGCGAAGGTATGAGGTCGGAAGCAGCAGTTGAAGTCGTTGAGCGAAGGGACATCGAGATTGATGTTTGTGTAAAGGAGAATCCAAGTTCATCGATTTAATTTGCGAACAAGGCAGAGTTCGGATGCAGCAGTCGTCGGTTAAAGGGCCGCCGAGTTTTGATGTTTGTGTACAAGAGAATCCAGGAGGCCTCGTGACGCTGTGGACTTGGATATGTTCGAGCCGGTGGAAAGCTGGGATATCCACGTTTTGAGCAAGTACTAGTTGGCCAGCTCGCAAGCTTCACCCTGTTCCCCCTCCGCACCTCTGGTATTTCCGCAGAGCTCGAACAGGAACGTCAGCGGGAGACCGCGCTCGCGACCGCTGTGCGCCGCGCACGTAGTATCCGAGGGAGCCCAAGCGTGGAACTCAAGTTTCACCCACTAAGAAAAAGAACAGGAAAAGGAAAAAGCTATGTCCACGCGAAGGAGACGAGAGCCTGAGATGTGCACTGGCTGTACACCATGAGCGAGGGAAACTCGTTTATATCGGCGAGCACACCGCCAGAAGGAGGAAATAGGAGGGACGTCTCTGCCCCGCTCGCACCCTCATACCGAGTCAAACGCGAGCTCAGACACAGGACACAGGAAATCGGAAACTGAGACGGGGAAATGAGGTTGATCGAATCGGGAAGGAGATCTCAGTGCACGTGCTCTGATGCGCCACAGAATCAGGTACGTCGCGTAAAACACAGCAGACTCAAGACTCCTATGTACATTCTATCTCAAACGAGTCGCCTTGCCACTCACGAGCAAGACTCAGTGCCTTTTTCCTTTCACTATCATGCCCAAGCCTCAACTTCCTCCAGCACCGTCTACCGATGAATTTGGACCGACACTATATCTTTATCCCAAAGCGGACAGGCCCTTATTGTTCCTTGCGCGTGTAGTTAATCGATTGTGGAACGGGAGCTTTGACACGGTTTTGTCTCATTTATCAGTGTAGCTGTAGTGTAAGCACTGGTAATGTTTATTCAGTGTCATTAACGCGGACAATGTGTACCCGTCGGCACGCGACAGGCGCTTATTGGTCCGTCACGAATGCATGTGCGTGTGACGTTCGTGTCATTTCCGCGCTACAGCCTAGTCACGGTGCAGGTAAGTACTTGGAGGGCAGCACTGACTGTGTATGGTCATGGCTCCCGTCCACTTGCCACCTCCGAATGCCGCTCACATCTCACTACCAGCACAAGCTTCCGACCCTCCTACTCTGGCAGATCTCACGAACGCCTCTCGCTATTATGATAAACTGTCGGAGAATAAACGTGCGTGGCTGGTTTCACCGGCAAGGCATCCTCTGAGGTTGTTGATCTAATGCGCGAACACACGTAGGAATGAGCACGAGCTCTCGTAGGGTGACTGACAATGATCTCGGCCAGGCGTTGCTATATGTCCACAAGCTTTGCGATCGATCCGGGCGCCAGGGAGATGATGCGATTCCGACGGCGGGTATAATCCGAGATATTATCAGGGACTCATTAGCTCCTCTGAGGGAGAGAGTTGATATGCTGATGGAGAAAGTTGATACACTGCTCGAAATTTCGTCTCAGGTAAGTTATCGTCAACCGTTCCAGTATCGCGTGACGGTTATGGTATGTCGTAGGCCTACAACGCCGGTTGTGGATCGGGCGAATATCGCAACTACAAAGTCATCCCTTTCAGGAACGTCGATGGAGAGGTGGAACAGCCTGAGGAGGTTTGTGGGATCCTTCTTCTCTGACGCGCAGTGCTGACGAGCCCCCTCAGCACGATCTACCACTTTTGACAACGAGCACGGCGATCAATGATCTCAGCAACGATCAGCTGAATGAATATATGGACCGCTACCGTATCCAGCGTGCGGCAAATCTCTCGCGAGAGTCGAAGCTCAGGCGCCTCAGAGCATTTGTTGGTTGTACTGTGGACGTATGAGCCTGGTTGGGTATGGGAGGCTGTGTCTTGTAAGTTAGGAAATGTAAGTTGCCTGTGCATTGGAATGCTGTACTAGACCATGGGATTCTCATTTGTTGTTCGCTCGTCGCTCACTTTTCAATATGCACCTGCATTTGCTTTCGTACCAAACTTTGGTACACCACTTGAGTCGTGATCTCGTCCGTTGGTGACTGGGACCATACAGCCTTTTTTCTAACCACTCTCTGCGCACGTGTCAGCTGGCGAAGCCACTCGCGGGGTATGGAGCTTGAAACCTTGTGATGGCACAATTGAGATGGTATGTTCTGTGCTGCGTCCGTCCAAATCTGACTCCTAGCTGGCCATCTCTCCTTCTACGCGTCTTTCCTCGTTCTCTGATCGGCTGCCCAATTTGCTGCAGCCACTGAACCAACTTGGACTCGATTGTTGCCATCGAAGGCTATTGACGGGTTCGTCTCTTCTCGTCCGAGAGCCCTTGGAAAAATTCACATCAACGATGGTGTAAGTGTGCGTGATTATCACGGTGAGCAATCCCAGTACCCTCTTTGTTCCCCTCAACCCCATCCAACTCTATACGGCACACCTGCAGAGTCTCTGTCGTGCGAGCCCCCACCCTCTCATCGACGTGCACTGCTTACTGATGCACCTGCGAGCATCTGGAAGGCACTTCTTCAATGGTTGTTCGAGGAGAACGCTTGAATTCCAATCGCGCAGGATACTTGATATATTGCTTGAAATCAGAGGATCTGTGATGAAGAGAGCGAAGTGTGTTTTTCCGCTCCACAAGTCTCTTTCCTCTCATTGCTGTGGCAAAATCTTGACAGTCATGCAGAGTCTTAGGTGCGTGTTGAGAAATATTGGATGAGATATCTCTATGGTCTGAGGTGGGCCGTACAGGTAATTAAACTTGCACGCTATGCCTGATTTTCAAGGGTCGTCTGTGGATCTGAAGGTTCGGGAATTGTGAGTAGATTTGTTTCCGCGTTCGATCTTGCTAAATCTTACGCGCCCTATGCTACAACTCCTAGGTTTATGAAAACGTTTTTATTTACACTCGGACGGCCGTTTAGCAAGCGTCCCACGAAGGTCTCGTATGCTCTCTGGATATGCATGGGGCTAGCTAGGCACTTTGTGTTCTCTACATTTTCGTACGCATTACTAAGTGTCCTGCTTCCCCCGTTCTCCAGACAAGAATTCATGTCAACCTTTTATATGTAATGTTGCTTTGCGATAGACTACGTCTCTTTCGCTCTGCAGTACGTACGACGAATATGTTTTTTTCTGATAGTCTCTCTACGCATTTGTGTAGCTGACGGTTCTTCTTTATCAAGGAGTCAACCAGAATAACCACCAGATAGCGCCACTGGATGACCGAAAGCCTGAATGGATTGAGCGGCATTATGGTGCGCGGAGACACGATGAAGACTAGGTCGCACTCCTTGGATTTTGCTATCTGCGACGTCTTCAGCTCGTCCTGGACACGCTTGGTATCTGGGACGCTCTTTCGCTGACACGTCTCTGGCCATCTTCGCTGCGCTCACTCTGGAATTAGTGTTACTATCCCTGCAACGTTTCGAACCCACATTCATTTCACAGACCATTCAAAGCGCAAAGACTCTCGGGCTATCCTCGTTGCGCTCACCCTTGAGATCGTGTCACTATCCGTCGCAGCGTTTCGGATCCAGCTCCGTTTCGCTGACATTTCAAATCTGAACGACTTGAGGGTTGGGATCGGCTCGATCATGGGTACACTCTTCGACGATGTAGGCCCATTGCCCGAGCTCTTACACACGGTGCCGCAGCCGCTCCTGGAGAAGGGGGAGCTGGCCGCTCTCCGCACCCGGCAGGAATAAGCACACTGACCTGGAGATCGACAGATTTTTCCAAGTGCGCGCAGATCACAACGTAGCTCGACCTCTCGATCATGAAACTCTGATTTTCTTTTATACAAACAACAAATCTACGCGCTCCTTCAACGACTGCAGCCACATCCGAACTTCCTCCGAATATCATACATCCTGCAAATCTCTCCTCGCACGCGACTCACTCAACACGTACTCCTCCACGGACGTCACGACGCGAAGGCATCTAAGCCTTGGGGGCCTCGCCGCAGGCACAGTTGGGGTAGGAGCAAGCTCCGACACCGGAGGCGGCTGCGGCGCACTTGACGCTGGAGGGGGGCTGCTCGGGCTGTAAGAAAAATTCGCAAAAATCAGATGATGTGTATGTGAGTCGCCGTAGATAGCTGCGCACCATGGTAAGTTTTGGTTGAAGCTGGGTGTGGTATGAAGTTGGGTGTGGTGGTTGGCTGGCTCGGTGAGCTGGTGATGGAGAGTCTGAGGCGAGGTCTGCAGGCCTTTTATCTCTGGCTTGACGACCACGGCGATGTCCGATGAGCTTCCGGCCCGTCCCTGTTATCTACCCGTTATCTTGCGCCGCGGAAGGAGATAGCGAATCCAGTTCAGCGCATTTGCTCAAACATGATCGTGCCGCCGAATCTGCAAACGATCTCAGGATACAGTCAGGACCTCCACGTTCAGAGCATTGGAGTTTCTACCGTCAGAACCCAATAGGAACTCAGCTAATGGTGGTCACGCTGCGTTCATCGCACGTAGGGTCCACGCATCTTCACGCCTAACGCAACTGGAGGTATTCTGAATGCACGGACAGTGCTACTAGCGTTAGAAGGCCCAGCTTCTGTGACGTTATCCCCTTGGCAGACATATACCAAGCACTCTATTCGACAGGTCATGTGGTGGTACGATTGAGGCCTACTGAGTACTGAGTGCCGAATATTGAATACTGAGCACTATAGTCCCATCGAGAGGCTCGGCGGTAGCATGAGTGTACGAAATAATATAATGTTTCCATCAGACTCCGCAGCTGACCGTGGCGCGTTCGAGCTGACAATCCTTCTTGCCTAGAAGACCCAAGTGTAACACAGACGGAAAGAGTTGCATAGGCTGAAATCAAAAAGATCAACGCTGCCCGAGAATGGTCAAATAGCTAATAGAGCTGTACGAATGATGAGCGCTGAGCATGAAATAGAAAGACTGATAACGATGGTTTTCACGCAGACTCAAGGCTCACCTCAGAGAAGTGGTGACAGCTGGTCGACAGCTGCCTCCTCTAGCCTGACACTAGCCTGATACCCCAGAGCGACTGACGAATGATCAAGCGCCAGTCTGTCCTCACTATTCATTTTGGGCGGGGACAACGCTCGCAGCTTTCTCAGCGGCATTGTTCCAGAATCAGCGAGGCTTGTCACGCGTAGAAGGTTCTTGAGGAGCACCGCCTCCAGCCTTTGTTCTAAACCGCCCAAACGACAATCGCGCATAGCTTCCACCAACTGCAAAGACGAGGCACTGGTCGACCGCCTGATATCGCCCATGCGCACTCACCGCTGCCACATGGCATGTCTAACGTCGCCCGGTGTCACTAGGTACGAGGATGAGCGCGGATGGGATGCCAGTGGTCGTCAAATGCCGAGCAAGATAAGATAAGTCGAGACAGGTGGACATAGTCAGGGGTACGCACCGCCTGACGCCCAAGTTATCTTACACATTCGAAGTCTTCTGCGGGCCTGACTTCACGTTGAATATGGTCGGCCGGTGAGCAAGACCATGCAAAGGGGAACAACTACTCAACTGTGCAACGCCCAATCGGTACGGATTCATTCCACAAACAAGACAGGCCAGCTGGTCCTGAGTTCCGTTTCAGGCGGTCCTTTCGCGCGAAGTAAATCGAGACCATTCTGCTGGATACCGACTGCTCCCGTCGAGAGCATTCTTGTTCTTCTTGATCATGAGGTATTGCCATCTTCTTCTGTGTCAATTGGACAGCATCTTCTAGCTAAAGGATGGTGTTCTACTGAGGCTGGAGCATCAGCATTCCGTCATGAAGTTGTAAAGTCTCAGAAAACCTGCGCGCTGATCAGTGAGGTGATGATATCAGATAGCACAGGCAACATATAGACAGAGATAACATGACGAAGAATGGAAGAGTAAGCAGCATCATGATCAAGAACCTTGCGAACAGCGAACCCTGACGAACCTTGGAGTTTGAATTTTTGAACATGCGACATCCAGGAAGCTCTTCCAATATAATAAAACAGAGGTCAGGTGCCGCAGCTCGGACGCTGTAATGACGATCTGTTTCTCAGGCTAGATTCGCCAGACCCACCAGTAAGTAACCGACAGAAGCTGCGATAGCGACGGCCCAATACCAAGTTCATTCTGTGCACGTCGCTTCAAGAATACCTGCACTCGGTTCAAATGCGGTCTCAATTCGACCGCTGGAGGAAGAGTGGAGGAGTTGGGTGAAGCGCAAGGACACGATGCACCGTGACGATTGTCGTGGTGTGGGGCTGAATTCCTCTGCAGCGAAGAAGACAGACTCCAAGAGAAGAAAAAATCACAATGTGCGTGTAAGGCTCCAGCGTGACACACTTGGCCCACGCTGCCCTAGAACATCTCAGCGAGACCATTAGCTGACAGCTTATTGGGCCCTTACAAGACCCATTATGAACGTAGAGGCACCGACCTTCCGCGAGATCGTTTGCAGATTTCAGCACAGCTTGATGCGTTACGATCACGATTGTGCAAATGCGCTGGACTCGATTTGCTATCTCGAAGTGCGGCCCAACGTCTCCTAACGTGGTAGATCGCCGCATGATAACGGGTACCCCGGCTGGAGGCTCATCGGATATCGCCTACGGCACGAAGCTTCCAGCAGGTATAAAAGACCTGCGAATCGACTGAGGCTCTCCATCACCAGCCTACACAACCAGCCAAACCCCCACAGCCTTCTATCACCCCCTCGAATAAAACCTATCATGGTGCGCGGCGGTTAACAGTGGCTGAGACGGATTTTAGCTGACGTTCTGATTTTTCTTACAGCCCGAGCAGCCCCCCTCCAACGTTAAGTGCGCTGCCGCCGCCTCCGGCGTCGGAGCTTGCTCCTACCCCAACTGCGCCTGCGGCGAGGCCCCCAAGGCTTAGACGCCTATCATCCCTTTTCGCGTCGCCGAAGCTGTGCCAGTGTGGAAGGTTTGCGCGTTGACGGAGTTGTTCGTGAGGCGAGCTTTGCAGGATGTACGCTGATCGGATGCAGTTGAAGTTAGAGTTGTTGGAGGATCGCGAAGTTTTGTGTTTTTATAAAAATTGAAAATCCAAGTTGTTGTATGAGGAAGCTACGTGATTTGGCGCAGCGATCGGCAAAGAGAAATGCGAAAAGCGATATTGTTTCTATCTGCGCTCTCGAGGGGTAGAGGACATTTCAAATGTTAAAAGCGGAGAGCGAACCTTCAGACGCGCCAGCTGCCCCATCTACAGGGAAGGCCTCGGCATCGCCGTCCTGATTTTGAGGAGCTTGAGCGGCAGGGACCGCATCACTGAGGGCAGTACGTAGATGGTTGACCTCTTCGCGGCGGATTGCGAACCGCAGATCATTCAGCCTGGACTTGGTCGGACGGTGATGATGGACCTGAGATGCTGGCGGAATTCGCGCACGAGTACAACGTGAGTTTCAGAATCCCCTAGAACAAGGTGACTGGAGACTCCTTCTCGGAATGGGCTGCGTATCCTGCGTGAGGTGGACATACCACAGACAGGAATATCCACAGGGTATTGCAGCAACTCAGAGGTCTTCAGGCATAACGCAGAACCAGGCCCACGTCGGACGCCGCAGACCCGCAAGCATACATATGGCGGGGGGCCACAAATTACAGGGCTAAATTCTGGTGACCCCCTGGGCAAGTATCTTGTGTCCTAACGAACAGAAGAGAAGCATCGTTCCACCACAACTGTCGAATCAAGTATTTGCTCATCATGGCACCAAAGCCGCACCTTCTAGTGGCACTGGGCATCTCGAACATCTCCGATGCACGGCGGAGGCGCGAAGAAGAGTGGAACTTGCAGGGTCGATAAGGGTCCATGCGTCCACTCTTGTGACATCAGAGATAGTCCTGAAACAAAGAATGACGGCAGGGAACGTACAGTGTTAGATACAATTTGAACTTGTGACATACGCACATGCAGTTTGTACCTCCGCGCAGGTACCTCGTGGATGGCAGGATGGCCGGTCATGACTGGTGCCGATGATAAGCAAGAACGCACTTGCGTCCACGCGTTCTGCGTGTTAGAGGAGGGGAGAAGTGACACCGTATGGCCTAGCAGCAGTTGGTCTCAGGTTGTAGAGCGCTCTTCGCCATGGGTCTCAGTCGGATTCCCTAGGCATACACATTCATTTCATAACCTGATTCGTGCGTTACGTATGATTCCATGAACATCGCATGAACATCCTTACCGTCAGCGACCACGCAGCGAACTCGACGTCAGGAGCCAGTCTGCTGCTGTTCCTACGTTATTAATCTGCTCAGCCAGGCCTCTTCGAGTCGCAGACGGGTATCCTATCTGGTCACGGTATCGGGAGGCTCCCCGACGGTTGCAATAGTTCGTCCGTGAAGTAGTTTTGTCCCGTGCAGGGGCAGACCTGCGGAGGTGAGACGAGTCAGTCGTCGGTTGCTGCCACCCGATTGGATGCAATAGGTTTACTTCAAGCCAACCTTTGAGATTTGTTCGCTATTCTTATCGGTGTTAGCTGCAGACTTGCGTTACGCCACTACACGATGCACGCTGTCAGATCCTGGAAAACTCAAAATTTCGTCTATGGTCCGCGACAAAGTCAGACGAAGTCGGCCTTGCAGCGGTGCGGTATTACTGCCCTGACCTGGTCAATTGATCTGTCGTTGGTTGGATAACATATTCTCGCAGAAGTTTTTCCAGCGCTCGATTAGATTAGTCGCAGTATTCGTGCAGTGTCGTTGATGCCGGCATGCTGAGGCGCTCGTCTCAAAGATCAGAGTGGGTGAATCAAGGACGAAATATGAATTTCTCACCGCACTGTACGGGCAGCTACAGTAAGCCAAACACTTCGGCCCTCACTTCTCCGCATATTCCTCATGTAATCTTCTCTAAAAGCACATCCTCCTCGTCGCCATCCGGCATCCGTCGTCGAGAAAATGTGGTGGTGTCCACCGGTGATGGCATTGAGCTGTGGCGCTATTGAAAAGGCTTTGGGCTCTGGGCACCAGCGGTATATGCACATGATCCAGGGGGGTTGGTGTCATAGCACTATTATTGAAAGGACGTCCCAGGCCGACAAGCGTTTCAGGTAAAATGTGGAGAGTTGAATGTTTAAGTTGAAGGTTGAGATCTTGAGAGGTCAGCTCTAGCCGAGCGCAGGAGGACAGCCAAAAAATCAGCGCGACGGAGAATGTCCTAGACATGACCTTGAATGAATAAAGTGCAGTCAAGTCAGTGCGTGCTGGCGATCGCTGAGGAAGTCAAGCTGTGGGCGCTTTCGGAAGGTGGAAAATCACGTGGGCGCGCCGGGCCAACTCAGTCACTGCAAAACCGAGAAAATCTCGGGGCCTCAAGAGCCTCCTGAGACGCCACTTAACTGAACTGTCTCTGGGCCCGAATAAGGTGTGCGTTCGACCCCGAGAAAAGGCAGGAGCGGCCACCTTTTCGGCGTCTTCGCACCGTCAAGTTGTGACGTCTCCTGAGTCAGAAGATGTCTAGCATAGTCCGTCTTCCGACTCCAGAGTAGTTCATGTCATGTATATCCAAAGTCTTGAATTAATCCTCTTTTGCATCATCTTCACCGGGAGATTCTCTCAAGATGCAGTGTATTGGCAGGTAGATAATTCTGATTTTCTACATATCCTGCAGGAATTGGCACGCTAGCCCGCCCCCGCCCCGCCCCCGCCCCCGCACGCTGCGCCGCCTGCACCCCGTCCGCCTCACCCCCCATCGCGCGCTGCCCACCCGGGCTACTGCATTTCATTGCTTCTGATAATTAGCCGATCGTGAGAGACGCTTGCAACGAACCTGTTCGACGTTGAAAACCCAGAAATGAATCAAAGCCGCGGCGGCCCTGCGAATGCACCGGATCTTTTTAGCGGCCATGAACAAGGACCCAGTAACATTAGTTCACTCACCTTGTAACGGAAGTTAGCCTGCTGATGGGTGTTTGGTCATAAGCTCACCAGCATAGTTTTTATCCTGCGAACACCGGCAGTGAGCACGCGTACAATCGGGGGGGAATAGCGGCATATGCATACCCTCCAGCATCATATCCTCCGGCATTCTCGCAGCAAGAATCCGGCCTGCAGTCTCTCAGTGCCATCCCGGGGTTCCATGGCATGGCAAACTTCGCGGCACCGACTTTAATGCCTACGGGTCCCGCCTCCGGTCCTGCATCATCAAACTTTCAGTCATACAATCATGTCCCGACACCGTATGGTACCTCACTGGAAGCTTCGCCAGTCACCTCTCGTCACCCGACACCTGCGCATAGTGCGGCATTGTCGTCACCGACCAGCTCATATTATGCGCCTCCCGGGGTCACTGGAATGGTCCCTCCCTCTAATCCCGCGGTCTCGCCGTACTCTCGATCATCCAGCGTCGGCATGACCACACCAGCTGTCAGCACGTCGAGAGCTCATTCGGTCAGCCATAGCACTTCGGAGACGCAGGGACACGGCACACCTATGACCAATCGCGCGGCTATTGCGTCATTTCCACGCTCGTCTATAGAACAAGCACGCCTTTTCGACGCGCCACAGTCGGAATTTGATGCTGTAATTCAGAGCATGCAGCAGCAAAGAGACATAATGTTTGCGCACCTGAAAGCCGCACAAAGTGATATACATGGATTGAACGTACGTCTTAGCAACTTGGAAAAAGAGCACGCCGATCATCTTGAGAGCTGCGAGAGTGCACAAGGTGGTAGGGCGAAGGCGAATTCAGCGCCGGTACTAGCGAACGAGCATCCGCAAATGAAGGTATATATTTAGCAATAGGTATTGGCGAGAAACTGCTGACAGACTTACCTAGTATATATTTAGCAATAGGTATTGGCGAGAAACTGCTGACAGACTTACCTACAGCGACTCATCCATTCGATGTCGTGGTCGCTCTTGGGTATTTCCGAGAAAGACTTTGAGAGCCTGTCACAACACAAGCCACTCGAGGACGGTAAGGATTTTGTAGAACTTGAAGATGGTACAAAAACTTGGCATCCTCGCTGGTTGGATCGTCTGGACAACGTGACCAACAAGCGATTCATCAACGCCATCGCTACACAAGTGTATGAGAATGAAAAAGTCAGTGATTCATGTACTCCATGTGATGACACAGGGCTTACCGCAACTGGGCCACGTAGAGCATCCGAGCTCTCGGCGACGAGGGCCACATCCCGGCAGCCTCTTTTGACCTGGACAAGATGAAATCACTAGCCCAGGACTACGTGTCAAACCTTGCAACCCGATACAAGGAGCGACAGAGTACCGCAGGAAGTTCGAATCGTGAGAAGAGGAATCAATCGGGAAAGGCTCGGAGTAAGAGGGCCACAGTACGTTTCAGTCTAGAAAGACTCAGGCACGCTATCACTCACCCAATGCTTAGAAAACGAAGAATCGCAGACGGATGGCTCACGTATTCGAGAAAATACATAATGTGACGGGTGCACTTACTCTTCTTGACACCGATTTTGCGTCGAGTACCCACGAGGTTGATGAGGTAAATGCGAGTGATGACACCAAATTGCGGCGAGCAGACCAAGGATGTGCTGCTAACGGTGCGGCAGTTATACCTCGCCAATGGCGTCGAAAACGCGTGAGGAGATCTGTGTTGCTTCCGTAGATCAGAGGGTAAGGTCAGAACCGAGTACGGTGGACTCGATGGGACCGTGGTGAAAGCCGTATGGGCGGGAGATGGAACAGGGGTTGTGGAACTAACATACGCTCTAATGCGAGCCTACCAATCATGAATACACAGGATGGTATAGAGAACGAGCCACTCACCATGACGTCCTGGGTTTCTGGGGTGCAAGGCCGTGGTTGCGAGAGAGTCTGCACATCCAGAGAGGCGTAGCCATCCCCCTCCTCCGAGGGCGCACGCATTTCCGAGTACATGGACTGACTCTCGGGGGTACCTTCTCGTGATGCCTCTAGCTTCCCGTCACTGCGGTCCGTGCATGATTGATGTGGTATGAGAAACTCCTGTTGCGGGAGTTGACTGTATGCTTGTAATGTCAACTGGTGTTGCTCTTCGTCAACATGATGCAGCAAAGAGCTAAATATCCCGAGTGAAGATGTCAGAACAAACAAAAAATTGAAACATCGACTCACCGAGATATGGGACTGATTGTGTGGTTCGGAACAGGCTGTGCATACAGAGTAGTAGTCTTGGACTCACGCGGCACAAGAATGATCATCTACAATTTTTGCATACTTATTTTCAGTTTGGTATAGATATCAATATACTGTGAACTTACCATATCGCGTCCATTCACCTGAAACACACCCTGCGGAATGGTAACTGCTTGCTCGCCGGCCGCAGGATCAAAGTAAACCTGGATTATGTCCGCCAAAACTGCATGTGGAACGTCGATATCGATATCTTCAAACCCGCTCGACGCCTGCTTGCTCTCCGAGAGGCTCATGGCAGCCTTATGCATCGCGAGCTGCAGGACTTCTCGCACGAAAGACGGCGAGAAGTTACTTGGTATCTTGGTAATTTGAAGAGGCCAGAGAAAGAGCATCTTTGGCGTACGGAGACGACCTTGCACGGGCCATACACTCATCTTGGACATAGACGAAGATGTAGCTATTGCAGACACAGAAGATGTGGAAACAGGCGCATCTTGAGAGCCAAAGAGATACCGAATAGATAGTGTTATCAATGTGTCTTGGTAAAGCCTAAGATACACTACTTCAAAAATCTTCGGTGTCCGATAACACGAAGTGAAACTCCGAAGACGCCGCGTACAACATCTAACCGGCGCGTCTTCGGCCCCTACGATTTTCTGGGTTTTGCAGTGAGTGAACTTTCGCTCAGCCTTAAGTTCACATCTCTACAAGAGCTGTCTCAAATCTTCGTGATAGCTTCTTGTCTTCTGTCAGTAACTTGAACTGCATCCTCTTTGCTTCGCATTTGAGTCTATTCCAATTAACGGCACCTGCAGCAGGTTGTATATCTGTCCGCTTCCTCGTGCATTTCTGAATGAATCTCTCGCATCTGGATAACTTGGATGAATAATGTTTATGTCAAGGCCTCCGCTTTGGTCCTGGGTGACGGCATAAACAGATTTTTTGGCCGCTTCTTTCTTCCAACGTGGCGTCAATGTCATCCATTGTGCTTGCACTGCATTGTCGCTCGTCCGTCCTTTGACAACGCCTCGTGTTTACCTCGAGCTCTACAAAGTAAGTAACGGTACATATAACGTGCAATGTCGGTGCAATTTCCAGTCCAACATCCCACTTTTCTCGACCGTCCTCTGCCCATACAGCAGGCTTCCTCTTTCCATGCCGTGCAATAACACTATAGTGACCTTGCGATCTGCTGGTGACACAAGCACTGCTAACTCCCCCAGCGCAGATAAACGGTCACAATCCCCGGCAGAGCGGTGTCTTGGAATCTCTGAGCTGCTGCTGTTGGTCGCCAGATATTCTGTGGCCACTGACTTATCTCCAAGCTTGAGCAGAAGCACCCTGGCCAGCCTCGCTCGGACTTGCAGGGCCACCTTGGATCCTGCTTTGGACGTTCTGTGGGAGACAATGTACACGTTGGTGCCTCTGTTCAAGACGCTTCCGCCGGACACATGGTACGACATCCCTGTCAAGGATGGCCTCTACAGTCGATTCGTGAGTGAAATGCTTTGTGATGACTCTAGTTAGTTGGTAACATTTTTGTGGCAGCAACTGGTAGGGTTTCCCGACGTTGACGCTCGTCGACTTGCACAGTTAGAGAGCGGTCAGATGCACCTCACTCGATTTCTGGGTAAGATGACGACTGTGGATGTAGACATCAAACGGTTTGCCCATTACTCGGCGCGGATTAAGAACCTCCACTGGACCACCTTGGATGATATCGCCATTCCGACGCTGCTGCATGTTATTGGGAAGTGGTCATCTCCCGGTGGTTCTCTTCCTAACCTGCGTTCGCTCAAGTGGACATTATACAATCACGAAGTTAACTGCTTGGTTCTCAAACTGCCCGGTCCCGCCATACGGTCAATTGAATTGTCCCACATAGATTCCAAAATGTCTTCACGTGCGCTCACAGGGACGAACGTCTTTCTCGATCACATGCAACTCGACCAACTGGTACTTAATGGTTCTTCCAGAAATCCAACAGCGGAGGACACAATTATACAGCTCGTGCGGGCCACGAGCGTGCTTCAGAAGGTGTCTTTTGCGAATATATCAATGACAGTCACTGCTATATGTGCTCTCGCTGTGTTGCCGTCTCTGACGTGGGCTCGGTTCTGCGTGCGCTCTGAGGACCTCAGGACTGCTGTGATACCTCGTGGATTTTCCCATCTACAGCATCTCTACATCACGCCGGACACGCTAGGGATCGGGACACTCAATTTGCTCAAGAGTCTCCAATCACCATTGCAGCGGCTCGTTCTAGAACCGGTGTCTTGTCCATTCGCGAGCGCATTCCACGAGCACCTCAAGTTCCTCGCTCTGTCGCCATTCATGTACACCCTGCTTGAACTTTGGTTCGAGGTTCGCTGCAAAGGGCTAAATCACGAGCACCCCGTCGTCGACAACGTGAAACCATCGCTCGCCTTCTTCAAGATAACATCTGTGGAGCTGGCGCCGCTGCTGAATATGGGACAGCTAACGCGCTTGTCAATCCGTTCACCTCATCTCGCAGTGGACGCGCCCTTCCTGGCTCGCCTTGCAGTCGCGCTCCCGGTGATCGAGAGGCTGCACGTCGGACATGGTAACAGTTTCTCCTCGGAGACCCGGCCCCCCGTCAACCCACGAGCAGACAGAAGCACGTTCATCCCGCTTTCCAGCCTGCTGCCCTTTGCGGAACACTGCCTTCATCTGCGCGAAGTGGGCTTCGACATTAATGCGGATGAACAGGCTGTCGATTCCGCTGCGATGCCCAGAGACGCGTGGCTGTCGCGCTCCAAGGTGCGCCAGCTGTGCGTGTACAGGGGACATATTACCGATGCGACAATCGCCCTGCGGTACTTGCGGCACTTGTTCCCCCAACTTCGGGCGTTGAGTCACACCTGGAACGAGTGGCCGCGGATTCCATTGTTGCTTCGCGGTAAGCAGACGAAACGTTGGTCGGAAGTCTCGCGTGCGTTATCTGCTGGACAAAGCGCTTCCGCCACCAGTGCCACCGAGGGCGGAGTAGTATGGAACTAGTACGTCCGAACGTTGTCGTGTGACACACATATATAGGACAATTTTGGTCCGGACACTAAGATAGTAGAAATTCCTAAGTACGATGCAGATCATCGCAATAAATATTATTACAAGCCCTTCTCGCCCGCAACAGTCATGCCAAGCTGCTTTCCCGCTTGTGGAAAGACCATCGATATAGTATAGCGAAGGCTTCTGAGTCGTGTTGAAGAGAAACGTAAAAGTGATAACTTAGGAACCACGCGAGCGACCAGGAAAGACGAACCATGACAGTTGTTTACCCATCCAACGCCCGATAGCGCCTGCGACTCCGAAGGTGCATCATCCTTGTCTCGTTCTGTGACGCATAGCCAGGAGCAGCGGGATAACACTTTATGGACGGAGCTCACTTCACGTTGGTACAGGAGGCAATACTAAGCCGTACTGTGATCGTCGGATCAGCGGTGCATGAGATGAGCCCTGTTCCCTTTCAAGGACGAGGGTCGATAAAGCAGGCGAGAGGGCATCAGACCGAGATGTTTCGGGGGGATCAGTATGAGGGCGGGAGTAGCGGAGACAGACAGGATGACGAGCGGAAGATTGGCAGGTCTTGAGTGACAGCATAAATAGAGTGTAATTGTTGACATTGCGAGACATGTCCACGACGACGATACGGTGGAGAAGCGGGGAGCGACCAAGGCGGACGAGTGCAACTCACGGAAATATGACCGGGTCGTGCGACGTAGGGGATAAACGTATGACAGCCAGAGTTATTGGTAGTCCAAGGGCAGAAGGGGGTGACCTGTCGATTGCGCGTACTAGCAGCCATCTCATAGCTCCACCGCCGCAGTCCGTATTTCACAATGTTCAGTAAGAAATATAGGTCAGGCCACGAGAAGAGAATCTACGATTTGCGAGCATACACACTAGCGTAGAAAATCCTCCGAAAAAGACTTTGGAGATCACCCACTGCGGGAGAGGCAGAGAGACGCCCATCGTCTCATATCAAGGTCCTAATGGATGCATAGCTGAGACCTTGCTGCCGACAGAGCATGCGTAGCGTTTCTTCCATTCGCGATAAGGGTCGGGGGTATCGACACCGTTATTAGGAGGGCCAAACGAGACGCGTGATCTGAAAATCCAAATCCGACCCTCTGCATAAATTCGTGAACTGCGGAGACAAAGGTCGAACATCGGATAAATAACGCAGGTGAGCGGACCCGTATGAATGACTTCTCATGACTTGAAGGCGCTTTGTTAAAAAGAGCGCCTCACGACTTGGAGCACGTGGCGTATGGTGCTGAGTTACGAAGAGAACGCACACTTCGTATTCTCCGCAGCAGAACATGAATTCATGTTCGCGCTCTCCTTGACACCAAACATTAACTCGCGTGTTTCCGCTACTTGTGCATGGATTTCATTCCTGCGCACCGTTGTCGTTAGACTCTCTAGGAGGACGACTGATGACTCTCGGCTGACGTCGGGGCTCGTCGCCAGAGGCTGATAATTTCTTCTGCGGCCATACGTGAATCAGCGAAATCAGAAACGAGAGAACCCACGTCTATGTAATTCGCTTTCCATAGCGTGGGTGAGACCATTATTGCGGGCAAGACCACGCTATCCGCTGCACCACTTGTGGAGATGACGTTCGCTCCGGATACGAGACGTAGTGCACCGCGCGTTCATTTCCAAGTTGTTGGATGGGATCGTTCTGGTCATAGTAGCAAGGAAAGAATACTCAATAGGCATTTCGCGACCGCTCCGCACAGGCATGCCAGATATGATTAAATAAATATGAGGAGAAGCCACATATGTATCTGCAGAAGTACGGTCGTGGCTCGTGACGCGTGACACAGGCGAGCGCCTGATTACGGTAAGATACATGATCGATTGCTTCCGCCACTTCTCGTTCTGTACCCCTACGTTGACTGACCATTGTAGTCTTCCCCAACTTTGTACTGACTCGGACCTCTTCACTACACTCTGCATGCGATCCAGCTCACTGAATTCCAGACCATGTTCGAATCGCGGATTCATTGCGGACGACGCTGGCTTCGAGGTATGTCCCTGACTGGAAGTACGAGGCGGACTGAAGCCTACCGTAGGAGAAATGATATCGTGAAACGTTCGCGTGAGACACCGCTATACTATTTAGTATGCATCTATTGACTAGCCAGCACTCGACAGGTAACCATGATTGGCTAGTGCGAGTCAATGCGGTGAGCTCAGTTGCTATGGGTAAATAGTTGATATGAGCATCAGCTATATACTCCTAGCAAATTGGCTCCATTCGTGGCGGTCTGAGACAGCTCAGCATCAAATCAAGTCTATTCGGACTAGCTCCATTTCCATGAACTTTTGCACGGTTTGTGTGGAATGCCCGGTCCACCCATTGAACCTTACCGTCCTACTAGAGGCAACGAACGATCGGTGGCGGATTCCTAGCGCCCGAAGTTGGGACTACTTCGTACGGTTTGTGGCTCGAGGATAATTGACGTGTAGTACACTCGTGGGCATGCTACCAGTAAGATCACTGTAATGTTGTATGGGGCATGACAGTGACGACTTATCCGGAGAATACAGGATTGGCCAAGACTGGTCAAAAGTAGACGCACATTCCGCGTAGGTAAACCAGAAAGAAATATGGTGGTTTAACTTTCACTCAACCCAGAAGCCACATATCTGCGAAGTGTGGGTGTGCAGCCGAGAGCATACTATAGATCGCGGTGATAGCGCTCAGCACAGGAAGATCCCTGATAAGATATCGATGGAGGCACGGGGATCTTTGGAGTTAGTCGATAAGGTGTGCTTCCTCTTGTTTTCTACGTTGACTGACCGCAAATTTACTGGCTCATATTTCTCCACCCTCCACCGTACGATGATACCATCCAGCTTACTAGACGCCAGGCAAGCTTTGGTTTACAGATTCTGAGTTGGTGGCGACGCAGCTTCGATGTATACATGCAGGTCAGCAAGTACCTCAGTTACGGCTAACTGAGGCTTTATAGCAGAAATATTTTCGTGGCAGACAGTGTTCATGAGATACCGCAGTATTATCATGCTCTCCATTTATTGATTCTCGTACTCCGCAGGTAACCGTGACTGTGCGCAGAATACTAGCTCCAGTCATTGTCATGGGCTTGTTTATTATGGGTGAAAAACAAGCAAAGACTCTGTTTTTCCACCGACCATCGTAGTCTTCTCCAGATTTATACTGACTCGGACCTCTCTGCCGCACGGTGCATGCGATCTAGCTTATTAAAATCTAGGCCACTTTTGAAACACGTATTCATTACGGGCGACATAGACTTCGAGGTATGCATACTTGTCCTTGAGTTGAAGTACTTCAGATGCGGGCTGAAGCCTACCGCAGGAGAAACAACGTCATGAATCACCATTCATGTGAGAAACTGCTGTGCTATCTAGTATGTGTTCGTTGACTAGCCAGCAGATAACCATGGTTGATTGCTAGTGCCGGTCAATGCGGTGAACTCCTTTGCTATGGGTAAACAACTGGTGCAAGCATCAGTTGTGTACTCATAGCAGATTGATTCCACTTGTGGAGGTCTCAGACGTCACAGCTTAGTATCAAATCAAGTCCATTGAGATTAGCTCCGTTTCCGTGAATTTTTGCAACGTCCATATGGAATCGCCAGTCCTCCCCTTTGGAGTCAAACGATTTTTTGCTTTCCAGCTCTGTCTTACGTTTTCTACCGTTAACTGGCCATCGTGGACTTCTGTAAACTTAGAATCGAAGCCTACCATCGGAGAAATAACGTCATGAAAGACCGTCCGTGAGGGCCCGCTGTAATGTCTAGTATGTGTTTATTAATTCACTAGCCAGTACTCCACAGGTAAACATGATAGACTACTGGTGCCGGTTAGTCAATGCGGTGAACTCATTTGCTATGGGTAAATAACTCGTGTGAGCACCAGTTATATACTCATAGCAAATTGGCTCACTCATGGAGTCTGAGTCAGTTCAACATTGAATCAGGTCCATTCGGATTGCCTTCATTTTCATGAGTTCTTGGAAGGTTTGTGTAGAAATGCCTGGTCCGCCCATTGAACATGCGCACCGTCCTGCGGGAGACGATCGGTGACGGATTCCTTGTGCCCGAAGTTTGGGGCTGCTTCGTACGGTTTACGGCTCGAGGAGGATTGCCGTATAGTGGGTAACTTGTCGGCATGCTGCCCCTAAGATCACTGTAATGTTGTTCGGGGTAGTACAGTGACGCATCGGAGAAGACAGGAATGGCCAAGACTGGTCCTAAATAGATGCACATTTTCGCGCAGGTAAATCAGATATAAATATAACGGTTCGACATTCAGCGTTCAACGTTCAACCCAGAAGCCACATACCTGAGGCTGTGGATGTGCAGTTGCCAAAGAGGGTACTGTAGATGGCGATGATGATACTTAGCGCTCACACGGAAGATTCCTGATAAGATAATCGATAGAGGCTTTGCAGTCAATCGATGAGTCGTGCTTTCCAACTCTTCTCTTGCTTTCTACGTTGACTGACCATCGTAGTCTTCCGTAATTTACTGGCTCGTATCCCTTCACCGTACGATGATGCCATCCAGCTTACTAGTCTCAAGGCAAGCTTGGGTTTATTGATTCTGAGTTTGTAGCGACACAGACTTCGACGTATACGTGCACGTTCTCAGCAAAAACTTCAGTTACGGCTGACTGAAGCTTCGTAGCGGAAATATTTTCGTGGTAGACTGTCTTTGTGAGATGCCGCAGTATTATCCTCTCTCCGTCTATTGATTCTCGCACTTCGCAGATAACCGTGGCTGTGCGCGGACTACTAGCTCCAGTCAATGCCGGGGGTTGTTCATTATGCGGGAAAAGCAAACAACTCTGTTTTACCACCCATAGCAAATGTGGTTTATTCCTGGAAGTCTTCGATGGTTCGCTGTGCAATCGAGTCCATCCAGAGTCCTCCCGTTCCTGTGGAATCTCGTGGGTCGAAGGCAGTGCAGCGCATCTGCAGGAGGTCGGTATATACAGGCGAGACCTCATACGATAGACGATCGATGGACGGATGGTCAGATCGGTTTTTGCTTCCCACTGCTCGTTCCGTGCCGCTACATTGACTGACCATCGTCATCCCCAGATTTATACTGGCTCGGACGTTTCTACAGCACGATGCATGCGATCTAGCTCACTAAACTGCAGATAACGTTTGAATTGCGGATTTATTGGGGGCGACACAGACTTCGAGTATGCGTACATGTCCATGACTTGAAGCACTTCAGGAGCGGACTGAAGCATACCGAAGGAGAAATAACATTGTGAAATGTTCATGTGAGATACCACTGCATTGTCTTGTATGCATCTGTTAACTAGTCCGTACTTCGCAGGTAACCATGATTGACTGCTGGTGCTGGTTGGTGCGGTGAACTCATTTGCTATGGGTAAATAACTAGTACAGGTACCAGTTATATACTCATAGCAAATACGTTCAACTTGTGGAACTCCGAGACAGTTCAACATTGGACTAGATGCATTCAGGTTATCTCTGTTTCCATGAATTCTTGTCTGGTTCATTATTACCCAACATTGATAGCAGTCTTGTAGGATTTGGACACAGCTGCTGCCATGATAGTGTCATGTGTGCTATAGTGCTGGTCACATTGCTTCTCATGTTCATGTGTGCTTTCTGGTTATGATGACATCACTTTCTTGGCATAATAGATATCTTCCAGATTTCTGTCTCTTAATGACCATTCAGGTAATTTTGTATCATCTTTACTAAACCTTCTCAGTATAATCATTTTAGAATATAGATTTAAAACAGGATGAATAGTCACATTCATATATAGAACAGACTTTGACAGTCTCATGTGAGAGACATTCAAGCAAGATGAGATAACTACACATGAAGGTCTGCCTGGTAAGATTACAAAACATTACCAGGAATTCTGTTATGGGTAAAATAACTAGCACAGGGGCTATCCAAGGAATCTGATATAGTACTGGTATCCTTGATGTGCTCAGGGAGGCCCATCAGTCCTAGACCAATCAGAGGAACATCCTCATTCCTCTCAAACAGTGGATCTAGACATAACATACATCAAACACGATTGACATATGGTTGGAAGGCAACAAACGTACCATACACGGTGTCAAGTGGAAAGTCTGACAATTGTATCAACTCAGGACGTGCTGGATGTGACAACAAAGCGTGAGAATAGAGTTAACAATGATAAAGGTCCACCTACGTGCGCAAGGACAGGGGGAGGTCACTGCAGGGTCCGGCACTGACCCACTGCTAATGACAGCTGGAGAGTTCAGAGCGAAACCGAAACAAAATGATGAGCTGGCACAGATCACGTTGCGTAGTTCCGATTGCTTACCCTCCTCGCTCTCCTGGATCCCTTCAGCTGTCAAGCCCGAAGGTACCGCAACCTCAGTGGCCGCATCCTCGTCCTCCATTGACGCATCCCTCAGGATTTCTGTGACGTCTGCGAATGCGTTCTTCTGGGATTCCGCGACAACTTTGTCCTCGTCGTCGAACGGGAGGGCGGTGATCGGCTTCGCGCGGAATACGCGGGAAAAAATATAGAGTTTTATTGAGGGTAAAACTGAGTGGATATTGGGCTTTCAGTCATCCGAAAACCAGAAAACAATGAAATCTGACGTTTGTAAAACGACATTCTCCACGCGCAATGCAGGATATAGTGAGAGGTACAAAAGTTCGTGGTTGAAAGACAGCAGCGGCGAGACCACCTTCCCGTCTTTAAACGCCGAATGCTCCTCCGAAACAGACTCCGAACGTGCTGTTCACACGAGTACACAGTCAGAAGATCAGTCCTGCCATGCGAATCGAGCCGCAACGCACCGCATCAAACACGGGTTTCCCGCACGGAGGACCCTGCCATACGAGCGTAAGATGTTCTTACAGCCAGTTTCTGTACTTAGAATGAGTAAGACAGCCCTTAGCTTGGTGAACAGGTAGCGACGAGTGAATCCACCCGCCTTTCCGCGCATGTGGGTATCGGCTTCCGCGAAGAGCAGCTCATCTGGGCATCGGCTTCGCCTAGTCCTTGTGCCGTACATAGTATTAGCATGATGCGTCGGTCGCAATCGCAGAACAAGGAATTGAACAAAACGGGATTAGCTGGAAGGCCTCGCGGCGGCTAAACTCAGAGTGTACGAAATGATTTGAATAAAATCGCAGGTGGAACTGGCGAGGAGATTCTCCGAAATGTCAAGGGATCTCACCTCAGCACTAGGGCACACCACCGCGACAGCGACAAGCCAAAACAGTGGAGGATCATACTGTCAGTAGTCCTCATTGATCTGAGGGACTAGGTCATAATCGGACAGGTCCCACCGGCGAGGCTGACATTAAGACAGCAGTCAAGGATAATATTCCGTTAGAAAACCAGTATAACGGAATACGCAACCACGCTTTTACCAGTCAAATGCTTTGGAAGAGGAAACCCGCGCTGATGAGGAAAGCCTCGGGAAAGCTGGCCAGCCTCAGAAAATACCACTGCTCCACGGGCAGGCATAGCAGTACAAAAGTTTTTCATATTTCTCCACATACATTTGGGAGACGGTTGATCAGCAATGATTCTCGTCGACATCTGAAGCTCAAGCAGAAACGATCATAAGTGCAGCGTAGGGGCGAGGAGTCATCCCGATGTGGTTAGGGTTCCAGCGCAGCGCTGCAGGCTCGGAGGCTGACCCTGTACAACGCGAAATGGATCAAGGTTAGTGGGCATCTGTGATATATACATATCTTCAATCTGCATATTTCTTACAGGCTATATTAGCGGCCGTCCTTTGCTGAATCTGAAACCTCAGAGTTCAAGTAAACTGCAATGGTGAAACGACCGGCTGTCGAGTCTGCAACTGCAAGGATCTACTCTTGGGCACGGTCGATGAGTTCTCCTCTGTTACTGGTCAGAACTAATTTGTTGTATGCAGGCAAGTCTAGGAAGCTTTGCGGTACCGACATGTACGGTGAATCTGGCGATAGACAAAGCTGTGGCAATACAAATCGACCGTCAACATATCCTTTAATTCTGTACGACGCCACGTCGATTTCATTCCTCGGTAACATTTGAGTTTGCGACGTTGTGGCGGTGTTTCTGACTCAAAGCGATTCGAGGACTGCGTCAACGATAGGCATGCCATGCTTGTTTCGTTGTCATCGAGCCCATGTTCGAATCTGGTTTTCAAGCAATTGTTATCTCTATTGTTCTGGTTGCACAGCATCGAATACTCTCAAGTATATAAGCGCGTCTTTCTTAGTTCTTCTGTTCGCCTCTTCCCCCCACAGACAGCATCAGTCGTCCTCCTCTCCGTCTACCATGCTGACCCTTCAGAACTTCGTCTCGCGTGTTCGTCACGGTGGATCTAAAGAACTACAACTCTCCCCGATGGCAAGATGCCTGCAGATTGACGAACTCGTACGGCCCATCATCTACATGATTTACGAAACAAGTGGAAAGCGCGAGGTGGCACGGATAGCCAGGACCTGCAGAGCGATCTGTGCGCCATCGTTAGACATCATCTGGGAGGACATGGACAAGTTGTTGCCCCTGTTTAAGCTGCTTCCTCCTTACTCATGGGAACTAGTGGATGCTGGCAGAGGCAAAACTGTAAGTCTTTCCTTCAACCACGTCGCCTTGTTATCATCAACTCTTTGGTTTGATTACTGCAGTACTCGAGGGATTTGAGCAAACTTGCATGGCGTGCGATCAGTTCGAGGTGGGCGAGGTGGCACCACAAGGCAGCATCGGAGAAGCCTCCTACATCGACTCAGACGTTCGTAAGTAAATAATTTCAATAAAGTGAGGTCCGGCTATTAATCGTAAGGCATTTCAGCGGTGGCTAGGCTTCCCCTCCAACGTCGAATGGTCTTCGCGCGAAATCGATTTGAAACCCTTCCAAGACTACGCCTCACGCATCAAGACATTTACATGGAAGTCCGGGACGCAGAATAACTTGACGGTTTCTACGATACAGTCAGTCTTTCGTGAACTTGGGTCTACAGCGGTCCTTCTCCCAAAATTGCGCGTGTTACACTGGAAGATGCCGCGAGACGACCTTTTACCCCTCGCGACACGCCTACCGGGAGAAAACTTGGAGAAGTTGGTGTTGTATCACAATGCCACTCCTGTCGTAGTGAAGACTCTGAAGGAGCTGCGGCTCAGTTCACGCCTGTGTAACCTCGAGTCCTTGCAAATAGGCGTGCCTATGTCGAAGGAACTAGGTGATGAAATGGCGCAGGTCCTGCAAGGCACAAAGAGTCTCCATCGACTGTATTATGTGTTCAGTTCTATCCCACTTCTCGTAGTTCAAGCTCTAGCGGAAAGACAAACCTTAACGCATGCCGAGTTCGGCGTGGTGGCGAAGGACCTCTTGGAATTGCAAGCGCTCGCCATAGGGAACGCGTTTTCTAACTTAATAACTCTCACTCTGCGTCTGGATACACTCGCGGAAGGGACACTTGCGCTTCTTGGTAACATCTCCTCACCGCGCCTGAAGGCACTTTCCGTCGAGGTAGAAGACTGTCCTACAGCCGACACCGTCCGACACCACCTGGAATGCCTCGTCAAAACGCGCTTTATTCGCGAATTAGTCGAGCTGAAATGGGTCATGGGACAGTTCGCGTGCTCGCGTGACCAGATGCACACTCCTCAGAAACGTCGGGAGCTCTTGATCACCCCATGTACTCTGGAACCGCTGCTTCACATGGGCAGGCTCAAGCATCTGGTCGTCAAAGGCCGACATCTGGCGTTGGACATGCCCTTCCTCGAATGTCTCTCCGTGGCCGTCCCAGATATCATTGAGCTTCACTTCAAGCACTTTTCGTTGTATGCCCGGCACGGTGAAACTGCCTGCACCTTCTTTAAGCTATCTGATGTGCAGTTCCTCCGCGACCGTTGCCACCATCTCCGTGTGGTTGGACTCAACCTGGTCGACTACGAGGGTTGGCGCGAAGTCCGCGTAAGAAATTGATATTACAACCCCTCAGAGCGTATCATCCTCGTCCTGCGAGAGAATTGTGGGTTTTCCTTTGGTACCATAAATATATTTTCGAGACACAATAATTATACTTTGAACTTCATGATGGAGAGGAACTCGTTATGCAATGGTATATCGCCTAGTCGAGGTAACTTACTGCGATTGGAGGAGACGCTGGCGGACTGCTATCTTCGCACGCCGATCCGCATGCATTGGGGCTATCGCGCTGCCACGAAGGCTATCGCTCGAGCAGAGCACTGAAATCGCACTGCGTTCCGCCGCTTTCCAGTCCGCGGAGTCACAGGTCGTCAATAAACACGGAGCACGAAGCAGTCAACCTGCGAAAGCGATCCCGAACACAGGACTGACCTCCTTAGCGTGGATTACGCACAGTGTTTGGGGCAGAAGACGGTATGTGGGCAGCCTGGCACTCTCTTTATGAGGATGGTTATCATCGGTCTTTCTGCTAGACGTGCGCTCTGGCTCATGCGTACCCCCTTGAAAGGCAATACCGAACAGACGAAAATCGGTCAACCAGGAAGCACTCGCGTCATCAACTGTTTCATACGCCCCAATATCCTCAAAGCCCGTTCTTGCTCGGGTCGGCCACTGCATCTTTCCTATCTCAGGTGACCTCCGTGTGCCCTGGCCTCTCGACCACAAGAAGACAATGCGGTAGCACACGGTGGCTGCTGCTATCGAAGACGGGACATGATCTGTCTGGCGCTGCAGTGTGCGCACCAGGTACGAGCTAATTGCTGCACTCGTCATTCTGCTGCGAACTTCTCGATTCCAGACATCGGTAGCCATCCTCCTTAGTGGTGAGTTCAATGCCCCGCTGTGGCGGTGCTTGTACAACGTACTCATACATAAATGCAGGGCGCGTGGGGCTTTGAATAGGAGCGCGCATCTGCATGCAACTCGACATGGACAAGACTAGGAACCAGTGAAGGCGCACGAATAATCACGAGAAATGCATTGCAGAAAACGCGGTCGATCGGCTCGCAGAGGCAGCGCACGATCTCCATATCGAACGCGGCACCCATGCAAGCTGCCAGGGACACCCGGTGGTGCGTGCAACTCGCAAGCGCATCGTCCCTGTCCGATTCTCCGAACCAACGCGATCTGAGACGCTTTGTACAGGGAGTCTAGGCCGAGTCGCGTTCATATGCCAAAGTCCTACGGGCATAACGCTACTTCCTCTGACTTTCATAATCCAGGCCTGCGAGATGGACTCTGTCCGAGTTGCGTGGGCGTCAGAGTAGGCTGTTAAGAAGTAGCAGAGATGGACGGACGGCGTGACAAGGTGGACACGGCGCGGCAAGGAGACGGCGGACATAAATATCGTGATCGTCAACCGGGCGAGACAGCGAATTGCGGCAGAATAGGATGAAGAGCTTATGGAGGGAAAAGGGCAGACGCGCGAGCGTCACTGGTCCACGGGCAACATAGCCAAGTTGTGCCACACGCGTAGTCTCGAACCTCGTATGAGAGGCCTCTGAGAGGTCCCCCGTGGGAAACGTTGAGTTTGAATATTGACGTCGGCGCAACGGCAGCTTGCCCTCACATGATTTGCACATGATCATGACGCGAGCTTCTGCTCGGGTGAACGCCGAGCTCCCTCTGTGCAGTAGGAAAATAAATGCATTGCACAATAGTTCAGCCGGCGAAAAGTGCTGAAAAAATTGCCACTCATTTCCTGGAAGCTATGCAAAAATTTTTGTATGCGTCGTATGTCACATTGCCTCCTTCACATCTCAAGTTTTGTACGCATTTTGGCCGCGCCGTCGGCATGGTCAAACTCCGCCGTTCCCACGGGGGACCTCTCAGAAGCCCCTCATACGAGGATCCAGCCTCTATATAGAGGAACGACTTTTTCTTCCTATATACTAGAGGCTGGTTAACGAGCCTACCACACGCGTATACTGTAGGTTTTCGACCAATCCGGACGGTCACAGGTCACAAGGACCTTGGCCTGTCCGGAATCCGACACTCTGTCCGCGGTCACACAGGTGGTGTCCGGATGTGACTATTAGCTGTTCCGGACGGATTTTCCGGGGCCTGCGGCACGAGGACACTCACAACATGCAGGGAATGCTGCAATGCTAATGACACGAAGGCTAACACACAGTTAGCCTTCAACACCCCCTCCATGGCGGCAAATAGCTGCAGGTTGGCCGGCCTGACGGCCGGCAGGTGTCCGCAATATCTCATGTGTCCGCTGTCACGTCTGACCTGTCCGCCTGTCCGGATCGTTGCAAACCTGTCCGTGGTCACACCCCCGTCCGGATTGGTCGAAAAGCTACAGTACTCCGAGTATCGCGTCTCTTACAGCAAAGATCATATCGATAGGCCCATGGTCAAAAAAGCGTGCGGAGGCGGCCTTTGGGCGGTCTGCGAAAAGAAAGCTCCCGATAGGTGGGACCTTAACTGCCTACACCCGGGCGCGAGCGGCCCAGGCGGCGTGACTTGGTGGCACCACAGTGCATGGTGGCGCCACCACCCACCGGAATTTCCGGAGCGTTTGATTTCGCAGTCCGCTCTGTGAACGGATTTTTTTGGAAGGGCCTATCGATATGATCTTTGCTGTACTGCCAGCATTATCTTTACTACTTTCACTGATTATTGACAACGTCAGTGCTTCCTGTATCAATTGGCTCTTAAGCTGATGCGAATTTTCAGCACCGTTGTCACGGTCCTCAGAGTCAGGATCGCCGGTTGGGTGTCGACTCACGACCAAGTTCGCCAGTAGTTGCGGGTAGGCAGCCCAAGGATCCGGAGCCAGACCTTTGAGCTCAGCGGAGAACTCAACGAGTAGTTTCCGGAGAGGCAGGTTAGAAAGATTACTCCCATCCCAACTGATTGTCCTCACGGGAGCGAGCAGTCAGTCGAGTCATTTAACTAGCTACGAGATGCCATCAAGATCCCATTGCAACGGTGGCACGCTGGGCGTGCTCCAAGATGTTGACCGTGAATTGAAGCAACAGGTGTTGGAGGAGACCAGGTTCAAGGATGACGACTTAGGCTTGGTCACTGTTTGCGACCCATACTTTGGAGCCAGGAAAACGGTGAAGTAGATGGACGCCACCCAATGATTGGTTGTGATGTTATGTTTTTTCCAGCGTTGAGTTTATCGCGTCTCGATGTTGATTCGTATTGATGGTACTTACAGCTAGTACATATTCCTTTTTCCGAATGCGAGAAACACAACGGTGTTGATGAACGACAGAGGTTTCCATATCCAGCACTGTGGTGTCTAGTCCGAGTCTGACGGTGCGTCGACAGGCCAGGATTCCGGCCGTGGATTCAACAGCTAATGCCACATCTCCTCCCATCAATCAAGGACGTTAGACTGGGACTATGGCGCGTCGTAGCAGGCCTGATGCCAATTTTCCAGCTCGAACAATTTCACACTACGTTGTCTCAATCCACAGACAAGCACATTCGCGATGGCCGCCTTAACTCATTCTGCGCAAACAAAGACACGAAGTAGGTATGGTCTGTCTTTCCAAATTGTCCTCGTCAGAAAGCACCTGTTCCAACCCAGTCCCTCCTGCCGATGCTAAGGATGGATTACTCGCATTCCTGCGATCTTTTCAATGCACACAAATATATGCACGCTTATCTCTTCGTCGACTGTGAGTCTGTTGCAGTTGGATCATGTGCGCGTTTGTGTTGATTGCGTGTGTTGTAACCTTCGAGGCCAGAACGTTGCCTGAGACTATGTCAGAAGTTAAATCGTCTACACCACAACGCACTCAGCTACTTTCATCCTAATATCATGCGTCCCTCTCATCTGTGACCTTTAGGCCCTTTTCTTACTGACGAAGTTTGATTTTGCAGCCTATCACACTGGGTTGGAGGAACAGACAAACGACAGTGGTCTAAGGGAAATTTTCTTCTTACAGGCCAGTCTTTCAAACAATATCTTTAATCGTTCAAGCCAGTATGATCACCGGCACCTCAAACGGCGGGGATGCCACGAGTCGTGCGCTAGGCACCCCTCTCCTCAAACCAGTTGGTTTGTAAGGCGAACGTCTCCCGGATTGTCATTCCGCCCACCATATTTCGTGAGCTTTGTAAAACCTGAACAACCGGCTCCTGACCTTGGTCCTTGATGATTACCATGGCTATTATGATTCTGCGCTTATCTTTAGTGACGCTTCATCTTACGAACACGCTACGGAAACATTATATCTTACATAGAACCATGGAATTCATAGAGCAGTCATGTAGTACATACAACATGCGCGAATACATCTACCTCTCCCTGCGTCAATTGATAACGAAAGCGCCGATCTCCCGACTGAAGTTACTCACAACACAACGACCGCCGCACCCCATCCAGAAGAAATCGAAGAGCACCCAGCGTCGAACGGGCGCGTCAAGTCAGACAAAGGGAAGCGTAGAGTATGCTGAGCGTCATTCCAGAGGTCGCGCGAACATACAACTATCGGTGGGCGCCGAACAGGATGGGAGCGGGGACGGGAACAGGGAACAGAGGACAAGACCGGGCGGAGACGTCAACGCCGTAGGCATCACTGCGATCACGATACGCGCAAGAACAGCACGAGAGTGCGCAAGACCAGTTGGTGGCGGTGTATCGGGAAGGAATTGTAAGAGCACATAGATGAAGCTGGCGCGGCGGTGGTACCGGACGCAGGAAGAGGCCAGCTGGAGTAGGGAGTAGGAGTGCCTGTGGAGGACATCGGACAAAGCTGGGGGCACACAGCGCGGCCGAACGGGTGGCGGCGACGGACTGAGGCGGTTATGGATGGCAAGAGAGGTTGCATGGAATGGCAATGCTGAGATCCCAAAGGACGCCGTATGCTGGCACCATACAACATGACACTGGCACCGAATATTAAGAGTGTCAGTCATTTTGATCACCAAGCACGGGCGAGAGGTGCGGGTCACAGGCAAGGACGAGGACGAGCGAGCCGGAATGGGGGAAAGGACATCAACCGCAGATGGGGCCGAGGGTTGGTCTGAGAGTGACGGAGAAGTCCTCGAGGGCAATGGGGGATTGTTGTCTGTGTCGTGGTAATCATCTGCACCACCATGGCGGTGGTCTGAGGTGCTGAGGGACGGGAAGTATGTGGAGTGGATCCGACCGCCGAGACGGGAGGGGCTATCGAGAAAGGAATCGTATCCATCAATCGGTTGGTCCAGGAACGTATCCCCGACAAATGGGCGTCCCCCGTGGAGGGATGCGTATGACGTGCATACGCATCTACGACCACATCCCCCGCGTCAGACTCCACCGCTTTGCTGGTTCGCCTAGGCTTGCGTCTCGTTGGTGCACGACTCGCACAGAAGTTGCCTTGCGTGAGCTCTCCACATACATCGGCATCAATCCACGTACACACACATGGATCGAGACAGGAATCAGATGGCGTAAAGGCCCGCTAGCAAAACGACTAGCTGACGGCCTGGAGATCCACCGCAGGTACAGACGCAGTGCGCGCGCAATTCGCGACCAGTTTGCTGTATAGCGCCGGTCGCCCTCCGTCCGATGAATTTCTCGACATGTCTGCCCTGGACTCATGCACTGATGTCAACGGACGCGGTTCTCTCTTCCTCCCACTATTACTACCAGATAACAGTGGATGGCCTCGAGGCGCTGCAATGGCCGGCACGTCAATTGATGCGCAAGGAAGGAGTTGGGGCAAACTGGGAATTGTTTGGCGGTGTGGACGCCGGATATCGCAAGACAATACCGGTGGATATTGCCCGGGGTAGATGTTCTGTAACAAGTGGTTCAACAAGCTCGCAGATGTCTACGCTTGAGCGCGCGCTTCCACTGCTGCGATCGCTTATCCAAGGAGGAGATGGTCGACGAGGATATAAGAACCCTGGACGGGCGTGACCGACCACGACGACATCTGAGGAGGTGTCAGGAAGAGTTGGATCCGGCCAACACCTCCGAGGGATCGCGGCACACGAAGCGAACCCACAGGCTCCGGGCAGGCGCTCTGGCACGAGTGGCACCAAAGGCTGTTTTCCATCCTTGCCTGTGCTGACGGAAAAAGCGAGAGGAATGTGAACAGGCTGTAGACGATACGGTCGCGCGCACTTCCGCGGCGAGGGCGTATACTGCTTCTACAGCTAACGCAGAGGATCGGTGCCGAGCCGCGGATCGACCAAAGCAGGGAAGCTCCGGGATCACACAGATGCATCTAAAATCAACCAGAAATCAACGGAGTTCTCGACAACGCAGCAATGGAACGTACCATCTCAGATGTGCATCACGCGGCTCAAGGCACGTTCGGCTCTGCGCGAGGACGTCTTCGCCGGACGATGCGCGCGCGAAGACGGAAAGGGTTAGAAGACACCAAAAGACCCTGGAGGGGCCAAGATCTCTTGGATAGGATCGGGGACCGCTGTGCGGGAAGCGCGTCCCTGGTGCTCGAGGTGAGCTTTTCGGTGGCAACGACAGCACTAGAGGCCATCTATATCCATGCCGGGATGAACGAGGGGGCGGGGGTGGAACGAGCGCGAGGGTGCACGAGCGCAGCTGGAGCGAATGGGAGGGGGCGGAGCGGAGTCTGACCGGGCTCGCGCGAGGAACCGGCGCGGCTGGGGAGCCATCCTGGCCTCCGACTGAACCAGGAGGGCGCATCGACCGACACGTCACGCATCATGTTGGATGTGCACTGTGACATCCACGGCACCACAGCACAGCTTGAGGTTGCAGGCTAGCTGCATCTAGAATAAAAAGGTGAAAGGGTCATTAAAATGGAGGTGAGAAGGAAATGTCAAGAAGTATAATAGGAAGACCCGGCCTGGGGCTTGGACTGCCAGACAGTTTTAAAAAAATAACATGAGAAGGGAACATTAAGCATAAAAATTAAACTGGGGTAGTGAGAAGGGAACGTTAAGAATAAAGATTAAAAGGGGGCGGTGAGAAGGGAACGTTAAGAATAAAATTAAAGAGGGGTGGTGAGAAGGGAACGTTAAGAATAAATGTTAAAAAAGGGCAGTGAGAAGGTAACGTTAAGAATAAAAAGAAAAAGGGCTTGTAAAATAACAAATAACGGAGAAAAAGACAAAAAGAAAAGAAAAGAAAAAACCCTCGGGTCTACATTGAATGCAAACCTCGAGGTCCTCAAATCGGCGCGTCAAGCGTCGGTGCGAACACCGCTGGCAAGGCCCACCGTGAGATAGGCTGCTCTAGGCAGCTATAAGACGGCGGTACACGCGCTGTATACAGCGGCGATTGCCGCCTCCGGCATGACTAACAGTTCCCATGAACGAGGGACGGCTACTCCGTCCGGGCCCATGTAACCCAGGTACGGCGGGTCTAAGTAGTCGGTCGACGTCAGTGAATGGTCGATACCGGCTCTTGCATGCTTCGGTTACAACAGGGCTAAGTAGTCGGTCGACGTCGGTGAATGGCCGACACCGGCTCTCGCGCGCCTCTGGAGGGAGGTACGCGTGGTTACATGGGAATGAAGAGCAGGGACTGAGTCGTTTAATGTGTCGATGGCGGGTATCTCCCAGGATCGGTGAGATAGACATGGCGCGCGCAGTAAAGGCTGGAGAGAAAGAGGGATCAATGAGTGACGTGGATAGCTCGTAAAGGTGAAACATGTGCACACCGAGCTGGTCGCACAGAATGGGATTGACAATTTTTGATGCGTGGAAGTCGTCTTGTAGGTGAAGAAAGGTTGGTAAACGGGGGTAAACGGGAGAAAGGCCTGATCTTTATACTTACCCAACCAATCGAAGGCCTCGTGGCACAGTTCGCATCGAGGCCATATTCCTGTGTTATGATAGAACGGCTCGATAGTATATTAGAAGATGGCAATCAGAGACGGCCAACTGTCCCGGAGCGAGCACCGTTCACAAATCGAATTTCACTGATAGTCCAGTTCAAGAATCTGGGGTTCGAACGCTCGGGCTCAGCGCTCCTCGTTCTGCCTTCATGAAGCTTGAAACAGTACTTGTTGCCCGACGATCATGTGTGATAGTAGGACACGATACGTCGTCTTGAGTCATCTTATTTATGCAGCAACGAGAGACGACTCAATATACTGTACTATTTCGACCAACTGTTCAGTCACGCATCACGCAACCCTCTGAACTGGGCTCTGAGTTCAAAAGTCACGCATCACACACGTCTCCGAACTCAACCGAAGGTCAGTTCACCGCTTTCCCACGCCTTCTAAAGCCAGTAAGCGCCCACTACGACCTGAACTGAACCTTTTGTCACCAGTCATAGCAACCTCTGAACTGTTGAGCTGGCCGAACTGAGCATCACGCGTCACAATGCCTGAACAGTTGGTCGAAATAGTACAGTATCTAGAAATCGTGAGCAGAATGATGTACAGCGGCTGGATACAAGCTCTGGTTATATTGGAACGATTCAGAGGTCAGCGCCAATTCACTGGCCCGACTTGAACATGGAGAATACTGTAGGGTTTCGACCAATCCGGACAGGTTTTGCCTTTTTTGGATGGTTCGATAAATCTCAATAAATCTCAAATCGAGAAAAAATTATTGGCGGGGTCGTTGAAAATCCGTGTGACCTGTGACCGTCCGGATTGGTCGTAAACCTACAGTAAGCGCTCTCTGTCAGTTCTGTTGCTGCCTCTTCCATCGAGCTCGTCGTCGACAGACCAAATATTGGTTCTCGCCACAGGGCGATTCTCCGACCGCCGCTCAAGCTAGTACGATTAGTCTGGACCATCTCTGCCAGGATTCCATCGCTGCGTCTGATGAGTGGCACGCCTCGCTGCAGCCACGGGGGGGTCCATCGCCATCGATGCTGGGCTCAGGGCTCTTTACACGTTTGTTCTCCTTCGTTCCAACGCCCCTCGCAAATCCCCGAACCACCCCCCCATGTGAGTGGAATTGATTATCGCAGAGGCTAAGTAATCGTAACGTGTCAAGGTCGAGACTCCTTCCCTCAGCTACGGCCACCAGCATGAATATCCAAGGTCTCTCCTACTCAGCTGTCTTGTCTACATGTGAGCCGTGACTCAGGAGACATTCAAGAACCAGCATTCATATCAACACAGGGACTAGGGACTCGAGTCTTCCCATCGTGTCGCACTGATTATCATGCTTTGTAAGAGACGGTTCAACGGAACTTACGTAGGCCTCGCATGCCGCCCTGGCCGCAATTCACACGCAATTCACAAGGCACGCAAGGCTCCTTCACGGTCCCAACCATCGGGTTTCGGGCTGTCAAAACGTGCGCGGTGAGAAACCCCATTCTTCAGCTGCGCATGCCGTGCGTTCTACTAACCAATGCAATATAAGGCGAATCGAACGATGAGGCGAAATTCGAAACACTCGAGGTAAGTGACAATCATAGCATTTCGACGTATGAATATTCCGACCTATGGGTTGCAGACGGGAAAGTTGGGCGGTACGGACAAATTCAGACCATACGGGAGCCTCAGGTTCCGACTCTGGCCGCCACTTAAATGCCTTTCACTGCACCTCACTGGCGAACGAGACCTCGTCTTCCGGCGACAGCTCTTATGCAGTATGGACGTAGAGCTTGCCAATGCGAGGACGAGACTCCATCTCTTCTCAGTGGAAATGTGACATATTGGTACAGGGACACAATTTGACAGCGAGGAATGTTTGCAAGTTCGAATATGCCGCTTCACGAAATTGATCCCCAGAATTTCCTGAGGGACGATGAGGATGTCTCACCGCATTCATTTCTGGAGGTAGATCTTCCCAGGGATCTATACGGTGAGACGTCCTCCCAAAGTAATCTCAGACGGCATGCAGTTTCTGCCCGTACCGGTTTCATGAATGCATCCAAAATTTCTGGCTGCAGATTTCGAGACGTGGCTCGACGTTCATCGACTATAGTGATAATGTACGACTCGATCCATCCGATACCACAGGAGGTATCTTATGACCTTGTCCTCGAGTATTTCAGCGCGACCCTTCTTCGTCGCTCATATACTGCAGGGAATGAAATTTTCATTATTCCATCCGGCTTCAACACTCTCGTAGCATGGTGTCTGAACAGGTGCCTGCGGTGCTGATATACCTGCCCCTCAACGACCTGCGTCATTTGTTCGACCCCGAGATTCGGAAGCCGTAAATCATGGACGTTCAACGTTCAACGGCCATTACACAAGCCCTATCGCGAGGCTATCGTGAGTTTATTGTTATCTTTGTAGGAACGACGATACTTCGAGTTGACAAGCCTATGACGTCTGCGTTTCGGAGTGGAATATTTAGGCGTTACGAGGGTCCTTCCAGGGTGCCTTTAGTAGTAAACTGCGCACATGTACGACAACAGTGATAAGACCAGACGACGAGCGATCCATTGTGTATCGCAAGTCTCAGATGACGAGTTGAGCCGGGCATGATAACAAGAATCATGTCGTGACGCTCAGCCTTGGGACTGGGGGCGAGGTAATCTTCCCTTCATGGCCCGGCGGCTAGTCAACGGCGGTAGTACACAGACAGTAGATCATGAAATATACCATGCATCGGGGAACAAATGCCAAGTACCGTCTTGGTAGAAGAACCTCAACTCACTGCGGAGAGTATTTTAACAGATACTGGGATCAAGGCATGTACTACGTACCTCTTTCGGAGGGTGAAGATACCACTGCATGACGATCAGAGGGATGTCGAACAGAGAGTGGCCGTGCACATAATTTACCGAAGTATAAGGCTTAACACGATTGGGATGTGCCTGGTTAGGGAATATATGAAGTCCTGTCCGGCGAAATATCATGGCATCGAACCTGAGCATATACCAGTGAAAGCGAAGATCCCTACAGAAAGATCGCTGTGAGCATAACACAACTTTAAGAACGTAACGGCGTGTTTACCCAGGAGCTTCCGAAAACGTGCCATTTGTCGATATTGAGTAGCTCGCGAATTCTTTCAATGTCCTTGACAAGGTCCCATGTGGTGTTCTCCTCCGTGACAGCAGATCTTGATTGCATCACATCATCACGTTGAGGAGAGCCAACCTTGGGTCAACGGCTGCTTGTTATCAGATACTCACGGTGTGGACATTCCTGCGCCTCTTTGGTCAAGGAGAACAATCTGCAGACACAACGCGTTGTTGCCAGTGGCCAATGCAGAGAAAAATATGGTTCATTCATCATCGCACCTTGTATTTTGCTGGGTTGAAGAATGAACGATCCTTGGCGTCCGACCCAGAGCCGGGACCACCTAACAGAAAAGAATCGAAGTTGGATCAAGCTTCCTACTCACCCTGGCAGGCGCACCGTGAACGAAGACGACTGAGGAGCATATTAATATTTACGAACAATCTGCCGCATGACTCAGCCTACCTGGAGATCCCTCCTTGTTTCCGCTCACTTCGTAGCTAGATCCAATATCATCATGATGCAAGCAGTGCAATACGCTAAGCGAGAGGACGCACTGGCTGAGAGGATATGTATCTCCGACACTTTGAGCCTCCCGGTCTCATATGGCTCTCTAGGAGGATACATCTTGCAGGTTGCTGGGCTCTCAGATAGCTGGTGGGATATGTAGCAACAGAAAACAAGGCAGAGACTTGAATGTGGAAGATCGTATGCAATCTATACCTTCCGAGTCCTTACTAGAACGCCAGCGGATCTGTGGGACACATCTCATCTTGACGCGAGGTCGATGGAGATCGCCTTATCGCTAAGAGACTCGGAAGTTGTAGTACGTGATATATCATGCATCATACTTACTCCGCAGATTGCTAGTGACCGAAAATAAAAGTACCCATTCGGAAATTCCCAGTCATCACAGCTTTCAGTTGTACAAGTATCGTCGTAAAGCGTTTACAAAAGCGCGTATCTGCACGGTGGTCGTCATGTCATCATGCCTTCACCTACTGCGCTTCCTCCTCCTCAAGATTTATTGACTGGAAATGACGCGCAGAGATGCCACGTTCGAAGAGTGTATCGATCCTGTGATGCGCGGTTCACCGCGTTCGACGGAGGTCGGATAGCGAAGTGTACTCACTGATCTACGGTGAGGCCCTTGGTCTCAGGGATATAGAACCACGCCCAAATCGTGCCGATTGCAGCGAGACCCCCGAAAATGAAACCGACCTTGCCACCCAAGTTGGCCTCGTCGGGGTTCACGCTGTCGGAGGTCAGTATCGTGAGAGATAAATGCTACTAAACTGCAGTCACTAACAGGTAGGGGATGACAATGTTGGCCACCATGCCGCACAATGAATTGGTCAAAATACCAAGACCAATGGTCTTAGACCTAAGTTTCGCACTAGAGACTTCAGCGAAGATAACGTAGCCGAGAGGACCACTGCACAGAGAAGTCAGAAACCACGGACATATGAGCCGTACTATTGGACGCACATGCCCGTCTGATAGATGAAGTTATACACTAGAGTCTACCGATGGAAGTGATTCATTCGTCAGAGTTTTTGGATAAATGTCAGGAAACTCACGAAGATAGACATAGCCCACTTAGCACCCTGGGAGGTAGGAATAGATAGAAACCCAATGAGGAAGAGTACGACTGTGCACGCCAGCATGGTCCAGTTAAAGATGAAACGACGTCCATATCGGTTGACGGTATAAAACGTAAGCAAGTTACCGACGACCTGCAAAATTCATACTTCTGGTGAGTGAAATGAGAGTACAGAAACATAGCGCAAATACATACTCCGAGAGCGGTGACGCCGACACCCAGCTGGAATGCCTTACTATCCGCGAAACCTGCTAATTCAAAGAAGTACGTGCTGAAACTGAGCACAAAGACGATACCGGCTGCCTGCTGGAGTACAAACACCATGGATGCAATGATGGTACGCCTGAGATTGACACCTAGAAGTCTGGTTAGTATTTCTGTTCTCGAGACATGTCAAACATCACGAACCTCTGAAGCAATCCATGTACGTCGAATTCACAGCATACGTCTCCTCAAGCTCGATCGTCTCACAGATCTGATGCAATTGCAGATCGATATCGGTGCTGTCACCAGCTAGCCGGATGATCACCTTGCGTGCATCTTCCACACGGCCCTTGCGCACAAGCCACCAAGGTGACTCTGGAGCGAAAGGAAGACCAGCCAGAAGGATGGCAGGGAAGATCCATTGCAACGCACTGTGGGACTGAGCGTAAGAGAAAGCGTCAAAAACTAGGAAGCTTGCCGAACATACAAAGGCAACCTGTAAGCGTAGGCACTCGAGAAGTTGCCAGTACCCTCAATGACACCGTTGGACATGCTGTGAGACACGGTTACAAGGGATATCTTACAAGCATTTGTTCCGCTCACAATTGACCAACTATTTGGAGCTCAATAATGTTAGATGCTACTCTCGTCACTGACCCACATTTCCGCACTCACGATCAATCCACAAGTTGACCGACGCAGTAGTGATTCCACGAAGTGCCAAAGGAGACACTTCGGCGCTATAGGCACTGGCACCGGATACATACATGCCTATGGAACAACTAAAATGAATGATAATCGTCTCTGAAGTGCACGAGACTTACCTAGCGCATAGCCATTGATGAGTTTGCCTGCAAGGAGCATTCCATTCTTGTGCGGAGGGGTGAAGAATTGAATGAATATTCCGGTAATGGACACTAAGCAACAAAGAGCGACGGCACCACGGCGTCTACGATGGACGAATGGAGAGATGAATAACGGCATAAATGAGTGAGAAGCGCCGAGTCTCACCCAAATTTATCGGATATGTAACCGAGCGAGAAACCGCCGAACATACTCCCAATAGAACTGACACTGTTAAATGAGCTCTGCCATCTAGCAGCCAGGACCCATCCACCATCCGCCTCATATCCGAAGTCCCGTCGGAAAGATGGAACTGACAAAAGACCTCCACCAACCTGCAAGTCCAGACCTCGAACTCACCAGTAACCAGCTACATTCAGTACATTCTCACCTGTGAATCATAACCCGAGAGCAAGGCACCCATGCACATGAATATACTCCAGAAGAATGCCCGCCAGTAGGTACGGATGGCTTGTAGAGGCGTCAGGGCACGTTCTGTCGCCGCTGCCTGGGCCAACGCGGTCAGATTCCCATATTGTTTCCCCTTTTTCTCAAAGCTTGCTGCATCTTCAAAACGACTGGGATCTCCTTCGGCTTTCTCGAGGACTGCGGCAGAAGACATGTTGGAGCCAGAAAACGCTGGTGTCGAGCCCGTGGGTTAGGCTAGGGAAAGAAGTCTGGGGAATCATTTGCGGGACTCTTAACCAGCATCCTTTATGCGCGCTTGCGGAACTAGGATGCCAGTCGAATCTATAAACGTGGCGTCTATTCGTATGATGCTCGACCGCACCGCTGCGCCATGCGATGAGTTCCTGAGGAACGGTGTTACCGTAGGATGCGTGCGCATACAGGTCACAAGGGACACCTTCTTTCTCAACGCTTCCTGGTCTCGTACAGTTGCAGTAAATATAGCACCCACGGGAACAAATCAGGATAATCAGAGAAGTCACGATGGTTAAATGGCGCGCCTTTAGGTAGCATTCCTACTCATCATGAAACCAACCGCCGTGCAATCGCCCACAGGCCGGAAGAACTCTGCGTCGACTCGGAGGGCGACCTGTCATTCTTTACGCAGGTCGCGTGCACACATCCAATGTCTTTCGTGCTGCCAGTGGCTATAACGAAGGCTAGCCTAGTACTTGTAAGAAAATCTGTTTGCGGCCCGGTAAAACATGCGACGAGAATGCAAAGAACTTTCGGATGCTCGATGTTACGGTACCGAGAGTTATCGCCTATGAAGAGTCGGTATTCAGGTGACTAAGGGAAGTGTTCCGGGGAAAGTGTGCATAGCGGACAAATAGATGGTGGTATCCATTTCTAATTCGCATGATGGGCCAGTGCGAACCGCAGGAAGTCCCGGCATCGGGCAGCGCCATCAAGTACAATAGCACAACCAACAGAAGTACTTACAGGAGGAGTGGCGATCGTCAAGCGATTGTTCAACAGTAAATATCGGAGAAAATTCCTGAGATCTAGGAGAGCATCAGAATTTCAACAACAATGTACCTACATCAAAAGATTCGTGTTATCCAACCAATGTCCAGCAGACCATTACACCGAAGACTTCTGGGCATACCAATGCAGTTCAAGGCTAGCCCTGTGGACAGTTGTGTTGCCAGTGGCGTGATAGAGCGGCGACACAAAGGACGATAAGATTAGAGACTGGCATACGATGAAAGATAAATCGAGATATGCATCCGCCACCAAGTTGCCCAAAGTACTACACTCGAATCTGCCGGTTATCAGAGAACGACAAAATTCAATACAGTACTGAGTGAACACTGATCAACATTTTGGCATCTTGAAGTAGTAGTGAGAACTTACTGCGACCTCTGGACTTACCAACCACCGAAACTACAGCATGCCAATCTTGCTACTTTTGCACAAGCAGCAACAGACGGTGCAGCGACGATAAAATTCTCCGACGATCAGCGGGAGCGTACAATATCTACTGCGGGAAAATTCCGTCGGCAATCTCCGAGATGGCCAGCTGAATTACACCGCAATACAACGACAGCATTGACTCTGCACCGTTATGTTAAACAGTCCGAGGGTTTTCCAAAACGTTTCCATTTGGACGACGATTTGCATGCTGAATGGAATCATCGTGATCCGATGGGCCATGAAAGGCACTAGTGTAAGTGGACTGGCATACCGTATCAAACTCGGATCAGTATGTTGTAACATTTGAATTCAGGAGAAAGCCAAGTCTGCTGGAAACCAGATATATGCATCTCAGCTGGCTGTCTGGGACACTATATAGTTCGTCTGACTTTGCGCCGTCTGCGGCAATCCCGTTTCCCTTTCTGGTGCACAATTCCAACCTGCCAGTAGTAGCTATTGGGTCGGCTGTTACGCCCGTCCGGCGGCATGCTAGCAGACATCTCAGATAGAATGTGGACTACACTGTGTCTTCGGCGATCTCTCTCCAATGTAGCTCCATCAGAAAATTTTAATATCTTGTCTTTCACGGTCTGGTGAAGTGCGGGGTACGCTACTGCCGGTGGTGTCATTGGGATTATGGTATCCTGTGGTTATACAGCGCCATCACCGTATTTTACTCCCGCCAATCTACCTTTGTGGGCATGCGTCTCCCGCGCCTTTTGCATACGAGGACGTTTCTGTCGGCGCGCTGGCGCTCGTCGGAGTCGTCTCAATCGCAGATGGGTTGGTTCTTTCTGAGCACACCATGTCTTCAGTGTGCCACAGTACGACGCGATATGGATAATCACTAATTAGCCGTCCCACGTACTGACCTTCCACATTTGGTAGGGAAGTGACTACATGCGAACGAGCCATATTCTCGTCCACCTGGTTAGACAGTACTATAGCTAATCATTTCCTTGTTGAAGATTGACTTTACAGTTGGCCTTAGAATTAAACAACAACTCGGACACTTCCCTGGGTCGGAAAGTTTCTATTATGGTTCTACAAGACAATAGGAGCAATATCTTCGGAACTGATCGACAAACCACTGATTTCACAACGAGTACAGTTTTTCTGAAGTCCTATCCCAACAATACCTGCAGGTCGATTCAGCTTTGCATAAATGATAAATTCGAGGCCAAATACTGTACAAACCTGATGAGGACCAACTTCTCAAACTCTTTCCTCGCCTCGCTCCGCACCATCTTACCGTTCTCATCTTGGACGTCGGCATACTCACTTAGCCCCAATTTCTCGTCGTACGCACGACGTAGCTCCAGGGCGATCGCCCAGAGATGACGACGTACACGCATGCTCGCCGAGCGGTGCACATGCGACAGGTACAGCATCCAATCGCCATCGTACGGTGACTCCTGTGCGTGCGCCATAGGCACAGGCGCCTGCCCGTTCTTGGCGCGAAGCTCGGCCTCTCGGGCATATTCGTGCGCAAGTGGCACTGCCCACCCAAGGGCGAGCACACGGACTCGTGCATGCGGCTAGAAAGTAGTTAGAGCATGACGCCGCAGCGAACGACAGGTGGACAGAAAGAGCACAAAGGAGGCATCTGAAAGGTAGGAAAACAAGACGTGCAAGATGTCCACGAGTTCAATAGTCAAGATATCGCTCGTAGCAGTGGGCGAAGGCTCGAAGTTGAGGCGTTCTGCGGTAACTGTGGGTCCGAACCTCGGGAACCTGAGGAGACGTTGTTAGAGTGCTCGCGAGATAAATTAGAAAGACGCTAAAGCCGAGATAGATGACGTACACATCTGGTCGGTTCAGCATCCACCCAAGGTTGTTGGACATGAAGGCGTGCCAGTTGAACTCAATACGCTCTTTGTTATTGAGCGCCCAGAATGGGCGAAGGTCGACTTTGTGCCCGACGCCCTCATAATCGACGCCAGATAAACGACCACCTTGAGCTCCCATCATAGGGCGACCGAGAACCTTCTCAATCTGGCAGAGGTCCGTGTACGCTTGAAGGGAGTCATCTTGGGCGTCGAACGTCGCCCGGACGATTGTGGCGCAAACAGTGTGGCACACCAAGATCTTCGAGAAGAACAGTCAGGTAAACAAAGAGAAGTCCAGTCAGCACATCGACACGTACAGTTCCGCTCGGTGACTCCCATCGGACGTTGAACACCATCGGGATGGAAGGCATATTGCCGAACGAATTGTTATCTGTATCTTCGCCTGAGCAATCCACAGACAACAGGCAGCTGACAGACATGTTTCTTACCGAGCCACTCTAAAGTGGTAACTGCGCCGGGCACCCAGCTCCCCATGGCCACGCCCCATCGGAAGTAGTTGTACAACTTCTCGTTCAGAATACCTGGCGGAGGTGGATGGGGATACACCGAGATAGGACTAGGTGTGAAGGGGAGACGGCACAGGCTGCACCACATATGTAGTTGGTATCGTGACTATGTCAAGAGCCAAGGAAGTCCTTCGAGAGTGGCGGTAGATAAAAGGACGTCGCGGCAGGTTGGCGCTCTTTATAGGCATACGGAGGCACTTCTCGAAGAGTCGTTTCTCCCCTTATGGTGAATCTGGTACAAAGAAATCGATGAGAGGACTCCTCGCTCTCTGAGACCGGCGCAGCGTGAACCCATCCTGACAGTGACTTGTGGATCCCTGTCAAGTCGACCACTGTCCTGAGGCTCGACGGTCCAGCAGCACCGATCTTGTGATCGACGGTAATTGCGACTGTTGAACGTTAACGTCGAGCACAAGATTTGGCCAAACCAGTTGAGGAGACGGTACTTGGCCTCCATCGCTGAATATTGTAAGAGACTCAGAGACATGGTCAAGGCTTAGACTGGCAGCCACGGCGCTCCCGCCGTCAAGCTCGCTGTCGATGACTCGGATCTAGCCGCGATCACGATGAGCGCTCGTGAGGAGGACGTCGCTCCGACTCTCAAGAATCATATACACCACAATTTGAATCACCCAAGCAATGCAAAGACTGATCATGATATGCAACAAATTATATATAGGACATACGAAATAAATTATGCTCTCATAGATTGCATTGCCCTAGGTAGAGGATGACCGCCGACTTCCGAAACTCCCAAACATTGAACCCACGGCTCTGAATGCCGCTGAAGTTCTTGGAGGTATCGCATCGCTTTCTTTGACGGGAGACAATTCTGTTGGGATGTTCAGACTTCCCTCACTCTGCAGCGGTACCGAGCTTAGAAAGCTGAATATCATAGCTAGAGATCGGAAACGTACCGTCGCGAGCGGATTCCAATCAAACCTCATCGTTGCGACCGTCGGGAGCACGTTGCCAGTGAGTCTCCGCCTCTTGTTCTTAGGAGTGCCATCACCTATAACGACCGCCTCGTCCGAGTGTCGTCCTGTCGCGGTTGCTTGCTCTGTGCCCGACCTGATAGCTTCCGGCGGGCATCCTTCGAGGAAGGTTTCGCTGCGGTAGCAGCTTTGGCCTTGGGTCATACCTTGTTCCTTGTGCCGCTATCCTCGTCCTCGTCCTCGTCACCACTCCTTTTATTAATCCGCTTCCAGGTTGGCTTGGGTTCCTCCACGTCCCCCTCTTCCAGAACCTCGGCCTTCCGCTTGCCCTTTCTGCCGGCTATGCGTTTGTCCTCGATGATCTCAACCTCAACCTCAACCTCAACCTCAACCTCTTCTTCGTCCCTGTCTTTTCTGGGTTTCCTTTCGGCTTTACTTTTGCCTGTCCGTGAGTCTCCGTTCCCATTCTTGCTCTGAGGTTTCGGTTGCCTCTTGGTCTTCTTTGGAGGTTCGACTTCCTCATCGCTGTCGACGTCAAGGTTTCTGGCAAGTTTCAGCGATGTGGAATCAGCCTTCTGGGCTTTGCGCGGCTTGGAACGGCCATTGCGTTTCGGCTGGGGTGAAGGAGAAGGCGCCACAACCACTTCTTCGACTTCATCCACTTCCTTCTCAGATGTTGACGAGAGCTCGCGGACGGGTAGTATGCGCTTCGACTGCTTCATCTTGACAAAATTGATAAATCCTGTAAGATGACCGCACAGGGATCGTTGACCTTCTTGACTGGCTTAGGACTTGATCAAGTGTAGAATGTAGTCCAACCGTAGCCTGCCTCGCTTCTGTCTTCGTCGTGCTCAGATGAGCCTTCAGGGCCTTAATATTTTTCTGCGTATCCTCCAGCTGCGACCTTAGTCCCTTTGCTTCCGCTTCAAGTTTCTCTTCCTTTCCTTGAGCTTTCTCGAGTGCTATCTTTCATGTCACGTCAGCACAACAACCCAGTAATACCCACAAAGCAACATATTCACTGGTTCATCACGCTCACCTTCCACTCGTCCAGTGCTCCCCGGTATTCTTCGTCTTTCTGCTTCCTCTTTTCTGTTGCAGTCTCAGCCGCGCTTTCCAACTCTTCCGCTCGTTCCTCAAGCTCCTTGACCTGCGTCTGCAGCGTCTCCACCTGCACCACAAGTTCCATGCACTCACAGCGGAGAGCGTCTATTTCCGCGCTTTCACGGCTCTCAAGTTTATTCTCGAGTTGCCGGCGGAGCTCAACCACAGTTTGCTCGGCCTCACCGTGCTTCTTCTCCAGCTCCGCGCGGGTGGACTTGAGGCCATCTAGGTGGAGTGTTGTTCGCTCAAGCATGGACTCAGTCTTCTTGGAAGAATCCTCCGAGGCATTATGCTCGGTCTTGAGCCGAGACATGGCGTCCTACAGCGTAGAGTAGGACATAAATCCCTGTAGCAAACTTGTAGATAGGGGAGAATACATTCGAGAGGACGTACCTTAACATCAGCCTTCTCCTGAAGCGCGTCGGTCAAATCTTTTGCAGAGTCGCGAAGCTGTGCCGCAAGGCCTTCGCACCTTGCCTCCAAAGCGCCTGCCACCTCATCACTCAGCTTCTGTCTCTCCCTCTCGACAACACGCTCCGCATCCCCAAGCTCGGCCTCTAACTAGTAACGTCGCGACGCGCTCTTCCAGCTCCGTCTCGCGCAGTTAGAACGTGACTACTAGGCGAAAGCGGCGCTGCAGACGCGCGAGCCGCTCGCGGCGCACTTCCTCCCGTTCCTTGAGCACAGACATGCGCTCGCGGTCGAGCTCGATGGCGGTACGCAGGTGTGCGATACGGTGGGCGGCTTGCAGTGTCTCGCAACCGTCGCCGGATGTAAAGATCAGATAGCACCAAATATTTAAATAAATCAAAAAAACTCTATCGGCTTCATATCGCACCCCCTCAGGATCTATTTCGCTCCGTAGTACGTAGAGCTAACTTCAGCAGGTTGTCTACGGTAGAGGCCGCTCGTTGGTTGCACGTGATTGTTGAAATGCAGGTGGCCGCTTGGCACTCTTACCTCTCCTAACCACTCGCACATCGAATCCTTTGAGTCGTCAATATGCCTAGTTCTCGCCGAACGCAAGTGTGCCGTGCGCGATCAAGAATTGGGGGCTCTACTACTCATTCCCCGGTGGCCACCCCGTTGGCGAAGACAAAGACTTCGTGGCAGGAACCAAATACTGACATATACATTAACATGCGCTATCGCCAATATGCTCAGTCTGCGAAGCGCGCCATGATTGGCCCAATGCCTGTTGATACATGAACTTCCTTCCCGAGACAGACATGTCTATGATGCCACCTACCGCACAAGTGTTCAGTAATGTGCCTGATGGTGCGGAGCATAGGCATCAGATTATTGAGCCACTGGTGAGTCCTGTATCCTTGTCCACAAAGCCAATAAAACAAAGGGTTGCAGATTACCGCTCTTAATGGTACTGGAATGGGCGGGGCTCGGTTTCCCGGATTTATCTTCAAGGACACGTCCGCGTTCGGCCAGAATTGCGGGGAGATAGGATCAATGGCTCCCCATATTTCATGTCTTTCCGAACGAGTGGTTGACTCGGTCCAACAAACATCGGTAGCCAGTTATCTCGCTTACACCGACCTGCACGTTGAAGTTCAACCCCAGTCCGTACTGGACGCTTTCACGGATCCGACTCCCGATGCGGAACGCTCCTCCCATAATTTCTTTCTGAATATCAGTGAGAAGCGAACTCGCCAACGGGCCGAACGGGGGCTGGGGAGGCACGTTGCATGCGCAACCGAGGCGTGCGCTCGTCAGCATCGCAGCTTTTACTTTTCGATCGCACTGTCTGGATCGCACGCCCGACTTATTCGCTGGGATCGTGCTGGAGCGGTCGTCTCAGAATCTATCGACCTGCACAGCGACGCAGAACCCATATGCGAGTTCCTGTAGAGATATGCTCACGCCTCGCTATCGCATCGCGGATATGATACCACAGTGCAGCCTGCGACACAGGAAGAGGAAGGGCTCTTCGAAGACTCATTTACACGCATGGTCAAGTTCCAGCTGAACCTCAACAGCCAGACAGCCCTGGCCGCGGCCGTGGGGGAGCATTATCGGCCGGGAATAGTAGCTGCAGTCACCATGGTTGACAATAGCTCTGTGGAGCATCGATTACTGGTATCACAACCAGTCAGTTCACCTATCTCAATGATGGGTCAAGGAACGAGGTATTACTGGGCTGTAGACGCAGATAGCAGGCAAGTGGTATTTCTCAAGGATACATGGCGCTGGAATGGCAAACGTCAAATGGAGGGTGAGATTTTGGCAGACCTGCATGCGGCTGGGGTACCCAATATCCCTCAGTTGATGTACCACGGAGACGTCCGAGAGCCGCGAACTCAGACGAATGAGATAACTCAACCGGATAATGACGATTTCGAAGCCTGTTGGGGTATGTTTCCACACATTGTCTCTCGGTCATTACGTTGCATGTTGACAATTTATGTCAGCTCTTCAGTACACGCAAACCGACCTATTCTGTCAGGCCCACTGGGTAAGCAAGACTGTGAGCCCCTTTCGCCCTCTCGTGCACTACCGATTAGTTTTTGGGACCGTCGGATATGGGCTGGAGCAGTTCAGAGGAGCACGGGAACTACTTCACGGGACGTATGATGTGTACCAAGGTACGCACCTTGGTCATCTGTCACGAAATGCTCCTTATTCCCTGCAATGCCGTAGCTATGTTAGGTGCTTTCGGTATCGAAGACCCAGCAAAGCGTAGACTACATTGCGACATTAGTCTCAGTAGCATCATCCGTCCAGGGATCCCAACTCAACAGGCATAGTACGGTCTAGGTATCTGATCGATTGGGAAATCTCTTCTTTAATGACAAGCGATGGCACAGCTTGCGATTGCTCACCGGTGAAGGTCATTTCCACATACATCTATACATGCTAATGAACATCTACAGGGTACCTTCCAATTTGTGTCACAGCGCTTGTTGCAGCGGAGTCCTGCTGCTCATGCGATCCAGGACGATATGGAATCTCTCCTCTATGTCGTGCTGTACTGCAGCTTACTATGGCTGGATCACAATCAGTCGCTGCAGGACCTGGCAAGTCGCGTGTGCGCCATCTTCGGCAGTTTCAACACCTTCGATCACGCTGAAGAATTTCGAAGTAGCGGGGGCAAACTTAAGAATCAATATTATCGTATTTTCACTTCAGGAGTTCGTTTCTCGGATACAGCTATTCAAGAGTGGCTACACGCGGTCATGCGCTTTGACTCGACCTACATGGTTGAGTACCCACGAGATATCGCGCTCGCGAAAGTGTGGGAGAATCCCGCAGAGTTCAATACCTTCTGGACAAATTTTCTCGATGGCCGTACAATATCCAACTGCGACAGAGTCTCGCGACAGTTAGCAGTACCCCGTGAACGCTCCAATTCCTGGAGATTATCAAATGTATTGCCCCCAGCTCCCGTACGACCTCCGCGGAAGAGGCGCGCGATCGCGAGAGATGAACTCGTCCGCGCGAATGCGGAATGTATCATAATCTCAGCACCCTCACTGCCTCGCCCAGATTATACAGGTCCTACCACGCGCTCGATGGTGAAGCGGAGGCGGATTGACGCACCTGAAGTCGGTGCGGGTCCCTCACTAGATTCTGGGATAAACTCCCGAAGCAATCCCCGGTGTTTGAGGCCTCGCCCAGCGAAACCTGACCTCACGCAACAGGGACCCAAGAATGACAGGTCGAGAAAACGAGCCTAGACATATTATTCCCGTGCTTGTTTTTTGTAGTTTAGATTCGACTTTGCATGCCTTTGATCATGTCTAGCATCTCGACGTTTATATGCACTCCCTTCATGCACTCCATTCATCGACGGTGTTCTAGTGACTATGAGTCAGGTTCATGCTTGGTATTGAAGGATCTGACATCGACGAACCCCCTTCAAGGCTGCGAGCAGTTTTTTGCAGCTCGTTGACTATTGTGAGTGTTTTGCGTACGCCAAGACGAACTGATGCAAGATCTTCTCATGGACAACATACTAGGTCATGACCCAGAAACGTATCTCCAGCCCCTTCTCCCTCAGGCTCGTCACTCTCCATGGCCGACGAAGTCTGTTCTCGCCATCTCCTCATTCAATATATGGCCAACAATTGAATGCGATATATTTAAATTTTTGCACTGCACGGGCCAAACTTACCAGCCGTGGCAGGTTCTCTACGGTCATCAGATTCTACATGGATAACTGAATGGATGGCTTTGCTCAAGTCCTGCGCGTCAGTAGTATTTCTCAGTTCCGGCCCTGAGACGAACGGTGGGAGTCGATGAAGCTATGTGGGCGCAATTGTACGAGGACGATCACCGATGTCGATCGCCTGTCATACAGATGTGCGGATCGAATTGTCGATCGCTAGCGGAGGCGTCTCAGGTTGTCGCAGAGCCCCTGTTTGTCGTTAGCCTGGGCATCTTGTCCTTTTTTTCACGATGCGGATAAGCCGAGGGAGCGCATCAATCTCCAGTTAACTTGACGTATATATGTCCGTTTTTGAGCGTCGTCCTACCTGGAAAGGCCCGGAGACAATGCGTCAAAGAAGGCACATGTAAAGCAGATAGTGCTTAAAAATGTAGTGGTCCATGCTGAATCGCGTGTGTTGCTCAACACAGTGTTTCAAGCAGGACTCAGAAAGACCACCGATGCCGACGAGCCGATATGCAACTGCTCTCCCAGCGTTACTTCGAATGATGGTACTGATAGCAAAATTTAGCAAAGTTTGGTCCATTATCTTTAATAGTCTGGAGGGCGAAAAAAGATAATATTCAGGTACCTTGGGCACTAGGTGCATGCAGAGGTACCACAGCGAGCACCAATACTCGTGCAGCGCTGGAGAAGGTCAAGGGGAGATGTGGACGCTCCTGTCCACCTTGCTCCAGAAAGTCATCTGAAATATTGTGTATTCATTGCGACACGGCGGTTACAGCAACTCTTCTAGTAGCTAAATCTTGCATCCTGTTGAACGCAGCACTCAACACCCCGCAGTATCAAATCTATCACGGAACAGACGTCCCCGTGGACTGCCATCCTCAGCCGTGAGCAGACGAATGTCTATCAGAGCTGCGTGGCTTGAGTATGGTCTTTGTTATAGCGACGCATCCTCGCAATGAATTCGTGAGAACGGCGAGAACAAGAACGGGACTCACCAGTGACTTGAGCACATATGCGCCGACTGAGAAGCATAAGCAAACAGCCTAAGTAACACATGCACGCGCGGATAACATGAAGACCATAACTTACCTCAAGAGTATTTTTATGCGAGGAAGGGCTGTATTTAGTATGAGGAAGCAGGGAAAAGCTCGGTGCGAACGAGAGCTGAAATCGACGGCAAGAGATCACATCTCTACACTTACATCTCAGACCATGGCGATACATCCAGACAAGGCAGCGGTTTCCTGTCAATGGAAACACATAAGCATCCCAGTCGGTGGCCAGGGCCATTGAAGCTAGAGTGTTCATAACAATTGTAAGTGCAACTTCAAGTGAACGCTCAGGCACTTCTGGCCGCAGGAAAGACTTCAATCGTGACGGTCACGGTGTGACACTCACCCTCTGCGTGCACTGCTCGACATGACAGTGCTCAATAGCGCACACTGATGACTTGCTCAAGCTTTACTTCCATGCAGACGCAATCTTTCAAATCATAATGAATTCCGGCAACCTCACCTTCGCTCTTTCTCGACCCTGTTTGCAGTCCACTGTCCCGCTGACCGGCGACTTCTCTCAGCAGATTTACAATCCTCGATAGCCATAGGCAAGGCAAATTCAAGTTATACTCGATGCGATGGATCGGCCTATCCACACCCCAAGAGATCTATAGAGCTCAGTGGCCCTCTTTTGACTACTCCATTGCCGGAAAGTGTCCGGCTGTGTTCATCGAAACTCGGACTCGGCTGCTATCCTCGCATACACCATTGCTCCGCTTCAAGCCTTTGCCCTCCGATTTCTGGGAGGACCTACACGGACTTTACTGTCTCCTTCTTGCATCGCGCTGTTATTCTCGGACAGATTGAACAAAATGTCAACTCGTTGCGGCGGAGCTTGTCGACGTGGCACCCGTAGGCAAAGTGTTCGACTCGTCCACTAATCTGTGGGTTACATCCAAACCAATGTCTCTCTGTAATTCCTTGCAACACGTCTGTGCTTCCTTTCTGTCCCCTCCTCGCAGATTACGTTCTCCCGTCGCGCCTCCACACGGTGCTCCTGGATTGTGTGATGTCGACTTTGTTGTGATGTTCATCAACTAGGATACCTTGTACGTTGGGTGTTGGCTGTCCTAGCTTCGTAAACGCTCCTACGCTCTGGCGATTGTTTGCTGGTTAGTCCAAATCAGTCGTAACTCGGAGGTAAGCGACTAGCCAGTCCTAGTGGTCTCGGTGCCCAGAATCGACTAAAGCTCATCGCCTGCATATGCCTTAACCAATCCCTCCATGCCTCCCCCTAGCGTTTGGTAAGTACATATCCATCTGCCCTGATGAAATCTCTTCCGGACCATTTGATCTGGCCTTTGATGATACGTGTTTCCACTTTCGTCCTCCGAACACGTTGCCATGGCCAAGGTATAGTGTGCTATGGCATTGGCGCGCACATCCTCTGGTCCATCACTTGGGTAGGCGTTGAGATCAGATCAAATTCCATTCTTTCTACGCGAACAATCAAGAGATCTCCTATTGAGTCAAGTAAGTAGTGTCTATTGTCGAAGCGTCTTGTTCTGTCATATTGAAGGGATTGCTACCGACCCTCAACGGAGGGGCTCCGCAATCGCAGTATGATCGACGTCCTGATCTTCCACCTTCATAGAATGGATAATCCCACCAACAGATGCACAACGGTGATGCTTGATGCAGAGACTATGCCGAAATTGTTTGGCTGTGGTCATCACGACGCCGCTCTTCCGTCAATCTGCCAGGCCCATTTGATCTGATGGATAGCGGTCTGTTATGCGTGGCTGTGCAGCCTTCATCTCAGATACGTAGCTCTGGATGATCGATGCTCACCGGCGCAACAGATTAGAACAGATTCCGTATCCTCAGAGAATTTTAGCATCTCTCAGCAGATATTTGGCACCGTCTCCATCAGGACTATGGATGGAGGAGCACGCTCGAACCTCACGGCTATCGAACACACCACACCGCCCTGTTTCCGATTGACGATAGAGTATAAAGGGACGCATAGAAGTGTGATGCAGCTATTCATTTTTATTTTGTTTCCCTGGCAGACGGCCACACTAGGCTTAGGACTTCGGTCGAGATGTTCAAGCATCTTCTGGCCTCATGCGCGCTGCTGGCTGCTCCCATTGCCTCGCAGTCTATTACTTCTATTTATGATATTGTACGCCATCTTGGGATGTACCTGTGCTTCAATCGTTCACCATAAAAATTTTGTGCAGTGGCAAACGACGTGGAATCGTGATGCGTTGTTCACTTACACTAATCTTTCACCCAATCCCATTTCCTGGAAGACGCCCGCGGCCATTGGGAAGGCCGATATCGTTGTGGATGATTCTACAAAGTACCAGACGATGATTGGTTTTGGTGCATCCCTGAGTACGTTGCTGCCGCTTCCTTCTGTTGATGTCTGTGCATTCACGGAGCTCTCCGCAGCCGACTCTTCTGCACAGATCTTGAGCAACCTCAAGGTATGGTTAGCCTGTTACCGGAGGATCACCTCTTGATATGTTTTATGTTTTAGTCCAAGAATTCCCAGAATTACTGGGACGTTCTATCTCACACATTCGATGGTTCGTCGTGATGATCTCCCAAGCTATCATGTCCTGACCTATCCATTTTAGCTCAGGACGGCCACAATGCTGCGGGAGTCTCCTACCTTCGCGTTCCACTTGGTGCATCCGACTTCTCTCCAAAGGGTTTGTTCAAGATTATATGGTGGAACCTGTCCTTATCGATATCTGCCGCTTCCCAGTCTATAGCTTTGATGATGTCAGCGGAGATACTGACCTTAGCAGTTTCAACATCGATAATGCGCCATCCGATCTATTTTCTGTTCTGAATGATATTCAAAGCATCAATAGCAACGTGAAAATCCATACTGTCCCTTGGTCTCCGGTGAGTTTGTCCTTTACTCCTTGCATCTATCCAGGCTATGACACTTAGATAATGTAGCCCGGATGGATGAAGGATAGTGGAACCATGACTGGAGGGTCGTTCCTCGATCAGTACACAGATGCTTGTGAGCTTTGTGTTCTACTCATCCCGAGTTTGTTCTCAAGCAAGCGTTCCTTCCCAGACGCGAACTATCTCTTAAAGTCTCTGCAAGGCTTCAAGTCGAAGGGCATCAATGTCTGGGCAGTTGGCATCCAGGTTGGTAGTCATTGGTGGACGAGAATTCTCACTGCGCTGACGCACTCCGCAGAACGAGCCTGAGAACAGTAACCCTTCATATCCAACTTGTCGCATCTCTGCCTCCCAAGAAGCGAAGATTGGTCTTGCACTGAGATCGTTGTTGGACAACAACGGTTTCTCGGATGTCATCCTCATCGGATATGAGCACAATTGGAATGACGCTGCAGGCTATCCCGAACAACTCGTGCGTAACGGCCTGTTCACGTTCTTCGAGCTCGATCTGTTGAATGTCTTCAAAGATGCAACAAGCATCGAGCGCATTTGAGGGCGTCGGTTTCCACTGCTACGCTGGAAACGTCAGCGAGCAGGCAACATTTGAGAGCGCGTACCCGTCCAAGTCCGTCTACTTCACCGAGTGCACGAGTTTGTATGGCAGTGACTGGTGGAGTGACATCAAGGTTTGTCAGCTCAGTAGCTTATTATTGTTTGCTGCTAACAAGTGACAAAGTGGTACATGGACAACATGTAAGGAGTCAAAGGCACTTTCCTTGCGTAATGCCTGACTCTGGGTCTATAGCTACACCGGATCCCCCAACCACGGTGCCAAGGCGGCAGCAATGTGGAACCTTGCTCTCGACGGTGACGGTAAGCCGATGCTTCCTGGAACGAAGAGCTGCGACCCGCCCTGCCGTCCAATTATCACGGTCAACAGCGACGGTAGCTATGCCTACAATCAGGAATGTGCGTAAATCATTTCTATGAACAGCGGCGCCGAACTGACCCCATGTTACGCCAGTCTACGCCATGGCTCAGGCGTCCAAGGCCATCCTTCCCAAGGACGCCGGTGGTCCGTTCGGTCAGCGCATAAAAGTGACCGTCGGAGGGTCGTTGAGCTGGGGCTTAGTTGTTGCCGGTTATGTTACTGAACGTACGAGCTCTTCCGATTGGAATCGGTATAGTCTCGTCGTCCTCAACTGGTAAGCCGATGTCTGTCCCTGTGAAGTGACAAAAGCTGACTCTTGTATTCGTCCTATTCTGCAGGAACGACCAACCAAGTGGCTCTTGGAATCCTACACCCATTCAGACTACTATTGAATTCCGCGGCTCTCAGGTACGTTGCTAATGCCTCTTGCTTTGGTATTCGCCGAATCATACTCGCCAGGCTACATATACTTTTCCTGTCGGAGTGACAACCCTGAGCTGGTACGCTCCCGGCTGATGAGGGTCGATTCGCTTCGATCAGCAGTGAGCAAGCCTTGCTGCTTTGGTTGTTTCTATCTATTGGGTTCGAGCCATGGTAGAAAGACCTTTAGGTCTTAGCCTTCCATTCTTTTTGCACTTCCCCTCCTTTCTTACAAATGTCGTGCTGGGTATTAATGTTATTTTATCCACGAAATTATGGGATCTCTGACTTCTGTCTACGTGCGCATACGAAATCCTTCATCCTTCATTCATTGGCTCTCCAGTGTATGGCCGATGCGCACAAATATCCGTCCTGCACATTTGTGGCTTCAACATCAACGGTCGGAGAGAATATGACCGCCAACTTTTATCCGGAATACAGTGAGTGGCACATGTATAAGCTACTGCAGACGCTTCCACTGTGCGGCTAACATGGGACGCAAAAGCTGTCGACCGCGGGGCAGGATGATGTGTAGGTTGCAGACGGAGGTGTGTCAGCGCGCACATGCAAAGCAGAAACGTTGTGTAAGTCAGACCCAGTGGAGTTGGGCGTGCGCTGATGTGCGATGGCCAGGAAAGTACGTCGGAACAAGACTTGCAGTGTACGTGAAGCTCGACGAACCTGGTATGGCGCGTTCTTCGCATGCCCGTCATGTTGACAACTTCCATAATAGGCCGGTTCGTAATCGCAACTGCAGGGTTGAACTACACGGTGCAAACTAATTTCCACGACGTGCTCCAGTACAGTACCCAGGCCACATTGGGAAGACGGTGCAGCACCGGAACATCAGTGATCGCAAGCTATAACATGACTCGGAGAACGCACCCTCTCCAAACATTGTCCCTTCATAGGGCTAGCGCGTGTGGTTCGCAGTTACCGCGAACCGCACACGTTAGCTCTATGAAGGGCTGATGCACAATGCATGTGGCCTCAGGGGAGCGAGCGTCCCCATGAAGGAACAGCGAGAGGATTGCATGTTGAGCAGTGAGTTATGAGTGGATGTTGTGGTAAAGAGAATGGTCGAGGGAGGAGAGGTGCCGTATCTTGTATATCTGGCTGGCCTGTTGCCATAGAGGAAACATGGACTGCGCTTCAACCTGCTTCAAAGCTTCAACAATGAGAAAAATACCAAATTTTGATGCACAATAGAATCCGATATGTCGATCGAATCGCCACAAAGCATAATACACAAAGCTATTACTTACCATCAGGGTACCGCTGCGAGTGAACCAAAAATATCGTCGTACAGTCCCGGGGCCGTTGCAATTAAAACGAATGGTACAGTATGTAGCACCGAATGGGGGACTAAACGTGGTCAATCGATATAAGCCTCAGGGAAGTGGTTGACCGCGAGATGCTTCTAACTCCACTCACAATTGGCTCCTATCGGATGTCGATGATCTCAACAGGCACTATCTTCCAGAAGAAAGTCACACTTATTCACGCAGAACCCTGCGCTTGCGCATGCTAGATTCATGTGATGCTGCATGTTCGTTCGTCTCGCTGCAAAGACGAAGGGATGATCATAGAGATCAGCAACCGTATGCGAGTGTTTTCGGGTTTTCGACCTAGTAGAATGAGTGAAAAAAACCGACTGAACAATGTTATACCAGGGGTGAACCGGTGACAGTCGTCCTGGTGTGGAGGCTGTCGAGCCTCAAGGGTATTCAACACATACCTTACGTGCACTTGTCTTCTAAGGGTACTTCAGCTCGAATTAATAGTCTCCTGGACCGCGGAGAGGTCGGCGTAGAGCTGACTTCTGTGGGGATAGACGAGGCCAATTTTCGAGTTCTGGATACTTGCATGAAGCCATTCGATTATTTAGCAGATGGACTGACCTCGATAACAAGCCGCAGGAAACTTCGAACCTTCAGACCAAATGGCAGAAACAGGATGCATTAGATCAAAGAAATAAATAATTGAGAGTTTCGTGACTTTGCTGCGACCTGCGCGGATACCGAGCACACAAAGCAAGACCTGAGGTGCAGTACTAATGGAAGTCACTATCTCTTCGCACTTCTATGTTCGTGACACAGCTAACCTCTCTGAAGCTTCTCCCCACAGAGCAACTTCATGCTTGGGCAGATTCCCAGCATGGGAAACTACTTCCAAGCTCGGGAACAATTCTAATAAATAACGCACCACGAATTCTGGATCATTGATGTTCCCCTTGCCGACGCACAACGTTCTAGCAGTGCCGCTCCACAGAAAAACAGGTAGAGTCGGAGTCACCTCTCTGCGCGCATCAATGTCAAAGCCTAAATCACGAAGAGATGGGCAGTGTTTGGCGAAGAAGCGGAGGTCATACAGCGAGACGAGACTGTTAGAAGTATTGTGCATGAGGTGAAGTGTCTCGATAGCTGGGAGTGCTTGGGCGAGGGACTCGAGGAACAATGCATCGTGTAGAGCAAGATGCTCCGCACGAATCTTGAAGTGCGTGAGTGAGCGCATCCCCAGAAGCGGTTTCAGCTCGCGCGCAGTGATCTTGAGTGGGGATGGCGATGTGGCCTCCCATTGCTTTATTGCGGGGTTGCAAGTAAAAGTCAGTTCCAGCATCACCAACGCCGACTGCACAGGTGCCTTGGCGAGCTCCTCCAAGTGTGTCCTGACGGCGTCTGCGGTGGGGCATCGTTCTGTGTTCAACACGACTTCTGTCAAGTACGTCGAGTGGATTTCCTGAAAAAGTGCCAGAGTTCCCTCCTCAAGCTGGTCCACATCTAGGTGGAGATACCTCAATTTTGGGAACAAGTTCTCGACGGGGTCTTTTCGCATGACTTGAAGGTCCGCAGCGTGCGCGCAGAAGTGTGCTTCCGTCAACACCTCTCCGCATGCAAGAGAGCGGATGGCGTCCGCTGAGAGAACACTAAGGCGACAAGATAAGTGGTAGAGGCAACCTGTGCTTTGTAGAAGTTTTGCAATGACCGGTGCTACTCCATCCGATTCCTGCGGGGTAACGTTGATAAGCTTGAGATTGCGAAAGCGTGACTGTGGCCCTAGGAACTGGGAAACGCTATCGCTTTCTGCCTCATTCCACTGCAATGTTTGCAAATTCGGGAAAGACTTAGTCGGTGGGCCCCATGCTTGAAAGACATCCTGAAGGACAGAAGAATCTACATCCCAGGTGTTGTACCAAGAAAGATGCTTGATACGTTGGGCATAAAAGGAGAAACGGTGTAGAGCACGCGCGGAGGCTTTTCCACCGGATAGTTTCACGTCGCTGGCAAAGGGACTAGTCCACCGCTAGAACAAAGAATTAGCTCTCATGCGGAGCTAGTATGATGCAATTAAACGCTCACAAACTCTAGCTGCCACCACAAAGGCACCCCCTTTTTCTTGTCCAACCGCAGTGAATTGATTGGATTCTGCATGTACTCTCCTCCGGCGCCCATTATCTTTCGAGGGGTTCTCGAGTACTGCGACAACACAGTCAACGATTTAGCAACGTATGAGGAAGTGGAGTAAAACGTACATGAAGCCCTGACTGTTTATCTAGAAGTTCCCACATATTAGATGGAAGCAATTGAAAGAGAGGCACCAAGGTCGTCATGTGCTCCCATATGAGGTCTAACGACGTCTCGGAGAGCGCCTTGCACGTGGGTGCTATGCGTACCACCTCACGCATTCCGCCAGAGACCCAAATCATCCGGATTATCGGCCGCATAAGGTCGTCGAGCTCGAGGAGTCGTGCTCCCGCGGGTAGTGGAGGCAGTGCACGTTCCCTGGAAGCGCGTTGAGATTGCGGGGAAATGATGCTCCGAAGGGACGACATGACGGAGACGATGGCCACTATGAGTTGAGAGAGAAGTAGCGAAAAGATGAATCACAAGCACGAGCTTTATAGGCCTGACGGCTCCGATCACGCGGCCCCACGGGCGCATTGTGGCGATGTTCAAACGGGAACAGCACTGCATGATGAGTAAGCTCGACAGACCATGCAAGGCTACTAACCATCTCAGCCTCTTTCAATCATTGATCAGATATCCCCTCAGCGCGGAAATCTATAATCAACTTGGTCAAATTATTAGCCTTCCGCCATGAACAGGCCGGAGTGGAAAGAGAGCTGACGGCGTGAAGCGGTTCCTATGCGTGTGTCAGAGCACAGTGCCGAATGCGAACAGGTGGTCGTTCATAATCCCACCTACGGCGACGAGTGGCCACGCTGAGCCCGACAGGATTTGCGAGTAACTGCAAGCGCGTTCAGCGATCTGGGGTTCGTAGCGTGGAATGTGCGATGCACGAATAGGACCATTTTGTACGGCCTTCGATGTCATTGGGCCGGATTACCGTGTACCGGGGAGATAGTCCCAGCTCTAAGGGTATACATGCCAGCCTGGACCACAGTATTGGCCCATTGCAATGCTATACTGCCGGCAGAACAGAATAAACAAACATATAACAGACTCAGTGAGTACGTATCAAACGGCGTGTGGTGAACATACTGCAGCTCGACAGTCACGTTTTGTAGAACCGCCGCTACGGGTGTCATATTACATGGCAACCGCAGCCTCAGTGTCGGGGATACAATCTCGTTGTATCGCTTCCACTGTGACTAGTGCATGACCAAATCAACAACCATGATCTACCGACAGAAAAATCGAAAACCTGATGATGTTATGCCGCATGGAGGACTACACATGTCGATAAAGGATGCTATTCAACGTTCCAGGTGAGCAAGCAGAGAAGCATGGCCGAATAGCCGAATAACTCCCCGGACCACGACAGAACGTATTCTAGAATGGTCATTGAGTCAAATTCAGAGCAGTGAACACAGTACTCGCAACGTTCACATCTGGATGACCATGGTCGACAGTTTGAATGAGTGCACATGTCATCGGGTGATAGGATATTGCGACTTAGCATATCTACGAAGGCTAGGGAGAGCAGGCACGAAGATGAACCAGACAATGAAATGCACGCTAGAGATATCGCCGATCTATAAGACACAGTGCCTCCGCTGCACGAAACGCACAACAGGGTGCGTCGCGAGTGATCCGCCTCTGCATACGTTGGGTACGAATATGGACCATATTCATACCCAACGTACGCAAACCAAATATACTTGCCGCAGAACTAATGTGCTGTCAGCGTGAGAGTCAGAGTTGAGAGACACATGAATGAAAACCGAGGCAGTTGCATTGTCGTATCCTTCGGTAGAGAGCGGGACCTTGGGCAGGATAAACCATTGCTCTTTCGACTAAACAGACGACGAGCAGCGACACAACCAGTGTTTTCAGATGACTGAATGGGAAGTCAGAGAAATTGATCTGTGGGAACTTCAGAGATCGACAATAGTTCGCGGTTCTCTGCGTTGTCCAGAAAACCCGTTGTCGCGCTTCTGAGGATGGATTCAAACAGCAACTTCTTCGACTATGCTCCGCAACAATAAGTTGGGACATATATTCAAGGGGCAAAAAGACGCACTGTAGACTTTAGAAAGCTTCATGGCCGATTCCACCGAACTTTTCCTGCAACCATACTTGTAGGCCCCGGGCCCCTTTCAGCTCATCTTGTATCCATCGACTTGCATGCCGACCCGAGAAGTTACTGAGGCATATAATCAAATTAAGCGGCAATTCCTGTCCACATGGACAGGAAATGCGATGATGGCATTGAAGGAAAAGCGTAACCTTACGTAACCATATTCAGACTCGGGGGTCCACCCGTTCACCGAATCTGAGCTGGCTGTTCGTCACAGTCTCGTCGCGCCTCGTTTGACCTGTTTACACTGGCCAGGACGTATTTGTGGAAGTACTAAATCTGTTCTATAAACATGTGGGATGCAGGAGTACTGTAATGGCCGTCGCAAAGATATACTACTGGTATGTAGCACTACCGTGACGTCTTGGATACCCCATCGCAAAGCCTCGCATGGATTGATCGTCCCCGTTTCGATGTGGGACAGGTTGTGCGCTGGCAAATATGAATGTTTCTATCGCACTAAATCCTTTTACGGACCTCCAGCGTGTTGATGGATGAATGACGACAGCTAGTTGAACATCTTGACCTCCTGCGTTCTCCCACCGATGCCCCCTCTACTGTTGATGCTAGGATACGGATTGCACTTCAACTCCAGGCTGAGGATTTTTAGAGCCTCTGAATCTTCACTCCTCCGACTCCTCCGATCCGAGTAGGATCCATTATCTCATCATTCAGTGTCGAAGCTGCATGATCTCACCACGTCTGAACTCTTGACTTGGAATGATGACACTACTGGTCAATCCTAGGGGTTCACGTTAACGTGGTGGTGAGTGAATACATCGATGCTTTTTTGCATTCGATGATGAGCTTCAGATTGGATAGAGAAAACTTACGTCTACAACCCTGGTGATGGCCACCCTTGATTGGTCTGCATGGAATTCTGTGAACCTCCAGCGGCCATGGACTCTGAAATACCCCAAGGCACACTCCACCGGAGATGCCCGCGCTCGCACACGCGTCGCTCAGCCGCAGACCTATGCACCGCCTCGGGGAGCACCTCGGTCAGGCGTACGCTGATCTCCTTTCCTAGCTACAGGGAATGATCGGTTCTCATGGTCATGATCATCAGATTCGCTGAAGCGACCGTTCTGACCGCTCTTTCGAATCCCTTTTTAATGGTTTCTGTTCGACATTGCTCTCCAACCATCCATGCGGTCATGGCCCTTGCGTTGTACCAGCAAGAGTGAGTATCGGCCCTTTCAGCTAGATGGCTGGCCAATGATACCCTGTTCTAGCTTTCGGGCCGCTGCAGGCTATGCCTCCGCGTTCGGTGCGTCTGCAGATTCATACACTTCCATATGTCATTCACCAGAGTCCCAGTGGTGATCTTTTACGACTATGGCCTTACATTCGCGCGCGAGGTGCACACCATGTGGGGCGCAAAGCGCAAGTACACCTTCGCCACCATACTCTTCTACATCGTGCGCTACGCCGGTCTCCTGTTCGTCATACTGGTCATGCGCTCCACATGGTCGACAAAATCACATCTGGTCCGTCCTGTCCATTTGTCTCACTGGAGACCTCCGTGAGCTGACTAACCGTTGTACAGACGTAAGTCACATCTGGCATTATTCCAGAGGATCTGTATGGCGGGTCTGATGCAGCAGATAGATGTATTGTCCTAGAGAGGGTCCAGATGGCGCTCAATATCCTACTCATGGCAGCCGTTGCAGGTAAGCTCTCTATCAAATATATATCTCTTTCTGTGTGCATATGAGTTCCCGCAGTGTTCTCGGCGATGCGCGTCTACGCGCTGTACTTCGGCAATTACTTCGTGTTTGGCATCGTTCTTCTCCTTGGACTGACAAATCCCATTCTCACTATGGTAAATCGTTGCTGATATGAAACCTAAAGTCGTTTAACTTCTAAGGATAACGCGTGTTTAGTATATATCCATCATGACCGAGCCTCAAGTCGCCGTCCTCTCGCCGACGCTGAACTCCTGCGGGATGATGCCGAAAATAGCTCCCGGGCCATTCGAAAAGTGCGCCCGTTTCATTTATTATCTTCATATTTTCACTGATCCTTCCTCCTTGTTGCAGATGTACGTGTCTGCACTGCTGACTATTCGTCTCGCACTGATATTGCGTTCCGGCCTAGTATTCATGGGCACCCGTGCATGCTCCATCGTCGCCGACGCCGTCGTGGTCATATTGACGTGGATGAAGACCCTGCACTATCGCAGAGCTGCTATGCGAGCGAATGCGCGGATGTCTGTCACGACCGTACTCTTCAAAGATGGTGCGTGCGTTCTTATCGTTTCGCTCTGCACCAGAGGATGACATGTGTATCCCAGGTACCGCATTCTTTTCGTGAGTAGACCGTGTACGAGCCATATGCAGATGCCGATGCCTACAGCTCTCTTCTGTTCCTCAACGTGTTTGCCTTGGGTATCGGTCAAATCGCCGACGTAAGTCTCACGTCTTCTTACTAACTACTTGTACTAACCTCGCACGCAGCTCATTGTCGTGATGACAACCTGGACCACCGTGTAAGTTCCCCTTCTACGACCTCTATTCATTCCATATCCTTCGTCCCCTACACTCGCGTACCACTGATAACGTTTCTAATCGTAGCGTCACCTCTATCCTCACATGCCGATTCATGCTTGACCTTCGCGAGGCGACGAGCTCGTCGGATCCGTCCGGCCTCTCGCAGACGATCCCTTTGTCAGCGATGCCAGTTGGGATCGCCTTTGTGGAGGCAAGCAAGGACGTGGGGGAAGACACTTACGCAGTTTGAGCTGGCGCTGGGCGTCACTATGTTGGTCGCTGGGCGTCACTATGTTGGTCGCTGGGCGTCACTATGTTGGTCGCTGGTTTTTTTTTGTTCCTGTCAATTGTCCTCGAGGGCGGAGCCATATGGTAGACAAAGAACTACTGCAGCTATATGTAGTATGTACGAACGGGGTGTCAAATAAAACATGGTGCCTGTGTGAACACAGGGCTTTCAGGAGGAGGGTGAAGGGGGCCTGCGGGGGTTATTTTCCCGTGGGGGGTTTCTGAATAGACTCATCCCTTTCCCTAAATTTCCTTACTTGCAATAGCTGACGAAGTATCTCTTACGTACCTGAGCTGTATTATCAGCGTCATCAGTTAAATTTTTACTCATTTTCTCGTTTTCTGAATCCGGCATCATCATCACGGAACTCAAGTGAGTTCTAGGCTCGGCCCAAGGTGCATCAAATCTCGCGTCGGTCACGATCACGCGCAACACCGTCACCGTGAGCAAGCTCACGCCTCCGTGCTCAAGCATCAACGTGTCCATCATATACAGAGGAAGGTATGCCTTTCAGTTCTTTTCTGTGCCGTCTGCTGACCGTCTACCACGCGAACAACTTGAAGCCAACCTGAAGCTTGAAGAGTCTCCAGCCACAGGAGATGGCAGGAGGAAAGGTGAAGACCGGGAAACGATGTAGGCGCGCCCGCTGACAATTTTTCACTCAAAATACCATCTACTCAAAAGAGACGTAGCTCCTGTTGAGGAGCTTGAAAACGCACGTTCACCCTGTGAGATATCGCTAGGTCATGCCCAGTGTTAGCTAGCGCTGACGCAATCTCGACGCCTTGGATGATTTTGTTTTCGAGTCGCCCCTGCGGCATTCGCTCTTCTGTCGCTTTTTGGTCTCTCGGACTCCTCTCTCACGTTCGACATATAACCCATCGTCGCCTGTCATCGTGTCACCGATCTCGGTTCCTCCACCTCCGGCTGTCTCCAGCTTCCACGCGTGCTTGCACACATGAAGCGGACCTGTTCGACACTTATATACTGCCTTGGCCCGAGGCCGCTAGCGCAGCCTTTGAAATCCGATGTTCGATATTTGGGTGTCCCGCAACTACTGTCCTGGCATCTGCATCGTGCGTACGGTCGGTGCCGCTCGTGGTGGTGAATTGTCCGGCGGAGCTTGATATTTCGATATATGGGCGCGGAAAGAGCGCCAGCGTGCTCGTGTCCCTTCCAGGGCGAGCACGCGCAGAGTGCTGTCCTCATCCAGACTATCGGTGAGCTGCATCCTCTGTTTGCGCGGTCACCGACCTGAAATTTCAACTGGGCCTTGAGTGCGAAGCCGGAATTTGCCTTTGGCTACTCTAAAGCCAAGATGGGTGTTAAGTTCGCCGCGCAGCTTATTGATGACAAGTCTGGTCCATTCGTGGATGTCGAGCAGGTAAGCCTCGTGTCTGCAACCGATATTACATGACTGAGCTTTGCACTTCCTTAGATGGTAATTCTCACGTCCCAGAGCATGATCCAGCCAGCTATGACTCGACACGTTTTTTCTGATGCGACTCGCGTGAGTAGAAGGAGGAACCGTGGCGAAGAAACAGAGGAGGCTTCAGCTGTAAGTTCCCATACTGGTTCCTAACTTTCACGAATGATCCCAGAACTGAGCGCCTTGCTTTCATTCCTACGTCCGTGGTTGGCACCGACGCCGCACCGAGGTTCTAAGGTTTATCCCTCGAATGGCACGTGAGTACTACTTAGAGCCTTTACGGAACTGCGGAGTTTGTGGACCCTCAAGCGCACATAGATGGATCTGAGCAACCTGACTCGGTCTGACTGTCGCAATAACGGTGAGATTTCTTCTTGTGAATCATCCTGGAATACTGCCGATGGGTCCACAAATGAAAATGATGACTAGTAAAGAATGTTTTTCGTCTCCAATGGGTCGTCATTGCCTTCTCCAATCAGGCAAGTTGACAGCACCGTATCTTTTTGTGGTCAGTAATTCTTGAAGACACGGGTCTATCCTTGCGCCAAATTTGGCCCACGGACTTTGCGAAGCCGTCGTTCCAATTTCAAGTAGGTCGCCTCTACTCGGCGCTCGTTGTTTCTGATCTCACCGTGACGATGACATCGATAGATATTATACATAACTTGCTGCATGCCGGGACACGGCTCAGACAATAGTGGTGCGACGCTTCGAAGGCGAGTCAGCGACTTGTCGTCGTTCGAATCAGGTGAATTTTCGTTTGCCCTGCACTTCGTAGTTATATCGCCAGCTTTCCGCGTCAATGACCTTAGGTGAAGAGGACGAGGGGAGCCTGTAAAAAAATGTCAGCGAAAGGGCTATGCGATCGGTGGCGTAAGCTGCGCGTGCTCATCCAAGTCTACGCCGCTCGGCAGTGGTACTGCCCTCGAAAATTATTGTCGTCGCCAGTTCTGTCATGGATGGGACGAGCGTTATCCATCGGATCATCTATCAGAATCGCAGCGACTAGAAGGCAGACAGGCTGATGAGGCTGTCTCAGACCACTTGCTGAGGTGAGCGCCGACACTCGACGATGACACGACGCAGGTGTATATGGCAGCCCTTGCGTGCAGGGAGGATACAGCTATGGTGAGATATATAAGTTCTCCATGTAGAAGGCCTGCTCTGCTCCATCTTTCCCCTGTTGCAGCCCTTCATATATTGTCATTATGCTCACAATGCTCAACACCGGTTCTCGAAATCTCATGGCTCCGCTCCGCGTAGTGTGGCGTAGTGTGGCGAACGGCCAGCCGACTTAGTCGCAGTATACATTCTGCCGACTTCGCGGACGTCAACGTTCTTAGCAACCAGCCGGAAGTAAGGAACTGGTGGCTAGAGCACCATTTCCGGTTCGCTCGTCAGGTTGGCCTAGACACTGCAGGTGCGGCTATTGCTGTTCTAGAGTGAGTAACCTCGAATCGGCTACACCATTTTGCGACTTACCATGAAACATTCAGGAGTCCTCCCCACGCGGGTGGAACAAACCCTCGGGAACAGGAACACATCACGGCCGTATTTTTGGATGCCAATGGTCGCAGGCTGGTTGCATACTTTCCAGACCAGAGATTCATCACCCGCTTTCATGTCTACAAAGACCCTTCTCTTTGGCTGAGGTCAAACGACATTGAAATCCGTCCGGAGGCGGAGGAACAACGCCTGGCACGTGTGAGGCGCCGTGCCTTCAGAGACCCGAGAGCACGGTTTGTCCCCATTTTCGTATGACATATCTCATCTCATGGCGCTGCAGCAGGTAGACGTCTTTCTTCAACGCGCAGTTGCTGTATTCCACATCTTCAAGAATGTACCTGATGTTTCTTCGGATATGATTTGCATAACAGGGCCTATAAGTGTACAGTACGAGATCTCCGGTGTAAATTGAATGAGTATTAAGTCGCTACAAAGCATGCTTGTGCAGTGTGTGTAAAAAATGTCTTCCACTGCATGGATAAGGGGAGTAAACCAATACAGAAAAGAGAAGTGCTGCAAAACATCACACACCATATCACTGAGCACTCCACTGCAGGATGTCTGAGATGTAGCTGTGAAAGTGACGAAAGACAGCACATGATCTTTGGGCAAGCAAGCACTTAGAGATAAGATTGGGGAAACTGGGACAAGCCAGCCACTCATGCACCTCAGCCAGTGGTCTGAGACAGCCTCATCAGCCTGTCTGCCTTCTAGTCGCTGCGATTCTGATAGATGATCCGATGGATAACGCTCGTCCCATCCATGACAGAACTGGCGACGACAATAATTTTCGAGGGCAGTACCACTGCCGAGCGGCGTAGACTTGGATGAGCACGCGCAGCTTACGCCACCGATCGCATAGCCCTTTCGCTGACATTTTTTTACAGGCTCCCCTCGTCCTCTTCACCTAAGGTCATTGACGCGGAAAGCTGGCGATATAACTACGAAGTGCAGGGCAAACGAAAATTCACCTGATTCGAACGACGACAAGTCGCTGACTCGCCTTCGAAGCGTCGCACCACTATTGTCTGAGCCGTGTCCCGGCATGCAGCAAGTTATGTATAATATCTATCGATGTCATCGTCACGGTGAGATCAGAAACAACGAGCGCCGAGTAGAGGCGACCTACTTGAAATTGGAACGACGGCTTCGCAAAGTCCGTGGGCCAAATTTGGCGCAAGGATAGACCCGTGTCTTCAAGAATTACTGACCACAAAAAGATACGGTGCTGTCAACTTGCCTGATTGGAGAAGGCAATGACGACCCATTGGAGACGAAAAACATTCTTTACTAGTCATCATTTTCATTTGTGGACCCATCGGCAGTATTCCAGGATGATTCACAAGAAGAAATCTCACCGTTATTGCGACAGTCAGACCGAGTCAGGTTGCTCAGATCCATCTATGTGCGCTTGAGGGTCCACAAACTCCGCAGTTCCGTAAAGGCTCTAAGTAGTACTCACGTGCCATTCGAGGGATAAACCTTAGAACCTCGGTGCGGCGTCGGTGCCAACCACGGACGTAGGAATGAAAGCAAGGCGCTCAGTTCTGGGATCATTCGTGAAAGTTAGGAACCAGTATGGGAACTTACAGCTGAAGCCTCCTCTGTTTCTTCGCCACAGCTCCTCCTCCCACTCACGCGAGTCGCATCCCGTGATGTCCAACAAGGTCGTCCAGAACCCTTCGTCTCTCGCCGCCCCGGAGTCCACAGGTACCCTCACGGCTACCGTAGAGGATGCTGCTGTGGTCGTCGAATATCCGGAAGAACCTGTCGGCATTCCAGCAGCACTATTACCCTCGGATGTCCCAGCTTTCATGGAGGTTCACATAGGGGACGAGATCGGACCACAGGGTCGTTACGCAATAGTACGCAAGTTGGGATATGGATCGTTCTCAAGCGTTTGGCTCGCTCGCGATGTGTCCCGACAGTACGTGTGCTGTAGTGCTGCTCGTAAGTCTCCACTCGTCGTCACTGATTTCCCTTGTGTTGGATAGGTCTGCATCCTCTAAGTATGTAGCTATCAAGATCCTCACAGGGCAGGCTACAAGGCTCGTTCATACCGGGATCATTAGAGAGGCACGCGTTCTTCAATATATCAATCTTCGCTCCAAGTTCAGGCATGGTGGGGACAAATGCGTTAAGCTCTACGACACCTTCATCTGTGAAACGGCAAGGAACGATACTGGTCCACACCAATGCTTAGTTACAGAAGTTCTTGGGATGGATCTCAATCACTTCCGCGATCAATATCCGGGGAGAGCTCTACCATTGCCACTATTGAAGCTTTTATTGCAACATCTTCTGACCAGCTTGGACTTCATACATTTCGGGTGTACAGTGACGCATACGGGTGAGCAAGGATAATTCTATCAATCTTGGAGATGCTCAAGCGCGATTGTAGATTTGAAGCCCGACAACATCATGCTCGCCTCTCCGTTTTCGGATGAGCAGATCATGCGAATCCTGAAGGAGGACCCTCCTAAGTACTATCCTCCGGTGTTAGTTTTAGGCCGCGAAGTGCGACCCATAGTCAGCCAGCCATTGCCAGCACTGCAAGTGCCCATGGATCAACTGGTTTTCAAGCTTGCCGACTTCGGCCACGGTGAGGCTGACGCTTTTAGGTTGCAGCACTACTTATTCAGCCGTGTCGACAGCCCAGATCTGCGAGGAGGAAGTGACGAACGATATCAGTCCTAGAGCGCTCCGTGCCCCGGAAGTTATTTTGCAGTGCGGATGGAACTTCAAGGTCGACGTGTGGGCCGTCGGATGCCTGGTGCGTCGCAAGCACGTTCTCTCGTCATCCATGTTTCTTCTTGAACGAGCATCTCCGTCAGACGTTTGAGCTGTTGACTGGGTCACAGCTGTTTACCCCTGAAGACAACGCTGCCGAAGGCACCACTGCGGACGATGATCACCTGCTGCGCATCATGAAAATCCAGGGATGCCCGTTCCCCACGGAATTTCTGGCTGAATCCCATAATCGGGACCTATTTCTGAATGCGGACGGTGAAGGCTGTCTTATGCGGTTTACTCGTCGATGTGTTGACGCTGGTGTCCACGCAGGTACACTGATTCGTATACCCTCGAAGAGCGATGCTAGGACGATTGCTGAACGCATACGCGACTCAAAGACTGTGGAGGACTCTCGCGAGCTAATGAATGCTGCAGCATTCATCGAGAGGTGTCTGCAGTACGTCCCTGAAGACAGGCCGGACCCCATTGAACTCTTGGAGGATCCGTGGCTCCAGGGATGATTGATCGGCGGCGGGTAGGTCGAGTCGAGTGTTGTTGTGTACTTTGCCGTCTCTGTGTCTGGGAATGTTTGCACTGTAACCCCTGCTTTCAGGAAACTTGTGTTTTTTGCCAAGCTCCGTGTGCATCCAGGACATCTGCAAGTTTTTTTTTTACCTACGACACACTCGCCTCCCACCCCGCCGTATTGCCGGGAAGCGTTAGAAGCGTGGTGTGAACAACGCGGGTGTAGGCGTGCGAACGGGGCATGCCTGCATACACCACCATTTGCGTTTGAGATCTGACAGACTATTTATTTACGAGATCGGATAACAGTTGATGAATATATCTGATTGATTTCATGCTGACATTTCTTCGATATTGCGAGCAGAATATTCAATACTGGATGGGGGATCCCCCTGGTCGCTGGTTTGCGATGCGGGGAATCAGGATAATAGCGTGGATTCGGCTTCGCTCCGTTTGTGTACTCGAAAACATGGCCGTGTGCATTCCATCTAGCTATGCGCGGTGCGCACAGAACTTCAGGATTTCATGAATCTGGATGAAGAAGCATGAGTGCGTTGCTTCTGGAAGACGAAGCCTGTCAAGATCGTCGACATCGTCGATTGCCAGCCAATCATGAGGAAGTTTTGAATTATTTGAACTTTCAGTTGTGGATTCGCTCACTGTATTAATTGCGTCGTGTGTTAAGTTCCCTGCTCGCTGAGTCTTATCTCGTGTGCATCTTTGAGAATTCAGGACAACGATGATGAAAGAGAAACAGCACGATATATTAGATGTCCTCTTTCGACGCATTTACATTCGTCGAGTATGAATGGCATCTACATTACACGGAGAAAGAAGATGGTCGACTCCCGAGCACTTGGATGACAAAGAAGGTTTGCTGCGGATCATACAGAGCAAGTGACAACGGAAGCTTGCCGCGAATCATGCGGAACAATTGGATAGGTGCGATTGGCGCCATAGTGGCTGGTAGGGTGGGTGGCTATTAAGTGGACGGAAGATCAGAGAATGCTCGTTGGCATCGAAGGACGACGGCGGCACCAGCTGTTCCGAATAGTGGTGGTGGCAGATAGGCGGAATCTCTACACACCGAATAGACCATCTGCTAGTGATATCCATCGGTGATGAGCTTGGGGAACGATTGGTGGGTAATAATCAAGTGACATTTGGCACTTTGATAAGCCAGTGGCCATGCGAGGCGTCCTCCGCGATGTACACAAGTGGAAGACGTCCGCCAAGTGTATGCCCCCGACACTAACAGAAGCCCGGAACGGATATGATCGTGGCAAGAACAACTGGATCTCTGAATGTGAGCTTGATGGTACTCCAGGCTGTGACCGCTATTGCACTTGTTTCAATGGGAGGCCGGGCCACGATAGGCATCGTGCGTGTCTGTGCATATTATTGCGACACGCTGGCCAGCATCATCGTCCACGTTTCATAAAGAACGTTACGGAACAGACGTATCAGCGAAGAAGATTAATATCGGGCGAAATGAACTCACAGAAAGGTCGGTATGGGACCTTCTTCTTCTGTATACTGCGACCTCCAGAGTCTCTTCGTTCAGCACGAGAAACCCTCTGAGACGCTGATACGCATAAAGTGCGCAGAACGCAACTTTTTGGTGGAGTCGCGGTGTTGAAATGTATAGAGCTAATGTGTGTAATACGACGACGTCCAGGGCAAAGTCTTTTCTTCATGTTGAACACGGGGGAAATCGAAAGGTCTGAATGAACTAAGTGTGGCAGTTGAATATGAAGTCAAGCAGATGTCGTGTCGCGTTCCTGTACAGAGGCAGTGAAGTGGGGGAGTAGAGAGAAGTAAACCACGGTTTATGTACGAGCCTGCGTGCCAGACAACCGCACGTACAATAGAAATGATTAATTTGGCTGACACAAGTTAACGAATTCACCGTGGCTAGCCCATTTTGTCAGCTCGATGAATGTCACCACAGCGGCTGAGCAACACAACTGTGCCACGTTCAACTGCAACCATGCAGTCAGTTGTTAGGTAGGTGGCACCAATAAACCGGGACGGGTCGGCACCATTCGCCAGACGTGCCCGGAGTGCGCAGAGATGATTCAAGGTTGCCTAGCATGACTTATCGGAAGCTGAAATTAACATTAATAACAACACAAGAAGGGAAGAAGATGGAGGATGCTCACCATGTAAGTGCACCTGCCTGCACGAAAGGCACCCAACTTTCCAGGCACGATGGTTATGTCTTCTGTAGTCAAAAATCCTGTCTCAGACTCAAAGAGCTGACTCGTAACGTGTTGAGCCCAACGTGTTGTGCACGCCCACACAGAATTGAAGGCGAGATAAGACAGCGAAAGATCACATCGAAACTCGCACAGAGACGTAATTGTCTATTCCGGTCCAGACATGCTGTAGGAATCAAGAGAGCTGTTGGAGTCGGGATCAGTGTACTAACCCAGAATGCCATAGCTTACATATGTACGTAGAATCAACCCATTCGACCATGCCTTCCAGATGTGAGTCCGCACGAAGTTCAAGGTGGAATGCAAAATCTTCCAGAAATTCAGCAGAGCTCAATCATTTCATGCACAAGGGTACAATAAAGTAAAGTTTTGAGGAAAGTACGAACACTTCCAGCAGAGCCACAACTGGCAGACATCGATGTCACCGTGATGGTCGTCTGAGATCTGAGATCTGACATAGGGCATGACGCTAGCCGTGGGGTTAGGGTTGTAGAAACCTCTCTGCAATGCGGCGGCCACTGTCTCGTCGGCGGTGTCATCGGTGTGCTCCTCAGTCCTAGTACTCTGTGATCCAATTACTCTGCACATACTGTGGCTGTACTGGTATCTCCACTGGAGTCTGAAGACACTGAGAACCTATGCTGACCGGAAGTCTGACGCAGGGGCCTGAACGGCTCACGCCCCTCGTCGTTACTATGATAATTTTCGAACAACGAGGCTCAGTGTCGGCGGTCGCCACAGCCAAGCCTAAATCTCATCTTCAAACTTCGTATGTCCTTCCTTCATATCTGACATATCTGACATCATCCAGTCAGAGAATGGAACAGTAAGTAGCTGCTCGAGACAATGTGGCTGTTGAATGTCCTCATATGGGCTTGACTTTATCTTATTCTGGCTTTGTAGTGTCAGATCGCATGTGACTCATGCCATTGTTTGATGCAACATTTTGCCGCCAAGATGGACCGGCGAGATATATAAGACGCTTTCTCACTCGTCCCTCGAATGACCCGCTTCTCACTCTTACTCCCAACACACCCTTACGTTCGACGCCTTCTCCGCTTCAGCATGAAAACGCGACTACCATCTATGCTTTGCACACCGCGAACGCACACGTTAGACGTATCAAAGGGCAATCTATGGAGAGCGTCAGTTTTAACATCCACTGGATGTTGTTCTCCACTGACACATTCGAACGCTCCACCTTCAGTTGACGTAGAGACTTGATGTCTCATGTTTATGGGCGCGTGGTCGCTGTCAGGCGAATGAAGACCCACAGAGTTCCCAGTGACGCTCCAGCCGCATGGGAGAAGATGGATAGGAAGTAGGCGACATAGCTCTTCGCGTTGCCGCTCACCTCTTCAACCATGCTGGTCCTACTTCTGGTAGGAAAATGTGGCCAATTCGTTCGGGAATTGGTCTGACCGCATCAGGCCTCCAGACTCTAGGATCGGAGTTCTTGAAGAGAGTTGCAAACGAGGCGATGGTGTCATCAACAACGCTAAACGCAGCCTGTTTCAGGCAGGGTGCCGCCACCGATTCTCAAGTAGCAGAAGCACTCCGTCTACAAGTGTCTGCTCGCCCACAACGGGTCAGGTGCCTCGTTAGAGGCTGTGGCGCGTCCGGCCACTTCGACTGCGGATATTATTCGTGAGGCCAAGGTTGTGTTCCTACGCGTTTTCTCCCATGTGTTCCGCCGCCCCTCGTCGCCGCGTGCACGGACATTCGAATGCCCAGCGTCTGTCTACTATGCATCGGGGCTCTCGCGTCGTGGTAAATGCGCATCTGTCGTCCAGCTTATAGACTATGCATCGTACGGCCACATTTCCGGAAGATGCCTACACCATCCGAACATACTCCCGCGTAACGGGTGTACGAAGACTACAAACCGTGCATGACACACGACCCTGCGTTGTTCTCATCGTACCGTCCCAGCCGAAGCCGACTCCTTTATAGTGCTCACGAAGGTGCATCAGATGGAACCCGATGCGTTTTCTCTGACTTTCGCCTCCACTTATTTTGGGGAAGCTGTCCCTGGTGAGCGCAATGTCAGGATGTCAGGGACGTGCTCCATTTTCTGGATACTATCACCAGCCAACCTGAGTTCCAAATTGTCGGTCCCGAGTTCCAAATCGACACTTGTTCCCAGTGTAGACTGGCATCATCCTCGACGTAGTCTGGGCCAACGGCACGTCTCGCTATCTTGCATTCACCCACAGCAGTGCAGTCCTCACCGGGCCTATGTCCAACATCTCTTCATGGTCGTCCTAGGCGAATAGCATCTGAAGCTATTCTTCACACCTCACTCACAACCGTGGCGCAATCTGACCACAAGTGTGGCGTTCGCACACCCAATGCTGCACCTTCGGATACGAATGCTTCATGCAGAGTAGCCCGATGCCCGTGGTGAATCATCTGGTGGAACACCCCCGCAGCGGTTTGAGATGGAGCTACTATCTTATCAAGGACATTTACCATCGCTTGATAGGTTCGTCTCTTTGCACGTCATCAAACTCATTTGGGTCGCTCTACTCTTGGTAGTCCTTCGCCGTTGCGACCTTGTGGATCTGGTCTGAGGTGTTGCACCGTGAATCGTTCATTCCTATCCAATCACTCTCCAAAGCCCGTGAGCAGTAGCCAGTTGTTCATTTCTGATCTCCGTTTTCACTCACTTGGGTTGAAAATTCTAGTCCCGTCTACACCAATTAGCAACCATTAACTCTGCGGTCCCATCTACACCAATTAGCAACCGTCACTCTGTGGCTCCGTCTACACCAATT